TATTAGTTAGTTACTTTTTGTTATTCCCTAATATAATTGATTAAGATAAATATAGTAGTTAAAATAATAATATGGTCAGATTTTTAATGTTATGTTCTTAAAAAAACCCTTAAAGCTATTAAATTCTTTACATATAACTTCTAGAAACATTTTAATAATATTTCACAAGAAATGTGTTTTGATCGGTGCAAAATAAACAAAATCAGATATGCGCAATTATATGTATACAAACATCTGTATCATTTGCTTAAGGGTTCGGGGCTGACAAGTTTTACGATCGGGGTTTTTTCGCCGACTATAAAACCCCATACTGAAGCTAAGCTAAGTGGAAAAATAAGAGAGAAAGATGCGCTTAGCTTGACTCGCAAATTGGCACCCGGCTTTGGATTTTGGCTCCGTCTCCGGCTGGAACTACTACACACAAAAAAAAAACTTTGTAAAATCAACTGTAATAATTGTCAAACAGGCCCCAACCAGCAAAATTGTCAATTCTACTAAGTAAATAGTCATTTCACAACAACAAAATACACACAATTAGCAAAGACACAAACCCAAAGCAAAAACAAAAACACGTAACTATTTTAATAGTTACGTAACTATCTTTGTTGGTCAATTTTACCAAGCAAATTTTTTTGTGTGTACTACTGCGACTTTATTCGGGGAGTTTAGGGGGTTTACGGGGGATGGGGATGCCGAGTGCTACGAGGTACCAAGCGGTGAACTGGCACCGTCTTAGGCCTGGGAATTGTGTAAAATGAATACAGAAAAAAAACGGAGAAAAAACACACATAAAACACAAACTAAAAACGAGAAAAATGAATGCAAAAAAAGCAAATTCAATGCAGGTATCGGACGGATACATGCGAGTATCTCAGAAATACAATGCGCCAGTGCCTAATAACTGAACACAAGTTGATTTTGAGTGTCTATGTGAGAAATAAAATCAAAACAAATCACAAAAAGCTCATAAATAATAGCCACACAAAAAATGAACAACGGCAGCGACAACAACAAAGGTTTTCGGTCGTTAGCGCAGTTCGCCATTTTGGCTTGGCTAAAATTAGCTAATAACGATAAAAAATGGTAAACAAGAAAACCAAAATAAACTGAAAAAGTTACGAGCATATGAAAAGCAAGAGGAAATATAAAATTATGATGTGGTTTTTAATGTTTTCGACTGTACAGAAAATATTATAATATATTATATATACTGTATACAGTTATTTTTTATAATCTTTTACTTTTTTTATTTTTTAAAGGTTATATTTCATTTTATAATTAAAACTATTCAATGTTCAAATTCAAAGTTTGTTTTCTCAACTAAAAATAAACCAAGTCTTAGAATAATACTTAGTTATTAACCCATTGAAAAATCCTATAAAATTATACACAATGTGCTTCAGATTCCACTTCATTTGCTTACAACTTTTCCCCACTTAATTAGTGATCCCAACTTCCTAGACCCGTAGCAAATATTTTTATCGCATTTGATGTGAGTTGGTCACGGGAGAGTGAACGAAGCAGTAATTACAATTGGATTTCAAATGCTTCAACGATTGCCGAGGGGATTTTACTTTAATTTTTCATACGTGTACCCTGTATAAATATATATATTCTGTATACTGTGTGGCTCTCGGAGAAACTGCGTTCTAAGAATTGAGCATCTTTGCCCCGCTTTTTGTGCCTGGCATATTGGAACGAACGTGCGACCGAGCGATTAGCACCTCATCGTTAGAAACTAAGCTCATCCGGAGTTACCTGTCTGAAAAAAAACAGTCCCGCAGCCCTACGGAGGTGGGCATGCGATGAAAGCATGCCCAAATAAATTAAGCCAATTTGGACAGGAACAATAGAAGTTTTTTGTATGCCTAGCAGTCCGTAAATTGACAGAGATCTTCATTCGTGTTGTTCGTGCTTTCCTCTCTGTTTCCCTAAATATGCCAATTAGCGACGCTCACAGGTGTGTGTACCAGTGGGTATATAGAAATTTATAAATTAACATGGACATAAACGGATATTGTTATGGGTTCTGGTACCCTTCCAAAGGGTATCATTAACTTTTGGTATCCAATTTAAACCTTTTCGATTTGTAAGGAAACCTGTACGAAAAATTCCAACAAATTCTCAACGATACAAGAGAGAAATGTTGATATAAATTGTTATAGGTTTTTTATCCCTTTTTGTAATTTAAAAAATCATTGCCTAAAATATTTTTTTTACCAAATAAAACCTGCCTACTTTTTTGAGTTTTTTTCCGAGAGCAATTATCTTATTTTTATAAAATTTAGATAGTTCAGAAAAAAGTATAAAAAGAAAGGATTATCTAATTCTGAAACCAATAAAATCTGAAACCAATAAAATCTGAATTCAATAAAATCTCCTCACTACTATGATAATAACTAAGCTCTAAACTCTAAAAGAGTATATCCGCCGTCGACTATATCATTCATATCTCTCGCTCCTCAGATATCATTTTTCATTTACATTGTACTCCATTGCAATTATCACATTTTTCGAATGCGGATTCGTAAGTTTCTAGTTCAGCCAGAGATCGCTGCGAATGTCAATGACTCGTCATTGCTGTAAGCTTTTTGGATTGGAACTGCCGCTGGCCGGAGCATTTACCGCTCTCATTTGTCAACGCCGGCGAAACAGCCGCAAGTACAACTAAGTACATACAAAAGAGCCGCCCTCAATGCCCACAGAGCGTTGCGCTTTTAACGCTTCTCAGGTATTAATTGCCCACCAGATCACAAAAATATGTATTTGCTAGCAGAAGAAAAATTAACTACATTTGTAGCCGTACATATTTGGCTTAATGCGGCATTTAAAAATGTTAATTGAATAGAGTTACGGTAATGGAGGAAGCTGACTTCGTGGGTGTGTGTTTAGGAAAGTGATTTATGAAAGTTTTGGAAGAGAAAATCAAAATAATTCTTAGTTAAATAGCTTGTACTTATCGTGTGGATTATTTGGAAATGTAAAGATAAAGAAGACTAGGCCATCAATATCATGAATCAAGTGAACCAAATCTATTGTATTACATTTATTAAAATACCTTATAATTTTAAGAGAGAAAATTAAATGATTAATACCCGTAAATTAATATCATAATTATTTTAAATTATTTCAAATGAATCGTTTCCTTACATCCATTTATCTTGTTAGCCATTAAACCTTTTGTCTCACCTTCTGATCTTCAGGACAAAGCAGCCCCAAAGTACTTTGCTGTCCAAGGCTTTCGCACCCAGGTGCCAAATCCGAGAAGTCTCGTGGTCGCCAATGTATGGCCTCATGAAATCGCAAAGTCAAAGCCCTGCTTGAAGACCCGCAGTGATGGGATACAATGAGTTTTCAAGTCAAGCGTTGTTCGGGGACATCCAAGTTGATTTTTCGACGTTCTCAAACAATGGTGGCACTTTTTTGCGCCTTGTTTTTCATTGCGCATTCACTTAGCAGTTGGAGATTTTCAAAATGAGATAACACCTTACATTTTGGGGATGGGTTTTTTTGTTTTGTTAGGTATATTTTGGGCGATCTTTTGCCATCGTGCGACATGACAAAGCTGAGAAGAAAACGATGGAAAATTCGTTTAAAATGCAAGAGATTATGCCGGGCGTAATGATGGGGGTAAAAAGTGAGGAAGGTTATTGTGGGGCGCCACAAATTAATTTGCACCTTTCGCCTCTGCCGCAGCGCTGCAGCAGCGACGCCGACTTCGGCAGGCGGTGAAAGTTGCACATGCAAATCTACAAAAGAAAGAAAACTGCGAACGCTGTCGGCAATTAAAGGCAACTTTGTTGCACTGAGATGCAAATTTAACAAAACTATTTTCCTGAAGGCGTTTAAACAATACAAATTGCCATTTAAAACGATTTTAATTAATTTTTTAAATAATTTTTTTTTTATGTTGTTGTAAGAAAATGTATTTATATTTTAAAGATACTTTTTTATCTATTAAAAATGGAATGCTTATAAGGACTTATAGCTCTTAAGCTATTGTCCCAATTTTAAATCAAAAACATTTTTATTATAATATATTAAATTTTCTTTCAGTGAACAGTGGCAGTATAACGTGACTGAAAATAGTGCAGCATCCAGAGCAAACTCTTTTCAATTTTAGATGCATCTCAAAAGGCCAGGGGAAAACTTTTCCCGTCTTTTTTTTAATCTCCCTTAGCCGGCGGCTAGGCTATTATGACCAATGTCATAATCTCTGCAAAACAGGGAGCTTTCCACGATTCGCTTGACTTATGTGCGGATCCATTGTACATAATAAATATGTAAACATATTTAGTGACTGTATATGTGTGTTTAGCGGGCACAACGGTAATCGTAATTTGTCATTTATTTGCACTTCGCATTTGAGTGATCGCCGCTCGGCTGAGGAAAGCGGAAATAAGTGCAGACTGCAGCGGGTGCATTTGGGTGTTTGATTGCATTTCACACAGTTACTGAAACTCTTCGAGCATGTAAAATCAGTTGTTAAAAAGCATTGTGTTATATTAAACATTTTGGAGTTTGTCTTAAAAAAAATTACAGGTGCTTTGAATCCTAGATAAATGTTACGTTGAATTTTTACCATTTTTATAGTTGCAGGGCATCAATTAATTTTAATGCTTTTCCAAAAGTTATATTAAATTTAAAAAAAGTTTTTTGAATGTTTTTTTAGTTAAAATTAAAATTTAGGGTTTGGAAAAATACATTTTCAGTGGGTGTTAAAAAGTTTAAATGGACGGCGCCAACCTACAACTCCAATACACGAACCACAATGTAAAATGCTCAGCCTTGACATAAACCAGATTTACGTAAAATTCAAAGAACATGTTATTTTAAATATAAATTTCGGGGAAAAAGCAGCTACGATCCCTGGCTAAAAACTGAGTTTTATCTCGCGTTTCAAATTTGTATCGATAAGTCGCCAGAAATAACCTGGAAAAACCATGCAATGATGATGGACTGGAATTTTTGACATTTCTCTTTGGCGCCTTGTAACGGAACTTTTCCAGTGACTCCCCAACTAGCCAACCTGAAATAGCACTTTTCGCGTGGCGAGACCAAAAAATATTAAAAAGAAGGTCCCGAGGAAGATTTTAATTTGTATACCCCGATTTTAGCACAGCAAGGAAGCACACAAATAAAATGGTGAGATTAAAATGTTCCTGGTATTCAAGTTTAAAAAGGTATAAAGAGTGGGAGGTCAAACGGAACGAAAGTGAATAAGGAAAGTTATAACCACCGTAACTCGGAACAATATTTAAATTTGTCTTTGTTCTGTTATTGCAAATAAAAGTTAGGCAAATTAAATGGTCTTCAATATTAAATTTGCATCGAATATTCATTTTTTTTGAACCCCTTTATATTTATATAGTAAACGAAGCCAAAAATCGTTATTTTTGATGATCCTAAGTTCTAAAATAATATTGTTCAAAAACAACTAAGTGTCAAATATTAATTTAAATTTATATTTACTTAGTATTTAGTAAAATGTATATTTTTTAAGTAAGTGCAAATATTTTGTATAATGAAAATGCAACCTAACCTAACTAATGCAACCTACACCATGGCGTATTTCGAACTCATTCCTTTTTTACATTTCTCCTGACAGCGCGAAGTGGTCTCCATCCAGGTTGGTCAGTGCGGCATCCAGATCGGCAATGCCTGCTGGGAACTGTACCTCCTGGAGCACGGCATCAATCTTGACGGCAGCCTGAAGACCAAGGAGGAGCTGACGGCCAGCGGGAGTAGTGCCAGTGTGGGTCACGACACCTCGGCCAATGATGCCCGGACCTTTTTCACGGAAACCGGCAACGGGAAACAGGTGCCCCGCTCGATTTTCGTCGATCTGGAACCGACGGTAATCGATGACGTAAGGAATGGCTGCATGAAGGATCTCTACCATCCGGAGCAACTGATTTCGGGCAAGGAGGATGCGGCGAATAACTATGCCCGCGGTCGTTACTCCATTGGCAAGGAGGTGATCGATAGGGTGACCTCGAGGCTGCAGAAAATCGCCGAGCAGTGCGATAGTCTGCAGGGATTCCTCATCTTTCACTCGTTGGGCGGCGGTACTGGCTCGGGATTCACCTCCCTGCTGGTGGAGCGACTATCGACCGATTATAGCAAGAAGTGCAAGCTGGACTTTGCCGTTTATCCCTCGCCCAAGGTCTCCACGGCTGTGGTCGAGCCATACAATGGCCTGCTGACCACCCACTCGACCATGGATCACTCGGACTGTGTGTTCATGGTGGACAACGAGGCCATCTACGATATATGTAATAATAGTTTGGGCGTGGACAGGCCAGCCTATAGCAATCTGAATCGTTTGATTGCCCAGATAGTGAGTTCTACAACGGCCTCTTTGCGTTTCAGTGGCTCGATGAATGTGGATCTCAACGAGTTCCAAACGAATCTGGTGCCCTTCCCCAGGATCCACTTTCCCCTTGTGGCCTACGCACCTCTGATGTCCGCCGAGAGATCGGCCCACGAACAGCATGCCATCACGACCTTGACCAATGCCTGCTTTGAGTCCTCCAATATGATGGTCAAGTGTGATCCTCGCCAGGGTAAATTCATGGCCTGCTGCATGCTTTACAGGGGCGATGTGGTTCCGAAGGATGTGAATGCAGCCGTATCGGCTATCAAGTCCAAGCGGCACATCCAATTCGTGGACTGGTGTCCCACTGGATTCAAGATTGGCATCAACTACGAGAGGCCCGCCTATGTGCCGGGTGGAGATTTGGCCAAGACTTCGCGGGCCTGCTGCATGCTGTCCAATACGACCGCCATTTCGGTGGCCTTCTCGAATCTGTCCTACAAGTTCGATCTGATGTTCCGGAAGCGGGCCTTCGTCCATTGGTACGTGGGCGAGGGCATGGAGGAGGGCGAGTTCACGGAGGCGCGGGAGAATATCGCCGTCCTGGAGCGGGACTTCGAGGAGGTCGGTCTGGACAATGCCGAGGAGGGCGGTGATGAGGACTTTGATGAATTTTGAGAACACATAACAGTTTACAGGCCCAGTCACTCCAATATCCAATCTGTATATGTAAATAATAAAGTAACAATGCGTTTAAATTACCATGATTTTAATTGGGTACGGGGAGAGGGTTAGTTTCGTAGACTTTCATCAACAGAGCAGTAAAAAGGAACTTGAGGCAATTTGGAAATATTTAAATGACGCATTACTAGAAAAAATGTAATTGAATCAGTACTTTAGTACTTTAATTGAGATTTTTTAAAGATTAAAACGAATTCCATTTATCAATGAATAGGAAAAAGAAGAAAAAATGAACTAATTAAGATTAATTGTTGATTTTGTGGAAAAAAAAGATATAAGCTCATGTTATTTAATAAGTCGAAAGTTCACAAAATTCGTTAAAACTTCCCCTAAAAATCCAATTATTCAAGAGTTATAATAAAAACACATTAGCATTAGTTTTCTGTAATATTTTTTTGTATTTTTTCTTTAGTTTTTTTTTGTTGTTGTGTTTGTTGTTTATTATTTTTTAACGCCTATTCGCTATGTTCTTTTCAATTGTATTTTTTTGTTTTACTTAATTTTACTAGATTTTATTTTGAACTTGCAAGTATTTTGCGTTTTTTTGTTTCTTCATGAACTTACAATAAGAATCATCAAAAAGTTGTTGCACAGTGTAAAATTACAATATTTTTGTTTGTGTGAGTGTATGTTTTAGGTGTATGTATGTGTTTTGTGATTTTGGGTGTACGTGTATATCTTCTACGGTGTTAATCTATAAATCTAAATTTCTCTCTAAGAGCAGGCCAATGTTTACACCAATCAACTGGGAATTATCGTTCGTGTTAACTTTTAAAATCAGAAAACGGCAAAAGTTTCTTTAAACAAAGATCCTACTATACAAGGGAAAGGCATTGCATTTGTGTACTTTTTGTTTTGTTTGTTGGTGTATATTGTTAAGTGTTATCTTTAGTTCTCTATTTAGTATAATTACATAATGACGATTTCCCATCTACTGAGTTTGCATTTGCTTTAATTACAATAGATAATCCATAAAAAATATATAACGATGATGATGGCAAAATATGTTGTTTTCAAATTGTTGTGGTTGTTGATTTGCATTACAAATTGCTGTTAAAGTTGTGTTGGCGGTAGCTTGCTAACGGTGTTCTGGTTTCTGTTGTAAACGTTTGCTGATTCAACTGCCGCTTTTCGGTTTAATATGGAACATTTGAGAAGAGATACGACACACTCTCGCCGTTGTGTGTCCGTCTGACGGCCTCGGCGAACATCATCGAGACATCAATACACTGAGGGGAAGAAAAATAGAAACCATTAGTTTGATTCGAAAAATATTTTGTCACATTCCGTTTTTCATTTTCCTAGAATTTATTCAAGACCCACCTGGATTTTCGGGCAATCCCGCATGTGTCCATCCTGTGGTATGGTATTGGTCACCACCACTGCCTCAAAACAGGCATTATTGATCCGCGAAATCGCGGGACCCGAGAAAATGCCATGCGTCAGAATGGCATACACCTGATTAAAAATCAAAATAAATTATTAAAAATTGGGAAATAAAGTAAGAAGGAAAACCAAACCCACCTTGGTGGCTCCAGCCTCCACCAACCGATCGGCGGCATGCACAATCGTGCCGCATGTGTCGGCCATATCGTCGACCAGAATGGCAATCTTGTCCTTGACATCGCCCACCAGAACCATGGAGGCCACTTCGTTGGCCTTCTTGCGCTCCTTGTGTATCAGGGCAAACTCCACATTCAGGCGATCGGCAATCGAAGTTACACTGAAAGAAGTGCAATTAAATTAATATTGTACGATAAGGAAATATAAGCTAAAAACCTACCGCTTGGCACCGCCAGCATCGGGCGACACAATGATCGAGTTCTTCCACTCGGGAATGTTCTCCTTGATCCACTTGAGTACCGCTGGCTCGGCATAGAGATTATCAACTGGTATATCGAAGAAGCCCTGGAAAAGGAGAGTTTTTAAATTAGTTAAACATAAAGTAGTCGTTGCCAGATGTCAACTGAATGTCAGGGACTAACAATCCGTAGATCGAACAATACAGTTTTGAACATATACAAAATCAAGTCTCCAAAATAAATTTAAAATAAAAGTTATATATTTTTACAAAATGTCCCAACCGCAATCCCAATCCCCTGATCAAGTTTTAAATATGGAGGAGCCGCAGGACGAACTAAAACAGTGGCTAAGGGAGCAGCGCATCATCCTGGACGTGCGTACTCGTCGTGTTTTCTCCGATGTCTTGCCAGTGGCCAAGATTATCAAGCAATGCCACCCGCGTCTGGTGGATCTCCACAATTATACGCCCAAGAGCAGTGTGGTGCTGAAGCTAAAGAGCTGGGAGACCTTTAACAACAAGGTTCTCAAGAAGTTGGGCATCAATGTGCCGCGATCTGGACTGGAGCAACTGGCTGCGGCCGCACCAGGAGCCATAGAGGCGCTATTCCGGGAACTGATTGCCGTGACCAAGTGTGGTAGCCCCCGGCCGAGTCCAATGCTGAATGTCTCGCCGACGCGTTCCCACAAAAGCGAGGTGGTCAAACAGGTGTCCAATAATAAGGATTCCCTGAAACGCACCCTCAACCGGTCCCTCACCCAAGTGATCGAGCGTTCCTCCTCCGCTAATCGGCGACCCAAAGTCCACACCATGGAAGTTGAGGTCCTTGTCAATGGACAGAACAAGAAGATGCCAAAGAAACTGGTGGAGTACGAACACTACGCAAAAGCTGTTCGAGAGAGTGCCGAAAAGTCCAGCTACATTAGTTCTATTATCCAGAAAACCGACTATCTGGAGAGTATGATCGCCGTTAAGGATGAGCGCATATCCGAGCTAATGAATCAACTGGGCAAACTGTCGGTGAGCATTCTTTCAATGCAACCCTTGCTCAGCGATAACGATATCGATGACGATGCTAGGATCAGTATAAATTCCCATACCCATATTAACGACGACTCCGAGGCGTCCATGGGTCCTTGGATCTGAGAGCTGAGCTCCCGTTTGATCCTTCAATACATCAACTTTCCACGGAATCAAAAAAAAAACCGCATTTTATTGGATAATATTTTGTATTTTAATTTGCATTTTTTCTTTGGCTTTACCCCAATAAACAAAACGAAATTGTTACGTCGTTCAAAAGGAAAATTACATTTTCTTTATCGTAATCGAGGTGCGATAGGAAAAACTCATTGAAGGCTTTGCAAAATCACGATATCAAAGATAACTATAAAAAAAACTTGTGGTTTTTATATGAGTTATGGATTTCTTTTTTGGCCCTTGGAATTTAATACAAATTACAGTTCTTATAGGTGGTAAATCTTTGTTAAAAAAAAAAACATTTAGTAAAAATTTATGTTATTATAGTTAAAGGAATTTTTAAAAGTGTATCAATTCAATAAGTTTTTTCGCTTTAATATAATATGTATTTTTAAATTTACGTTTATCCTAAGCAGACTTACCTGAATCTGTGAGGCGTGCAGATCCATGGTTATGATGTGATCGGCTCCAGCCACGGACAGCATGTTGGCCACCAATTTGGCCGAGATGGGCGCACGACTCTGTGCATTGGCCAGCGTAGAAAGAAATGCAACGAAAGGTTTCCATTAGCGCAACTAGTAGTCAGGTTGTTAGTTCAGTTCTTAGGGCTAGGCATTATATGAGGAGTAAACCATGGAAATCAAAATCGAACATGGACACACATATGTATAGACAGAAATCAACAAAGAGGTTAACGTTCCAATAGATTGCATATGGAGGTACGTAATTCATAGACAGAAAAGAGATTCAGTTGCGACAACACAAAGGACGAATGTGATTTGGTGCAGCTCCCCGGAAATGATGAACTGAGATCGCGATAATGAGATATATAGACCCAGGTGATAGAGTGCAACGCCAGTTAGAGATAAACATTTACAGATAGGTCGGTTAATACGCAAACAAGTGCAAAGAAAATCGAAAAATTTTTGAGTTTTTTTTTTTTTTTCCTTTTTTTTTTATTTGATTGGGGCTGGATTTTGGTAGTTTATTTGGATTAGAGAACAAGGCATGCAAAACATCGGTCGGATATACAAGTGTGTATAGGTTGGTTTGGGGAAAGATCATCGTCTCAAAAGAAAACAATATAGAACGCAACAAAGCAAAAGGCTTAAGACAAAAATAATCCAAAGCAAAATGTTCTTTTTTTTTTTTAGTCCCGCAGCAGCATTAAAAATATCAATGCCTGGGATACAGGAACTAACCGCACTACTCACAGTATATTGTTTGGCTGAAAACTCCTAAGCTCAACAGAATTCGAATTTTGTTTGTTTTATATTTTGGGTAATTTGATGCAATATAGAGACAAAGAGTATAAAAAGAAAAAGAAGAAAACACAAAATGTTCAGAATAGTTCAGAGTTTAAAATTAAAATTAATGTGGGTGGGGAGTCACAGTGTAACATAAGTTAAAGGTAACAAAGTCGTAATCCGTATTTCAAAAGAAGGTGTTAGTCAAGTGGGGACGGTGGGGGGATTCAATTCAAATCAGGTTGCAGTGCCAATTCAAGTACATTTTCAAATAATACTATATGTTTTCCTTCCATTTTTAGCTGATTACACCTTGAATGTCAAGAAACTCATTTACAGATTACAGAAATGAAAAATATTTGTGCATTTCGCACGCTTGACCCCCAGGGTTCATCGTCTATATGTACATAATTGTTTACCCCCCATTGCCGTTCCGATCGTCTGACGTCACAGGGGATTATCTAGCAACGGAAAAACTTAATCGAGTGGATTGAAAAACATTTTTTAAGCCCCGAAAGGAGGCTGTGTTGTCAGGGCCCGATAAGACTAGAACAAAAGTGCAAGACGACAACAATCAACACAAACAAACAGCAGTCGGAACAACACAAACAATAATATTTATTAGCAGTCCATTGTAAAAATAGATTAATAAATGTTAATTTTAAATTTCATAAATTCTTTTTTTTTTTTGGTTGCAATGAAGAGCCGCTGAAACAAAACAAACAGAGGCAACGAAAATATGTGGAAAATTTATTTGATTTTGTCACCAATTAGTGTCATTGCATTTTTACCGAATTTTTAGGGTTAGCTAAGAATTTTTTTCATTATTATTAGTTAATGAGGAGGAAACGGGGGATATAGGGAAAGGGGGACATGCAAAATAGACAAAAAGCAAAATTTTCTTTAGAGAAACGAGAAACTTGTTAAGCCAGACGCCAAAAATTTCCTTCGTGTGTTATGAGTTTCTGAGGATGAGTTGTTTGCCATTTTGATATTCCCTTCCAGCTTTTTAGTGTTTTTTTTTGTTTTGATTAAAAGAAAATTAATAAAGAATTTCCCATTAGATATATTGAAGAACATAAAGTGTGAATTGGGTGAGCGTTTAGTGGTTGAAAAAGGTACAAGGTAAATACCCTAAATTTCCAATCGTAGTTTTTCTTGGCTAGTTTCTTGCTTTCCGCATTATCCTCACTGCCTGCCAACTTCACGGAGAAAGAGAGACAGAGTTCGATAGAGAAACGGAGAAAGAGAGAGAATAACACCGAGGCACACACACACACGCGCGGGTAGAGGGAGATAGTTGTAGGAGGGCGAGAAAGAGATAGCGAGCATGGCGTGGGAATAAATAATAATAAAAGTATTTAATCACAAACGGCAGAATAAGCAAAATATAGATATGTTTATCGCTAGTTAATTTAAACAAATTTTCCACATTTTCCAATTGCGTGCGTTTTTACATTTTTTTTTTGCATTTTTCCAGCTTAGCTTCGTTGCAAACTGTTTTTTTTTTTTTTTTAAGAAAATCAAAATCAACTTGATTAACAAAATGCATTAGAAACACACAGACACACACAGAAATAGAGAAGTATATATAGGATAAATTAATCGATTATATAGCAATCAACGATCGAGCTAAACGTTGGGGAAAAACAGCTGGGGGAAAAGTTTACGCTTTTTCATTTCCACCTTTCCCCAATTAAAACAGTGTGTGGGCTTTGAGTTGGAGTTACATAGTCGGATCATCTAGAATTAATTGTTTACATTGCTTTTCTTTGCACGTAGAATCCGAAAAGGGGATCCTTTAAATAGTACCGTGGGCTTTTCGGCGGCCGGATCGTGTTGAGGCAAACCTACCTTATCTTTTTTGTCTTGGCGGGCATATGGAAAGCAAGGAATCACAGCTGTAACACGAGAGGCTGAGGCGATTTTGCACGCATTGATCATGATCAGCAGCTCCATCAAGTTATCGTTGATCTCGCCGGATCCCGACTGCACGATGTACACATCCTCGCCGCGCACCGATTCCCCAATTTCCACACTGCAAAAAACAGAGAGAGCGGGGGTCAGTTGAAAGGCAGGATGGGGGGTGCACTGTGGGAAAAGATCGGCCAGGTTTGACCAAGAAAGTTATAGTTTTGCAAACCAAAATAGCGTTAGATCACAGAACACTTGAAGGCATTGAAGGACTACTATACTTAGTACCATTCTTCATAAATCAATTTCATCTAGAAAAATATCTCAGTGATAAAAAGGTAAGCTAATGTTTTAATGTCCATATTCTCAATTATGGGAAAAAAACACATCATCAATTTGGTAATCATATAATATACATTTTTTTCTCTGTAAAAAATCTTGTATTTTTTCCTCCCTTAGGATTTAGGAAATTTCCATTGTTTGTCTCAAGCTCGCAAGTCCTGGCAACACTTCTCAAATTCACAAGTTCTCAAAGTATCCTGTTCGCCACCCTCCCTTTAATTATTGATATTCTAAACAAGACACGCCCCTGCTTGCAACGCCACATTTGTTGACCTTTGACGACGCCCAAAAGAAACTGCAAGCCAACGCAATCTAATCGAAAAGTTCGCTAATGCTCTCGCACACACACATGGCGTATGCGCAATATTTGCACTGACAACTGACGCCGACGCCGCTTAGTTTATTATATTGTTTACATTTTGTTTTGTTTTGGTTTCGATTTGGGTTCGGTTCGGGTTCCGAGCTCAGTTGGCAACTTGAACTATACGGTTTCGATACCCTTGATGTGGAATGGGGGACTTAATCAATGTTTTTAAAGGCGGAAATAAATTAGAAAATAAAATAGAACATACGAAATTATTGCAATTAGATTCTATTGTTTTTGTTTTCATTTAGGATTTATAAAAATAATAAGAAACTTAAGAAATATTAATTTGTTTATTAAATTACCAAATTAACATCTTTTAACAAAGATTCTATAAAAAATCTATTTAATAGGGGAAGCAAAAACTATTCTCTGTTCAAAAGTTAAATTCCATAAAGCAGCCAATTTCACTCAATAAAACCCTGGTTCAACTAATTCTCTCTTTTTTCGTTGTTTTTTTTTTTTGCGTTCTCATGGTTATTTTGGCTTTTGTTTTTCCATTGAAGGTTAATTCAATTACATAGCGTTTCGAGCATCAGCCCTCAACCGACTATCGATTGAGCGACCTGTGCCAATGTGGTCGGTAATTAATTTGACCAATATTTGGGGGCTATCTTTGTCATATATAAATTCGTGGAAGTAAACGCTTGTCGCGATTGCGTGTTTATTTTGTATAAAAAAAAATAATGCTATTTTTTATTTGTTTCTATTGATAAAAACGTCTCAGGAGAGGTATATGCATTTCTTATCATCATTTGTTGGGCAGCTAAATGCAGCGATTTCATCAACCTTGGCCGGATGCATTTTGGCATTAAATCATGCATTTTTGAACAGATTGCCGGGGCTGCAAAAACACTTTCACCGTTTTGCCGCCATGACATTGTTAGCATGCCGGGAAATCTTCGGAAATTCGAAGGGAAACCCAGGGAGGGGGTGAAGAAATAGGTGTGCTGGGCGTACGGGAGACTTGCGATTGGCAATTGGCCAAAAGCCGCCGCATTGCCAAACAGCTAGCAACAGTTCAGCAGCTGTTTCTTTGGCCGACCGTCAAATAGAACATTTCTGCTAGAATTCATTTCGTTTTCCTTTGTTTTTTACGTATTTTTATCTCTTTCCTCGTTTGCAGGTTTGTCTGCTCATGTGATAATGTAAACCGACAAATGAAAAGAAAAAAGGCGAAAAAACAGTTCAACTTCTCTAATTGAAATCACCAGTTTCACACTTTTTTGTATTTTGTTTGCTTAGTTCTCAAGTTGTTTGATCAAAACATTCTTTTCCTCTTTTAGGGTTCTGTTATTAAATGGAATTTGTAGAAACAGAAAAGTTTTTAGCTAACTATTTAGAATAAATATCATAAGTTTAAAAGTTGTTTTTGAAAAATGTAGTTTAAAGTTTTATACATATGTTGGGTTTAGTTATCTTTATAAAAGTACTGTAAAAATAAAAACTGTTGCCAATTGTCTACCACCATGCTTATCTCAGTCTAGCGGAATCTAAATCGCTTTCGCTTAGTTTCAGCTGCTTTCGGTTGATTTATACATATTTACGCTCCTTATCACTTTTAACTCGGGCCCCTTTCAAAAGCTCGTTGATACCCAACGACCTCACAAGACAAACACGCAAATTCCTTATCGATCAAACTTTAGAGTCGAAAAAACGCCTAGTAATTGACATTTTCAGTGGGTGGTGTGTTGGGGGTGGCGAGTAAAAGCTTAGAATTGCGTGCGGAAAAACCTTCGAAATTGGAAATTAAAGCCCACTTTGGGGTTATTGAAAAATTATTATGAATTGCCAATGGAATTGGACGTGAACTTTGGCAAAGGTCATTTCTGGGTTTTCTTAGTTTGCAGTCATAAAACTTTATGGCCTTCGCATTAATTACCTAATCGGTTTATGGGTCAATGTAAATTATTATTATTATTGGTAATATCTGTAAATTCTAAATTGCTAAAATAAATTATTCACTTAACTCACGTGTGACCTAAAAAACTTAAAGAGCTATAATTTATTTATTCTCTTTTTCTTTGTCATGGTCTTATCATCCGTTATCAAGAAATTGTGCAAAAACAAATTTGTGTCCGAGTTAATACAAGTTTTCATTCGTTTAATTTTTCGTGATCTCATCTGAGCGCCCTTCAATTGAGTATAATCTTGACTAAAGCTTGATCTCTAGCCCAGACGCCTCAGCGACAAAAACAACAACAGAATCATTATCATCATCGTCTTTCGTTCGCTACTATCAATAAAAGCAATCTAGACAAAGTAAGAAACAAATAAAAGCAAAGGTTGACCCGTTACACCAGCCCCAACAATAACAACAACTAGTGCAAATTGGAGCAAAAAGAGCGCATTTAACTGTCAATAGGATATTCTGGCTGCTGTTCGAGAGAATACCAGAAAAAGCCAGAGAGAGAGAGGAAGACGGCCAACAAAAACAAGCCGACAAGTGCAAACAGAAATATTGAGACAACAACAAAAGTGGAGCAACAACCACTATGCACACGTGGGGGTCTGACGTTTAGAGAGAGTGAGAGAGAGAGAGGGCTCCTAAGAGAGCCCCAATGCACAATATGCGGGGGCGTCACTGCCGCAGTCGACGTCGACGTCGACGTCGCAACGTCTGCCGACTCTTGATATGGCGCTCTCCATTCATTCTCACCTAAGAGAGCGTGCTCCCACTCTCAGCCCAGACAGCAAACGAAAAACGTGACAGCGTCGTGTTGTGGTTCTCTACTCGCAAGCATTTAATACCCTGCAATAGGGTATGCCTGATTTTCAAAAGGGTTTACTTTGCGTAGAATATGTTTTGTGATTAGAGAAAACACCTAGAACCATTAATGAATATTTCTCGAATTTCTGTTCTTCATTGTAAATTTCTATGTAATTTAAAAAGTATCCCACTTATAGAAGTTTATTTCTTACATTATAGAACTTGTAAAGCATATAAATCCGAATTTAACAGAGTTTTTAGATAGCGAAAACTAAGAAGGGTATCCGCGCTTCGGCTATGCCTCTCCCTTTTTTCTTTCCGCTGCTTCGTACCTTGGTGTGTGTGCGAGCATAACAAAAACACACGCACACCGTCAAAGCGCGTATCATGTCAAAAAGCTTAGCGCGTATTATAACCTCTATTTTCGTTTCGGTTTCTTCCGTTGCCTCGACTCTTTCACCTTTTCACCGCCCCTAATTGTTTGCTAATGTGGCTTTTGTTTAATTTTATTAAAAACAAAAAGGAAAAGTTGATAACGAAAAACTTGGAATGGGTGGGGGAAAACCATGGGCGCCTTTATTTATTATTTGTTGTTGTTGTTGCATTAGCAGCTGACTGGCTGGTCTTGCGCGTGTGTGAGTGCGTGCGAGAGAGAGGCGGAGAGAAATAGAAAGAGAGGGAAGCAAAAAGCGTGCAAGCCGCAAGTCTAGACATACAAACATACACTTACACACAGCTGCTAATTTAATTAAAAATATAAAATGAAAATATTTTTCGTTGGTTTTTTTCGGTTTTCCTTAGATCTTTTGAGTTTTTTAAAATTAAATTTAAATTCGGTGAAAATTGCACGCGACATTGGTTGAGCTTTGTGTGCCTGTGTTCGTGTGTGCTACTCTCACTCATACCAGCGCACCAGCACTATACACACACACACGAACGCAAGGCTATAGCGACAAAGACGGTGTACAGTCCACTTGTTAAATCAATAAAAATAAAAAGAAATCAAGCCAAAGGTAGCCCACAAGATTCGGAAAAATCATCCAGTTTTGGGTAATCGAAACCCTCATTGATTTCCAAGTCCGATTGCGGCCCCGAATCGCCAGCAACCTTCAGCGAATGTCAAGGACCCGTCGAGCACATGTGTTTGAACAAACCGTTTTTGAAAACTAATTAGCACACTTTGAAACACACTTTGATTAACACTTGTTGGTCGCCCAACAGAGGCGATTCGCTCGCAGGACTCTCTACTCACCAGGTCTCCAAGTTGCTGAACTTCTTCGTGACCACCTTGCCGAGATCGATGCCCAGGCGATCGACGATCCGCTGGGCCAGGTCCGGATGCGAGGTGCCCGAAAACACTTTGATGTTCGGCATTCTGGAGTGGATTAAATTTAGACAACCAGCCTGTTTCTCCAAATTGTCTCGGATCAAACTTCTAGCGCGTACCGGATTAGCAGAACGAACTGGCATCACACAACCTGCGAGTAGAAGTTTTTATTATAAATTTTTTTCGCCAAAAGTGGGGGCAGCGACGTCGCCGCCTTATCGGTGTGCTCGCGCGAGCGTAAGAGAGAGCGCCGTTCGCTCTTTAAGAGAGCAGTGGTGCGCAACTCGCTCTTTCGGGCTCTCTTTGGTTCAAAGCCACCCCAATCTCCAGACCATGTGATTTTCCTACGTGTTATTTCTTTTCTCCAGGGAACTGAAAAGCTATCGATGTCGATTTCGGTCTTTTAAAGCGGTTCGATAGGCTTTTTATAATTTAAATATTTTAATCATTTTTGTTTGACGAATTAAAATATTTTAAAGTTTAGGTCAATTTTTTATAATTTCATTCGAAAATTGGAAATTTTAAAGAGTAAACTTTTCTATACGTCAAAAATATTTATTTTTTATGAAAAAATTGTATTGCACTAAATATTTAAAGAGAAAAAAAAAGTAACCTTTCCTAACAATAATTTATTTTAAAAACTTAAAATAACACTAAGTACAGAAATATATGTATTATATGCAATATCCTTTTTGATTTTTAACTAAAATTAATTTAACTAAATGCAGACAAAAATTACATATATTCGCTTTTATATTATAAAACATTATATTGCTATTCTATTTATCATATTATTGGGAATGCAGATAGCGGAGTAATAAATTCCTAATATGAATGAAAATATAAAAATATAAAATATATATATGTCTCACTATTTTTTCCCTGTTATTACTAATTTTATTGGTAAAATATTTTTTACCATCCCCGTGTAATTTATAAATTTTTAAGCATAAAAAATATGCTGGCATGCCAACAGGCGCGCGCCAAATGAAAAGCTTTTGAGACGAGCTAAACAGCTGTTCCACGGATGTCCCCAGTTGGCCATGAAAATCGCACACACACTCACGGACAGCAGAAGGGAAAGAATGTGAGTTCTAGGACATAATCTACGCACCATTCTGCTCGTTCTCGTTGCATTTCTTATCGGGCATTATTCACTAATCAACTCCCGAGATCAAGGTGCTGCGACAGGTAAGCGGCGACTGAGAAGAGTGATGTTTTTTTAGTGGCCTGTTAAACAACAAGTCGCACTCACAGCTGTTTTTCCCCCAGGCTAACTGAAAAGTGCACTGTTTTAGCGACAATTGGGGATTGAGATTAGCAGCAGCAGAGCGCCGCATCTGGCGAAATTGAGCGAGCAAATGGAACTGAGCGCCGTACAACATGGCGTATGCGTCCATTACACATACGCACCGGTGCACACACACATGCAGTGAGCTAGAGCGGGAGAGAGAGCTTCAGAGAGAGGCCAAGGATGAAGATGCGCAGTGGCAGTTGATGCCACTGAAACAGCTTTCGGGATGCCACAAATACAAATACTATGCTGTGCTTTATTTCTCTTTTTTAGGATCAGCTGTTTTCAGTAGGCAATTTCCATTGAATTTTAAATACGTCATATTGCAGTTTTAGATATTTATAAGCCTATTAACTGCCACACTTGGCAAAAATTGTAGCAATTAAAAATAAAAGAAAATTATTAAAAACAGGAAAAATAATTATTTTAGCAAAAAAATCAAGATTTAAATTGTTTTATTGCCAATATAACCTGCAGGTCAGCTTATCTTTGTTCGTGATGTTCATTTTTAAAAATTTATTGACTGCTACATAGAAATAAAAATAAACTATAAACCGATATCTTATGCAATTAAAATGTATTTTTAAGGTCTAGGGCTTAATAAAAATCTAGGATCTAAGACAATAAAAAACCTTCGTATTTTCACACTTTAAATATCAATGTTCAAAATAAATTACAACAAAATAACCGTAGTTTTTTCTCGGTGCATCTCTGCCTTGTACGGATTTCAATTAGTTCTGGAACAATTGTTGCTCTGCAAACATTTATACAATTGATAGCAGCAGGAATGTTTTGTTTTCTAGAATGCCAAACTCTCAGCACCGGGGTACAGTTTTTTCTTTTCGTTCCACGGGGGCTCGTCTTTGCTTTTCCTGCCCCTGAGATGCTATCTTGTTGTTTGTGCAACTGTACCTGGGATGCTGAACAAAAGAACGTCGCTGAAAACACTGCGATTTGTTAAATTGTTTTTGCGTGCCGAAGGTCTAAATATAAACGAACTAATGCCAAATGCTGACGTACTCTTCTCCGTGTTTTATCCCTAAAAACTGACGCAAATGGCGTTGCAAGTGGGGCGTACGTACGAAAATAATGAAAGTGGGGATCGCGGGGTGGTGAGGCGGAAACCACGTGCCGAATGCGACGCACGTTTTGAGACGAGACGAAAACAAGGGCACGCACACACGATATCGAAAGCAGGGAATAATACAATACTCAGGACTTACTTGAAACATGTGCAGTTGAAAAGTGTCGCAAGTACTTTCGGACTATAAACTATTAATCACTATGCGATGCGGATGGTTAAACACGTTGGTCAATTGAATAGTGACGGTTGTAGTTTTTGATTCCGCTTGCATGCAGCCGCTTCTCAGAAAATGCAAAAGCTGAATGAATCACAGAATGCTTTCGATTCGCATTTGAGCGAGGGAAGTTGAGTTTCTGGAGTTGTAGTGTGCGAGAACAAGAGATAACGAGAGGGAAGGCTAACTCCACAAGTCGAAGCTCAGACACCCTTAAAGAACAAAAAAACCGGTATAAGTAACATAAAATTGCAAATAAAATATAAATAAATGCTATGTAGAATTATACATTTTTTATGATCAAAGAAACCGCTTTCAAGGCCCCTACACTTTTATTAAAATTTAAATTTTTAAATTATTTTTTGTTAGTAGGTTGACTTTAAAAACCACCAAAATATGGACATTCTGATTAAATTTAGACTATAACTCAAAACTTTCATCATACCAATGCCACTTAATTTTCTTATACTAATGCGTTTGGGATATGTACATGGATCTTTTATAAGGTAGGAGATTCTTTTGTGTTGCATATTCTGGTCAAAATTATAGTATCCTTTGAAAGGGTATTTTAAGGAGAGCAGGAGAGTGGAAGAGCGCTGGATAGAGAGGCAGAGAGAGCCGGCATTTTTGTTAGTATCGGTCACTCGCTTTGTTTTGGGGCGAAACGAAAGAGCGGCGCAAAAAGGGGAGCATAAACACGTGTGGCCAACAGGCAAAAGCAAAAGAGGCCGAGACTCTTCCATTTGAATTTAGTCTCCAAATGTTTATTGGGTTATTTTTCTTATCCGAAAATTGTTGCTGTGTTGGTCGCAAAACTTCCCCACACGCTTTTGCTGACACGTTTTATTTTTCTCGATCGCCATTTGTGCGAAACGTGAATTTCGGCAGTAAAAGAGAATGACGAGTTGGAGGTTTTCTGGGGCGGGGAGCATTTGTACCCTATAAGTGGGTCGTCAAAGGTGCATTGAATCCCTTTTTTTTAAATCCAAGTATCTTGATTTGCTGTTAATATTTTTCAATAGTGATACAAGACTGGATAAAATTAATTTAAAATCTTTATACAAAATAAAGACTTTCTATAACACCTTATATACCCAGCTGTACCCATTATAAACCCAAGATCGTATGGCGCATAATTAAAGCTTGTCTATTATTTTCGGACTGTTGCCAAGAGAGGCCTACGCCTTAGAAGAATAAACTTCTTATTTTTGTTTATAAGAAGCAAAACAAGTTTCAAATTTCCGACCGCAGACAAGGTAGGTGAGCGTAATAGAACCATATTACTGAGGTCATAAGAACTTCGATTATTATGAATTCTGTGTATTCGGTGTTCAAGATCAGAGGCGCAGTGGAAAATAACCTTAGCTCTGTGCCAATGAAAAGCTGCGGCTGATTTATGCTATGATATAGGGGTTCTGTTCTGGGTGGCGGAATTTTGATCCGATATCAAAAGTTGGTTCTCGGGGTTACGATAAATCTTTAGAACTAAATCTATTTAATGGGATTTTCTGTTATTTTTTATTTGTGATATTTTTATTTTGTGATTTTAAAGTCAGTTCTTTTATCTAGAAGAGCTGGGCCATGAATTCTCACGCTATGGCGGTGGAGATTCCTTTGGGTTGTGACCCAGTTTCTCAGATGCCTTTCTTAGAAGAGGATCCTTCTTGTGAAAACGGAAAACCAAAGCAAGAGGGAGACTGCTTGGATGTTCCTCCGTCAGAACCCCTTGAGAAACTTCAACCATTGGTAGGATATCCCTCAGGATTCTTGCAATATCCCCCAGGACAGCAACCCATTGTCACTCAACCTAAGGACTGGAAAACTGTAATACCAAACTGTTCACGCGGACTGGAGTACCTGGCGACCATTGACCAGCTTTTGGTTAAGCAGAAGGTCGAAATTTTCGAGGCCATCACTGGTTTTGAGACCAACAACCGGTACTCCATCCAAAATGCCTTGGGACAAAGGGTGTTTTACGCGGTGGAGGACACAAACTGTTGCACTCGCAACTGCTGTCCCGAAAGACCCTTCCACATGAAGATTTTCGATAATTATCTCAAGGAAGAGGTGATCCATCTGCACCGTCCCCTGGGCTGCTCCTGTATCTGCTCTCCCTGCTGCCTGCATAGCATTGAGGTATCGGCTCCACCCGGAAACGTGATCGGTAGAATCCAGGAGGAGTGGTCCATTTGCAGACCCTGCTTCCGCATCCTCAACCAAAGTGGAGATCTCGTGCTGCGCATCGAAGGACCCTCATGTTTTTGCTCAACTTGCTGTAATGTCAACTTTAATGTGGGTTTGCTCCATACAATAATTTTTTATGATTAATTTTTATTTTCATTTTTCATTAGGTGCTATCTTTGGATGGTGAAGAGGTCGGCAGGATAACAAAACAGTGGTCGGGACTTGGTCGTGAATTGTTCACCGATGCAGACATGTTCGGCATGACCTTTCCAATGAACATGGACGTTAACCTAAAGGCAGTTCTACTGGGCGCAACATTCCTAATCGATTTTATGTTCTTTGAAAAGCAATGTGACTGCTGTTTCAGATTTTTCGATTGCTGCCTTGGTTGCCTTAATAATGCATAAGAAAGTCTCGATTCTAAAGAAATTTGCTTACTTAGTTGGATAAGACTGAACCCTCACAAGTCTGAAACCTGATTCGAAGTTTATCTGTGTCCTTTGTTTACAAACCTTATATAAATATTTATTGTCAAATAGGCAGAAAATTTATAAATGTATGGGAATATTCGTTTGTTATAAATGTTTTTTTTGTTATGTAATAATGTTTATTATAAAAATGTTAATAAAAAAAACTTTTCTATTAAAATGTATTTATCGAAAATAGTTTTAGTAAGAAATTAAGTCAGGATTAATAGATAAAATGATGCATAAAAATCACTTTAAATTCACTTTACGTTTAAAGTCGATGACGATTTTTCGCGCCGATTTACAGAACCCCTTGCGATGCGCCAATCGATAGGGGAGCTTTCAGAATTTTTGGCCATGCGGCGCGCTGGTCATACTAAAAAACAAAAAAAAATAGCACAGGCAAAATAGTCGTGCTGAGGCGCTGTAAAAAGTCATTTTTTTTTGACGAAATTGGGATATTGAGTTTGTTATTTGTTGTGTGCTGGTCGAGCTCGTTGCTTCGACTATTTCGAAAACCAAGCGAGGGGAGCGACCTTGGAGGCCACCGACCAGTCGTAATTTACGCAACGCACCACAAAATCCGCAAAATTGCACAGGGGCCAACAACAAAAACAGAGGGCGAACAGAGAAGAGGAGAGGCGGAGAAAGGAGAACGGCGAACGGAGCACACGGAGAGAACAGAGAAGAGAGCCCGAGAAACAGAAGAAACATCATGGCGAACATGGCCGTGTCGCGGATCAAGAGGGAGTTCAAGGAGGTGATGCGCAGCGAGGAGGTGAGTTTCGGGGACCAAGGACGAAGGACACTTACCCGCTCCCTCGGCATCGCCAGCTGCACCACCGCCACCCTTACCGGAGGTGCAGGGGATGGGGTCCATGTCCACGGACTTTGGTTCCATTTTTTGGCGCGCTTCTTGGTGCCGTGTTAAATTGCCAGAATATCGATATGTCGACTCAAAATGTAAACAGAATTGTATGATTTGTGTATTAATATTATTCATTCGTTGCCCCTGACAGATCGTCCAGTGTTCCATCAAAATCGAACTGGTCAACGACAGTTGGACAGAGCTGCGCGGCGAGATCGCCGGACCGCCCGACACGCCCTACGAGGGCGGTAAGTTCGTCCTGGAGATCAAGGTGCCCGAGACATATCCCTTCAATCCGCCAAAGGTAAGAATGTGCTGGGGATAAAACTTGGGAGATCTCTTAGAACCTTTCAAGATTTTAAGCAATATTTATAAAAATATTTACCAAAAGTTCTACATCATTTAAGTGAGCTAATGATACTGATATTATTGATAAGGATATCTTAGAACACTTGGGGCCGTTTTCTCGTCCGCCTGTTAAATTTAAAGTAGGGTTAAAACGCTGACTTCCCATACGATTTCAAGGTTTTAAATTTAACTTTAAATTTAACAAACGGACTAGAAAACGACCCTAAAAATTCTATTTCCCTGAAAAATGGTTTATGTTCATATCTAGAGTAACCATTGAGAGCCATAAAATGCATCACTTTCAAAAAACCTCGAAGGTAGTTTTCAAACAATTATTTTGTACATTTTATAGAATTTTTAGATAATAATTATAGCTAAACAATAAGTAACTAAGACCAAATTGAAGACTATATCATAAAATTATAGATTAAAGTAATTACACTCCTTTGGTCATTAAAACAAACAAATTTTGTGTTTGTAGTGATTCTAACAATAATAAAATCATAGAGAAGCATTCAAAACGCCCAATGACTCAACTGGATTTTGAAAAAGATAAAAAGAAATGACTTTAATTATAATTCTTGAGTAGCTCATGACGAGATTTTTTTTAAAAAGTTAAATTTTTTTTAAATTGGGAACTAAATAACCCTGTAACTCCTTATTAGGTTCGTTTTATAACGCGCATCTGGCACCCGAACATTTCGTCGGTGACGGGCGCCATTTGCCTGGACATTTTAAAGGACAATTGGGCCGCGGCGATGACGCTGCGCACTGTTCTGCTGTCCCTGCAGGCGCTCCTGGCCGCTGCCGAGCCAGACGATCCCCAGGACGCTGTGGTGGCCTATCAATTCAAGGACAAGTACGACCTGTTCCTGCTGACCGCCAAGCACTGGACGAACGCATATGCCGGCGGTCCGCACACCTTTCCCGATTGTGATTCAAAGATCCAACGTCTCAAGGACATGGGCATCGACGAGCACGAGGCGCGCGCCGTGCTCTCCAAGGAGAACTGGAATCTGGAAAAGGCCACGGAGGGCCTGTTCAGTTAGCTTGCCCCAGCCACACCATCATCAGTACCATTCATGGAGGCGGCAGCACCAAGAACACCGGAAACTTCAGCATCAACCTTTCAGATCGGCAATCACGCTAAATTCTAGTACCCCAAAACACACAAAACAAAATATTTTTCGTAAATTTTTGTCCACAAAATGGCATTGCCCTGTAACTATATCAATTGTCTATTCTGTTTTCTATTTTTATGATTATCGTGCACCTTTTGCCGCTGGGTGGGTCCCCAAAAAGGTTGAACCTTTGGCCATGCCCGCGCTTCATCAAGCAGTTGCATTTATTTGCAGGCCCTTTCTTAAACAATACTGTCTTTTTCCATTTCAACCTTAATTTATACCACACAAAAAAAAAAATGATTTAAAAAATTAAATGTGAAAATGAGAAGTGTATAACAAATCGAAGTCTTTGTAAATTGCGTTAAGTTAATAAATAAATAAACAAATATTAAGAAAAGCTAATGAGCAGCTATGATTTTTGATAGGCCCAGACTGAATATTGTGCAATTTTTAAGGCTCTTTCTGACGCCAAAACCTAAATAAAATCCAAATTCTTGGTCATTTACAACCCAAATTTCTGCTAATCATATAATCATATTTAAAAAATCCCTAATATGATGCAATACAATTGTTTATATATTTTTCTACATTTTCAATTAATTAATTTGTTCTACATATTCATAGGAATATTTATGATTTGCGCTAAACATTTGACTAGTACATTTGGTGACTAAATATTTGGTCTACGATCGTTGCTGGTGAATGCAATTAACTCTTCAAAAACGAATTTCTACTTGTGCTTTTGCTTCGACATGACGGAAACGGAGGATCCACCGGTTGTAATTGCAGATCCCAGACAGGCGTTGCTGCTCTGGGGCACTGAGAGGCCAGTGGCATTGGTTCCTTGGATGTTGTGATGACTGTGCCGCTGTTTTAGCATCTCCTTCCACTCGGACTCGAGCCGCACATAGGAGCCACCGAGCGGTTGGGCGTTTTGGACCAAACACTGATCCGTTCCGGTCTTTTTGGTAACATAATTTGCCACCTGCTTCATGATCTTCTCCTCGAAATCTCGCTGGTGATCCTGGTTGCTGCGGGCCGACAGATCGCCGGACCAAAAACGACCCGATACATCGGTGGGACTTGAAAAGTAAACAGTATGTATGTATTTTTTATTGATATCGTACACTCATAGAAATTTTTACCCTAAATCGCCCTAAAAAAACAGACTTTTCGACCGTTACGATTCGCCCGTGTATTTAGCAAAATTTTTCTAAAAAATCCCTATGGAAATTTGGTTTAATAAAGGGTGATTTTTCTTGAATTGAGAAATATTTTCCTGTTTTAAGGTGATTTGCCCTAAATTTTAGGTGTATTTTTCTAAAAGTAAGGTGTAAATTTAAGGTGTATTTTTCTAAAAGTATGGTCGAATTTTCTGCCCTAAAAATTAGACAAATTAAAAAAAAATTTTAGGGCGATTTTCTAAAATGTAGAAAATTATTTTTATGAGTGTAATCATGCTTACCGCTTTCGTGATTTTTTTCCACGCGTTTTCCTGGGCGGTGGACGATGCTCCGACTCGCAACCATCGCTGCTGGAACTGTAGTCCTCATCATCGTCGTGAACGTTGCGCATGCGTGGACGCAGGCATCTGGCATCATCCTCGCTGGTGGACGTCGTCTCGGAATCGGTGCTGGTGTCCATTTGGTAGCGCGATCCGCGCATCCGACGGCTCACCCGGTGGTTGGTCACTGGAGAAAAGAGATTACGACTGAACACATCGCCCAGTAATCCAGTAACCCACCTCTTTTCAGGACACTGTCCATGCAGAGTTGCGGTAAAAGTCCTTGGCGACATCGCTGGGGAGTCAGTGAGATTCCCTGCCAGCTGGGACTGATCTCGCCGGCGGCTGCCAGTTCCTGGATCCTCAGCGGTGGCTGTTCGCACAAGGCATAGTTCTCGCCCACCAACTGGGCTATGGCCAGGATGGCACGCTCGCGATCCGTCTCCACCAGGACACTGTGCTCACGGAACTGGCAGCCCTGAAAAGTAATTTATTAATAGCAGATAACTAGGAACTGTATTTACAGTCAGTCACAAAAGTATTCGTTGCAAGGTGTTTCACAAAGAAATTGAGTTCTTTTTTTTTTTAGGTAAGTTGCTAGTTGATTTTTATAAACGATACCTAATTTTGTCGTTTGTTTAATGCTCTTTTAGATCAAAGAAAGAAACATTAGAAAATAATTTTTTTTAATATTTTTAAACTGAAAATTCTTAAAATACATCGGAATATTGTGAGGCCATATTTTTGGATTTAATCGTTTAATACAGCAATGAAGCTACTTTTTGTAAATTTTTTTTATATTTTATATATTTGCACATATGTGTTGAAACTGATAAAATTAATAAAATAATTAATATGTTACGTTAATGTTAAAAAAAAACTCAAATTGTTTGCAAAACACCTCGCAACGAATACTTTTGTGACTGACTGTACATTTATACAAACATTTGGCCCCGGCAGCGTCTCGTAGCGGAAAGCCTGCTGACCGCAGCAGGAGAAGCGTCCGGCGGGTCCGGCATTGCCCACGGGACCCAGGAAGTTGGGCGTCTCCGGATGGAAGCGACACCAGTGCATCTGGTAGACCGGAAAGTGAGCCTCGCAGGTGCAGCAGTAGAGATAATGGCAGTGACCCCACAGCTTCCAGTACACCTTCCGCCAGGACTTGAGCTCCTTGAACAGCTGCACGATGTAGACATTCAGATCCCAGTTGGCATCGCGCACATGGTGGCTCATCAGTTGGCCCCAGCGATTCAGCCGTATATTGCTGGGCACACAGCTCACGTAGGATTTCATCGTGTTGGTCACGCAATTGAAGCAGCGGGAGCAGCGAAACAATCCGGACATGCTGTAGAAATGTCCCCTCAGTGCCTCGGGATCCGGTTCGCTGAGGGACTGAATCAACTTGGTCCACAGACGCGGTGTCACTCGCTCCTTTTTATCCCTCACCATCTCCAGCTCCAGATTGGTGAACATGGCCGCCAGTCGGGTGACCAGGGCATCATTCAAGCACGACAGATTCGTGGATGTGCGGACCACTTCGCTGAGATGAGCGTGACAGAAGGCCAGACACTCGAGCAGTAGGGGTTCCATCTGCAGAAAGCTGGCGGACACTAAAATGGGCACCACATTATTGCCATCCAACTGCGGTCCGCTGCTCTGGGTGGCAACTGGCAGATCCTGGCTCTGGGCACTGTGCTTGATCCATTTCATCAGCCAGTCGAAGATGAGAATGTCGCAGTGCACCGAAATGTCCATCTCCTCTAACCTTTGACCCGCTGTCACGTCCGCAAAGTAGCCCATCTTGGTCACCAGCAAATGTTGCGGGCAGGTGAAGTCCTTCGAGGTGTTCTTCACCTCGTCGCAGACGTGGATCACCACCTCTGGTCTAGCGGGATAAAGCATAATTCAATTAAATTTATAATACAAATGAGGGAAATACTTGCTTTACAAATGTCTTATCTAAACTACTATAAAATTGGACCTCTAAAAAACAGTCAGTAGCAAATTTCACCCAGAACGGATTGACAAAAAAACCTAAAAAAATCACATTAATTACTAAAATAATATATAATATTTCTTATAAACTTTAAATTTTTCTAACTTAAAAATCCAACTAAATTATATATTTTTTACTCAGTTTAAATACTCTTTAAAATCGTTAGTGACCACTTAGCAAGGTCATAATAAATTAGTATACTTAATAAATAAATACCAATAAATAAAGGATACTTACTCCTTTCTCTCCTGCCTAGCATGCTTGCTGTCCTTAACCAGCAGCAGGGATTTGCGTCTGCCGGCATTTAATCCAGCTGTCTTGGGAATCGGCTCCTTGATCATGGCCCGTACCATACTGTTGGATATCGGATCTGGATGCAGTGCATCTCCGCCGGCATGTACCTGCTGAAGGCAAGGAGCCGAGGGAGTAGCTGCAGGCAAAGGCCCATGGGTGTGGCCGAGCTCCATTAAAGATTTTGAGGCTCCCGAGGGAAGAGGAGCCGCCGGTGGTGGGACAGGATTCGGATTCGGAGTGGGAGTGGGCGATGTCTGGGTGAGACTCTCCTTCGGTGGCTGGAGCTGCTTGGGCTTTGTCTTGCCAGTCTGCAGCTGGGTGGGCATGGGAACCGGGCATATGAAGGACAGCACCGAATCGAGAACACCCTCATTTATGGCCGCATCCAGTTGCTCGCCCAGTTTGGGATGCAGTCCCCGATAGGTGGACTCTGGACGGGATGAGCGGCTGTGGTGGCTGTGTCCCGAACGCAGTACACTGGATTTCGCTTCCTGCAGCAAACGACTCTCGTCCGTGTGACGAATACTGGAATTCCGGGAGGGACGTCGAAGTCCGAGTAGTGAGTTGACCAGCGGGTTGTCCGCCAGTTGGGCGAAATCAAACTCGTCCTTTTTGAAATTTCTCTTGGTTGCTGTGGAGGACGCACTGCCCTCCATCGGCGGCACCGGCTCCCTAGTGTGTGGTTTCCCCATATCGGCCTTCGCTATCATATCGTTCACATGACAGGACAGTTTCAAAAACTCTAGGAATTCGTTCAAACTGATTTGAAACTCGGCGCCGCCATTCCCGGAATCGATTGATTTCTGGGAGGGAGCCGTTTGCGGTTCCTCCGGCTGGCCAGCCGAGGCTCCCTCGTCGGAGCCCGATTTCTGCATCCTGTCCAATGCACAAATCAATGGGAACTGGCCACTATTGATTGATTTCTACGTTACTCCTGGCAACAGTGCAGTAATGTAGAAAAAAAAGAAAAACAATGCAACTGGTGACCCCAATTGATTTTTTCAAACCATTAAATTCCCAAGTCTTATTAATTACTTGATTAAAATAAAATATTTAAGTATAAACAATAGGGTGGGTCGATTTGAGACCCCAAAAATCGTATAGGGGGAACGTAATCTTTAAAGGATTCTAAGCCATATTGGCGAACATACTTATGGTCTAAAATTTAGATTATTTACACACGATTTTACCTGTTTGAATTTTTACGTATATTTATATTTTGAGATTGAAAACAAAGTAGAGGGTATCTGATGGTCCTGACTTCATTTTTTCCATATTTAGATGCCTGTTAACCCAAAACTTTTGTATTTCTAAATTGAACCACTATAACGGATTTTTAAAATTAGTTTTTTTCCATCTCTACCTTTTTTTTGTTTAGAAGGTTTCGGTGTTTTGCACGTGAGTTCAAACATGAAGTTCTATATATATTTTAAGACTAATACAAATTGTTAAGTCATATTTTTTTTTTAGCAGAGGTTTTTAGACAGAAAGCAAGATTGGTAAGCACCGGTGCTATAATTGTAATAATATTTTGCTGGACACTTATAAAAAATACGTAATTTTAAATTCAAAATGGGGCTGCCAATCGATTTTGTACACCACTTTCATCGTAAAATTTGGTTTTTGTCTTCGCTGTTTTTCGGTTGTGTGAAATATATATCGATATATGTGCGATAGCAGCTATGAGGATAGGATATATCGAAGAAGTGTCACTCTCTAGCGATCTTTCATTTTTCAATCGGAATCCAATTGGAGTTCTCCCTCCCGATCAGAGGAGGCCTCCACCAGCGCCGAAATGCGCGCTCCACAGCTTCCCCTTGCACTGTACTGTAGGTATTATTCATGGCCCTAGCCATGTCTTTTTCTTGGGCCATTGTAAAATAAAAAAGAAAAATATAAAAAGCAAAAGATATAAAGAAAAAAAAAAAAAAGAAAAAGTCAAATATAAAGTACAGAAAACCTCGACTATCAAAAATCTTATGTGCTCGCGAAGGAACTCCAGCTCCTCCCTATGGGCACAATAGTGGCGGGGTCACTCTCGGACTTTCTGAAAGACCCCCGCAGAAAATGAGGATATAGCTGATGATGATAAAATATACAAAATATTCTTGCCTGTTTTCCTAAAGAGCCTCGATATGCCCACCCCTGCCTGCCGCCTCTCAACTCTGGAAAACCCAGAATTGTGGTACAGGCACGGGTAGCCATGTCTTTTTCTTGGGCCATTGTAAAATAAAAAAGAAAAATATAAAAAGAAAAAGATATAAAGAAAAAAAAAATAAAAGAATAAGTCAAATATAAAGTACAGAAAACCTCGACTATCAAAAATCTTATGTGTTCCCGAAGGAACTCCAGCTCCTCCCTATGGGCACAATAGTGGCGGGGGTCACTCTCGGACTTTCTGAAAGACCCCCGCAGAAGCTCCCACCTCTCCTTGCAGTATATCACTACGGATATAAAATGAGGATATAGCTGATGATGATAAAATATACAAAATATACTTGACTGTTTTCCTAAAGAGCCTCGATATGCCCACCTTGGCCTGCCGCCTCTCGACTCTGGAAAACCCAGAGTTGTGGTACAGGCACGGGTAGCCATGTCTTGTTCTTGGGCCATTGTAAAATAAAAAAGAAAAATATAAAAAGAAAAAGATATAAAGAAAAAAAAAAAAAAAGAAAAAGTCAAATATAAAGTACAGAAAACCTCGACTATCAAAAATCTTATGTGTTCGCGAAGGAACTCCAGCTCCTCCCTATGGGCACAATAGTGGCGGGGTCACTCTCGGACTTTCTGAAAGACCCCCGCAGAAGCTCCCACCTCTCCTTGCAGTATATCACTACGGATATAAAATGAGGATATAAATGATGATGATAAAATATACAAAATATACCTGCCAGTTTTGGCTTGTCTCCTAGCAATACCCGCCCACGCCAGCGCCCTCTCGGCTCTGTAAAACCCAGATTTGTGGTACAGGCATGGGCATGGGTCCTGCACTTCTGCGATCAGCGCCAGTTGAAAACTGGAAATTGGAATGCCAGCACCCTTTCGGCTCTAGAAAACCCAGAGTTGTGGTACAAGCACGGGTTGTCCCGCACTTCTGCGATCAGCGCCTATTGAAAATTAAAAAAAAACCTGCCTCGTTAGCCTGAAATTATATTCCGGGGGTGGCTTCACCGGGGCGGCAGGGGCGCCCTGGTCTGGCACTGTTGTGTGTCGGTTCCGTTCTATAAAATAAAATACAAACAATAATATCAATAAATAAACAAGAAGGCTATCAAAAACTTATATACACTTTCAGATCACTCCTACCAAATTTATTCGGTCCCTATTTCGTAGGATCCGCCCGTTCAAAAAGGGCTGCCGCAACTAACTCCATAATTGCGTCATCGCAGCCCTTTGCCCTCCCTCCATTAGCGTCCTAACCCACGTTCGGAAACCGGACAATAATCTGAGGGAGGAGGCGGTTGGGTCACACATGAAGAGGACCTGCCTCGGCAGCCTGAAATCGTATGCCGGCGGTGGCTCCACCGGTGCGGCAGGGGCGCCCTGGTCCGCCACTGATGCGGTCTCGGCAGTGAAGTCTGGAAGTGACTTCTCACTCAGAAGTGAAATACCCAGATTTTTCCAATTTAAAGCCTAATAAATAAAATACGTGAAGTGCACAAAAAACGTAACGAAATACGTGAAATAGGAAAGCGCGCGTGGTCGATAACCGATTGATAATTGCCAGTGAGACCGTTTGCTGGCATTGCACATATCGATATTGAATACTATCGATGTTATATACATATATAAAATATACATATATCAAAACATATATATACACAAATTCATTGATTTTGTCAACGTAAAACATACAGCGGAGCAGTTAAATCTGAATGCAGTTAAATAGGCACGGCCAACTGAATTGGAAACGCTGGAGCGGCACAAGTGCGGCGGCAATGCGAACGGACTGAAGACTCTTTTTCACCTGGGCCGCTGTCCAATCAGAACGCTGCTCCCAATCAGAACGGTGGGCTGGGGGTGGGCAAAGAAATCCGGATACGGGGGGCAGTAGCGAGAAAAAAAGAGGCAACACAAGCTAAAAGCGAGCAACACGAGCGATGGCAAAATGACCAGGGATCTGAGATTGCGGATCTAGTAGCGGATACGGCCGTAAAATGCCCCGGAACACTTGCAGGCCAAGTGGATGCGCTGCTAGCCAGGATGAGGAGCCGGAGGCGAGTGCGAATAATAATAACAACAATAACAATGACAACCAAAACCACACCAGCAATAACGAGGGCATCATCAAGCAGGAACTGGAGGCTGCTCCGCCGGTTTGCCACCGGAAATCGGAGCGCCGGAGAGTGGCCCGCGATATCTTCCTGGTCTTCGAGGAGCAGACCACCCGGCGGCGGGGGAAGGGGGCGCGGGGCAAGGCCACCAGGGCCAAGCAAAAGTTCGGACACCTGAAGGTGGCCAATACGCCGCGTATCAATAAGAATGTGCTGCGCGAGATCAAAACGGAACCAAAGTGCAGCGCGGAAGTTACGCCGGCTACTGCTGCTGCTCCAGTTATTCTACCCATTCCCGCACTGAATCCCCTCGCTGCTCCCCTGAATCCTCTCCTGCCGGAGGCGGAGGAGCAGGAGCAGCAGCAGCAGCCGGCAGCCAAATCCTTGCCGCGAGTGGCGGCCGTTAAAATGGAAACCAAAACAACAGTCACATCCTTAGCCAATGCATCCAATGTGGCGGCTCCGTCGGCGACTCCGTCTCCCAAGCGGATCAGTCCCAAGCCCAAGGCTCCAGAGGAGGTAGCTGCCACTATTCCTGCCCCTTCCGCACCAGCCACCTCGCCGACGACGCCCAGCGTCAATCCGATCTTCCTGTGGGTCAAACAGGACGACACGCGCATCGTGGAGGTGCGCTGCGAGGATTACGACAAGCGGAACAGGATACGCCTGACCAAGACGACCAATGGCTGGCGCTCCATGCCGCGCACAGATGCTTCCTCGACCAGGATAGTCAAATTCTTCCATGGCTCCGCTTCCTCCGCTCCTCTGATGAAGGTCAAGCGCGAGCAGCACCTGCAGCGACTGGAGGAGGAGGAGGATCAGGAGCAGGAGCAGGAGCAGCCGCAAGAACAGGCGGAGCAGCAGTTGCCCTCCATTGGGCAGACTCTGCTGCAGGATTGGGATGACAGTGCCACACAATTGCCCGAGGAGATTGACGAGGAGGAGGCGGAGGAGGAGGAGCAGCAGGAGGAGGAGCAACAGAATGCCCACCTCACCACCGTCCTAGAGGACGTGGTGGTTCTGCCGCCTGCCCCCGAGCCCGAGACACCGCCCACGCCCTGTTTCGATGGCCTGCTGGACAGCGAGGAGACGAATGCTTCGACCAAGGCCACCAAGACCAATACGCCCACATATCAGAGCTCCACGCCGTCGCCGCTTCAAATGCAGCTGTGTCCCAAGACGGGTCTGTTTCTGCCCAAGGGCGATCTTGCCCTGGTTCAGCTGCCCGAGGAGGATGTCCTGCCGGAGGAGGAGGAGGACAAGCCACTGGAGTGCTTCGATGCGAATACCAAGAATCTGAAGGATCTGCTGGACGACGCGGATGATCTGCTGCAGAATTGCAGCAGCGATAATGGCAGCAGTGGAGCCGAACTCCTGGACTCGCTGGTCAAGCGCAGCTGCGAGGATAATCTCGTCCAGGAGCCCAGCACTGGCAACAATCCGCGAAACTCCTCATCCTCACCAAACCGCGACCAACTGAGCTCCTTCTGTGTGCCCGATCTCGACAAGGACCTGCCCAGCATTCTCCAAATGGACAACGATGCGCCCAAGTGTCTGTCTTTTAATGAGGCCGGCGAGATCGAGGGCCTCAACGGGGAGCTCTTCCTGGGCATCGAGGCCTTCGAGAAGCAACAGGAGCCCCAGCCGCCCACTCCGGCGACCGTGGAGCTGACCCAAACGCCCACGCCCACACCGACGCCAGAAAAAGAGAAGGAAAAATCAATCGGCGCCGATGAGACGCCCAAGGATCTGAGCTACAAGAAGCGCGAGGAGGTGTGTCCTCCCTCCGAGTCACGCAGTCAGTGTGCGGTGACCTCCAGTTCGGATATACTCAAGTCCCCGGAACGGGAGCTCCAGGTGCCGGCCAGTTCCATTCCCGCCGAGGTGGAGACCACCTCGGAAACGATTAAAAATCTCATTCTCGAGCAGTTCCTCAAGCTGAACAACAATCCCCAGCAGGCGGAGCCCATGGATCTGGGCAAGGCCCAGAAGCTCGAGACGGTGGTCATCGACGACGAGGACGAGGAGGAGGAGGACAACGAGTCCAGTCAGCCGCTGAAGAAGCGACCCAAGGCCGCCGCCGCCATTGTCAAAATGGACAAGGATCCGGATGCCCTGACCCAACTGAAGATGCTCATCAGCAATCCGCAGTGGAAGGTACCCGATCCGATACTCGTGCCAAAGGATCGCCTCGGCGCGGTGCTGGCCTCTCCGGCGCGAGAGATTCCGCTGCTGCTGACCACCAGGCCGGAGTTGCGGCTTCCCGAGGCCTTTGCCTATCCGGAGATCATCCAGAATCCCAACATTCTAGTGGTGACCATGGAGCAGCTGGAGGCGATCCTAAAAACGGAATCGGAACAGGCGAAGGCCAAGGCGTCGAAAGACCCTGATCCGGTGATCGTGGTGCCCAGCAAACCCAGGAGTCCCAGTCCCAAGCAGGCGCAGCCCAAACCTGCGCTCGTTCAACCCAATCCTCCAGCAGCTGCTCCTCCTCCTCCTTCGCCGGCGGATTCCAGTCTCTCCACGGATCTCAATGCCACCACGCTGGCGTTGCTCCAGCAGATGCTGTGGCTGCCCTACTTTGGCCAGTTGTCGCAGGAGTTCTTCAAGACCATCAAGGATCCGATGGGACTGCAGCGGAAGTTCATGAGCAATCTGCTGCCGCTGTACAACAGCCAGTTTGGCCTACAGCATCTGGACGAGCTGTACAAGCAGTGTATGAAACAGAAGCCGGCGGAGGAGCAGCCGCAGCCGCAGCCGCAGCCCAAGGTGGCTGCTCCTCCTCCGGCGGCAGCGGCAGCTCCTCCTCCTCCACCTCCTAGCCAAAGTACAGCGAGCGGATCGATTGGCTTCACCAATCCCGTCGAGCTGGCACTCATGCAGAAGCTGCTGCAGCCGCAGCTGCCGCAGTTCCTCAACTGGGAGGCAGCCAAGGAGTCATCTACCGCCGCCGCCTCCTCACATCATCATCATCAAGAGCACAAGCGACCAAGAAGGGAAACCGAAACGGATGTTATTTCCAACTTCAGCAAATCCAAGCCAAGTGCACCTGCGACTGCCCCGGTGGTAAATGCCACGCCTCCTGCGGCTCCAGCTCCAGCTCCAGCTACCCAGGCGGAGCACAAACCCAGACTGACCATTAAATCGCTCTCGAATCTGCTGGAACCGGAGGCGAATGTGGTACCCCTGCTCAACGTGCCCTTCGACGAACTGCGAGGGCGTCCTTCCATGCACAAGGCGATGCCGGATCAGGCCAAGGGTGACGCGGGAACTGGACGCACCCTGCGCTCCAGCAAAGCCTGCGTCACCTACAATCCCCTCGAGCAGGCCAAGCAGCAGATGCACCCGGTTGCCGGAACGCAGCAAAGGAAGCGGGGCAACATGCTCGCCCAGGATGTCCAGCAGCAGCAGCAGCAGCAGCAACAACAGCAGCAGCAACATCTCGCGGAGGCCGCGGCGGCAGCCGGAATGGATGCCAATTCAGCGCTCTGGCATCCGCTTTTCGGAAGGTGAGGATTTTATTATAAAAGTGATAATGGATTTATTTGCAGACAGTTTATTTAAAGTTTATTATTATACCCGTTACTCGTAGAGTAATAGGGTATATTGCATTAGTGCAAAAGTATGTAACGGGGAGAAGGAAGCGTTTCCGATACCATAAAGTAAATATATTCTTGATCAGCCATGTCCGTCTGTCCGTCTGTATGAACGCTGAGATCTCGGAAACTACAAAAGCTAGAAAGTTGGGATTTCCCACACATATTCTTGGGCTTCTTACGCATTGCAAGTTCATTTCAGCCGAGCGCCACGCCCACAATTTCCCACTAACGATTTTAAAATGGTCTGGTTCCTACACCTTTAAAGATTTCCGAAAAGTATAAATGCCATTTTTTGTGCATATTTATACCTATCGAAATGTAATCAAAATTGTTTATATATTTATCTCCCTTGCACTTCCTTTAGCTGAGTTACGATTATTAGATAGTCGGTACACCCACCCGACTATAACGTTCTCTCTTGCTTATTATTATATTATGTGTAAACGGAATGAACTTCTCTACGCTTATTTATAATGACATATTCGACCCTTAATCGTTCTGTGATTCACTAGATCAAAAAGTCTTCACAATTCTGTATACATAATTCGATTATTTTTAACCTTGAACAATTGTTATTAAGCGTATCCATTTACGCTCTTAAATCATTTTTTCATGTAGTAGATGTTCTAAGAAAATTACAGCCCTTATTAATTCCAATCCCTTCTTTTGCAGCAATCCCAAACAGGGCTACAACAGCCCCTGGCAGTGGACCACGGTGACGGCTTCTGGCGAATGACAGTCAAGCCGGGCTCAAAAGGAGCCAGCACCTGCGACGGGAACAAGGACGGCCAGCAGCTACGAGGAGCAGCAGCAGCAGCAGCAACAGCAGCAGGACTACAGCAACTATCATGCCTCGGCCAAGCAACAACAACCACAACTTCCAGCAACCAACAATCAAAATCACAGCAACAATAGTAGCAATAAATTTTGTTATCCTACGGCGGCGGCCATGGAGAATATGTTCCAGAACAATCAGATGGCGGCCGCCGCCGCAGCTCGTGAATCGCTATTGAATTCTTATCTGTATCAGAAAGAAGGCGAAGCCAATTACATGTCGGAGCAGAGCTACTGGCAGCAGCAGCAGCAGCAACATCATCAGCAGCAGCAACACCAACAGCAGCAACATCAACAGCAGCAACAGCAACACCAACAGCAGCAGCAACATAAGCAACTGCAGCAACAGCAACAGTGGAGCGGCAACAATGGCAGCAACAACCAAAGGAGCAACAACTATGCCAACAACTATGCGGCGGCAGCAGCTGCCTCCATGTACATGCAACACTTCAATCCCTACATGCAACAGAAGGCGGCGCTGCTGGCCGAGAAGGCCGCCCAGGCGGCGGTCCAAAGCAGCAACGGGAGCAATAAGCACGGCCGCTTCGGCGGGGACTACGGCTAGAGTCCACGGGGTTCACGGTTCAGCCAACCGGATCCGAAACACTTGCATATTAACATAAACATATAGGCATATATAACACTTGCGTGTAATAATAACTATATATTTAGAGGCATCGTATAGGCCGTTTTACCGCCAGGAATTGGTAAAGGATAAACCATGATTTTCCTTTAATTTAATACACAGGAACAGCAACAACAACAAGGTAACCGGAAAGCAACAAACAATAATTTATAAACAACAAGCAAGGAGGAGAACAAAAGCAGAAAACAGAAAACAAAAAAACTTAAATTGAATTAGTAAAAATTTGTTATTGGTAGTTTGTTAACAAAAAAAAAAAAAGAAAGCAAAGATGAAAAAAGGAAAAAAAACACGATAAGTAAACAAAAATTAATGTAGTAGAGCGACGAGAAAGCGAAAGGCAAAAGAAAAACCTAATTATTGTATTATTGTTAACCAAAATCTATTATTATTATTATCTCAAGCTGCGTTATATTATTATTATTAACTCGTGTGTCTGTATATAGCGTTTTTATCTAGATGTATTACACTTAGTGATCCCCATCCCAAGATCCCCATCCCGACTATCCACCCCATCGCCAGGACAATCCTCGGACCCTCGACCCTCGACCCTTACCAAAAACCAAACGAAAACCGCAGCGCTAAAAGGCAAACAACCAATTTTGTATTCATTCCGAAATGTGTTTTTCTTTTTTGTTTTTACTAGTTATTACGCTGATTATTTATGAAACACGATGGAAATGAAAATGGAAATCCCTAACATGTGCAATCTAACATTTATGTTCTAGATACAAAAACCAAACACAAGAATCACAAAACTTATTAACGCGAAAATGGCAAAGCAAAAAGCATGAACATGAAAATGAAAATGGAAAAATAAAGAGAACCCTTTTAGAGAATTTCGCTGATAAAGGCAACCGAATAGCAAATCGCAACCGACTTTTACTTTGTGCTTAGTGTTTATCTATGAAGATTATTCTGGGCGGATATAAACAGGTGCTTTTGTATAAATATAGTTATATTTGCTTTTCAAGTTCAGTGTATAATAGGCATATAAAAGTTAATTTCTGTATAAATACGCAACTTTTCACTTACAAACAACATTATGTAATATTTTCTTTTTTAACATTTAGTTAGAACCACGCTTAAAGTAAGAGTTCCTTTCTAGAGGCATTTCAAATGCGCGCGTGCGAATGTTTTTAGCTATATCTGTGTGTTTTTACTGTGGAAGTGTGTGCCCGGTGTGGTTTCTTGGTTTCTTTGTGCTCCCAGCCGATCTCCAGCGAAAGGTCAACGTTTCAATCTACTCGATCTGTCGGCTGGCCTCCTGCAGACGCGCCACCACGCCCTGGTAGAATTTAATCTGTTCGGCAATGAAATTCTTCAGCGTGTGCTTCAAATGCGTGTCCCGCTCGCTCTTAAAGTGGGTCAGCTCGGCGAGAACCGTGTACGAGACCACATCCGTGCGCCGGTTGACGTCGTGCAGCTGGGGATTATTCATCTTGCCCTCGCCGGCCAGGCGCTCGCAGTCCTTCCGCTTCTGTATGGCACCCTTGTGCGTGGAGAAGATGTCCGGAAAGCAGTTGAGAACGCCCCTTTTGGAAAAAAAATCAAAATTAGATAATGTCTCTAAATCAATTGATTTATAAACAGGGAGGGGAAATTACTACATTTTCAAGAAAGGTCAGCAAACGTGGGATAAAAGAATCTAAAATAAACTATTGGCAGCTAATCGATTTTTCTTGCGAAAGTGTACGTTAAATAATACAAAAGGCACTTGTGCATTTCCCAAAGAAAAGTGGAAAATTTCTTGAAAAAAATGTTTATTGTTTGAAAGTAAACAAAAACTTGTTTTCTGCAATGAGTACACTCAGAAAGTGAATCGCCCTGAATTTTAGAAAATCGCCTATCGGTTTGCTTCACTGGCGATTTTTTTCTTTAAAATAAAAAAATGTTCTACTGGTAAAGAACATCTTCTTCAAATTGATAACAATTTATTAAATTCAAGAAATGTTCCAGAAATATAGAACAAAATCGCCAGTAAAGCAAATCCATAGACGATTTTCTAAAATTTTTTTTTGAGTGGAGGCTTATCTAATCTGGTTTTAAAATGTATTTTTTTAAAGAATCATTTTCCCTACATTTTGTAATTGTGAGTAATCCCAATTATCTTGACTGTGTATAAAAAAGCTACAAAGATTAGTCATTATAAAAACTATTAATATTACATGACAAAGAAATTTTCCAATTATGACATATTTTCATTACAAACCAATGACAGTTACAAAAACTTTTAAAAACGTAGTAAACTATCCTTTAAGCCACCAACTCACCTGTAGATGTGCAGCCGGTCAGAGAGGGGGATCCAATCTTGTTTTGGCTGCTCGCCAAATGCCTGGCCAATACCAATAAAGATGCCTCCGATGCGGCCGACGCTCTCGGAGAGCGGGACCGCGTTCCGGGTGGGCGCACGCCGTTCATCGATGGCCAATGCCTTGGCCAGGTCGGAAAGTCCGTCACCGATGCGCTGGAACTCCTTTTTACTCTGCGTCATCGAGCGCTTGGCCATGTCGTTGGAAATGTTGTTCAGGTTGCGCACGGCCACATCCATGTTGTGGATGAACTGGGTGCCCAGTTCAATTTGGGCATCCACCTTTGAGTGGAGAAGATTCTTGTCCGGCGGCGAGATGGCCAGACAGTAGTTGACGCCCATGTAGGGATCCCTTTCCGCCTTGCGCTTGCCCGACTTCCAGATCTTCTCGTCGCGACAGGTGAGGAAATGGTACCAGACCTCACACTTGGAGATCACCGGATGACGGCACACCCAGTCGACGAACTCCTGCAGCTGCACCCGCCGATGCTCCACGAATTGCTCCTCATAGCGGCCGGAGATCTGCTTGTCCGGCAGCGGCGGCACCGGAATCAGGCAGAACTTGTCCACCAAACGTTCGTGCAGCCAGTCGAAGTGCTTGTAGCGACGCGACACCTAACGAAAGGGAAACCCAGATTAGATATGACCAATTAATTGTGAAATGTGACACGGAAAGAGGAGCTCGGAGCTCGGAGCGGGGGGCAAGCGGATGGTGCTGAGTCATTGCCCGCGGCGGTTAGCAAGCAGAAGCAATCATCGCAGTGGCGTTGGCTACCAGTTGGTCAGAATTGCCCCGACAAAGAAGAATTTTAAAGTGCTTTTACGACGCTGTGATGCCCTGCTTATTAGTATATCTCTTTGAAAACCAAAATGGGAAAACTTTGCCTTTAAAAATAGAAAAGTATAGTATGCTTGTGCTCAAAAATAGATTTTAAAAAGTAAATTTTAACTAAAATATGAACTACGGATTAAATATGATATGAAGGCTTTACAATTATTATATAATAATCATTACTTTCAATTATTATATAATAATCATTATTTAAGAAAAAATAAATAAATTATTATAAAAAAATTACAAAATTATTAAAAAAAAATTATTTTCATGAGCCTCCTTTCAAGTAAATAGTATTTCCAAAGAAATAACGAAAAGACAAACTAAACAGAGAAGTAGGCATACTGACCAATTAAATTTGAATGCACAGAAAGGTCATTTTGGGTCGATTCAGTTGGGAAAAGTTGGCCGGCAATTAGTGCGGAGTTTCAATAAACAAAGGATTGGTCTTTTCCTCTATACCAGCAACACTTTGTCTTCCCCTCAAGCACATGACCCAGCCCAAATTACCCTTGGCAGAGGGTAGAGAGAACACACACAGATATTATCAACAAAGCACACTGCACCCGTAGTTACACACTCATACGCCGCGGAGCTTTATCGTATTGTGTTGTTAATCACGGCGATATCAGCGGAGCCAACTTACGGATATGTTGTTGAAGCTAGGCGTCAGTTGGTAGGCGATGAACGTCTTCATTCCCTTGAATTTGGACTCCTTTTTGGGGCTGGCCACCACGACGGAGTAGGGCGAATGGTTCTGCGTCCACTGGTAGATGGAATCCTCCACCGGTGTAATGTAGGCCATCTCGCATTCGGGTATCTTGTCCTTGGGACTGGACAAGCCGAGTATGTACGAGTCGGAGCTCTTGGCAAACATGCCCTTCTTCACGGTGCCGGCAGCACCGCCAGTTCCTCCGGCCACCGATGCCAGGGATTGGGTGTCATCGCTGGGGGCGATGGGTAAATGTTTGTTATCGTAGTCACTGGTGGAATGCGAGAGTCCTCCGGCGCGTGCGGCCTGGCCAGCGGATTTCTGACCGCCGGGACCAATCTCCGAGTAGGTATCGTTGTCATCGCTCCAGTCGTCCTCGTCGTCCCAGTTGCTCCCATCGTCGTCGGCCGTTTGATCGTAACGCGGCAGCGGGGGCGAGGCAAAGGGATCCGGAACCTGCGGCACCGACGCCGTTCCACTGGCACTCAGCTTCTGGGCCTCCGCCGCCGACATCACCTCCACGTAGGCCGCCGGGAAGAGGCCGATCTGGCCGCGGGCGTTCTTGCCCTCCCACCACCCCTCGCCCACGTCGCTCCGCGTCACCGAGAGCACGTCGCCCGTGGCGATCGAGAGCTCCGAGGATCCCGGCTCCCCGCTAAAGTCGTACATTGCGCGCACGTACGAGGTCATCTTGGTACGCTCCTGCTCCTCTGTTCCTTCCGTTCCGTTTCTCTAGGCGAATTCCAATCCCGTGTCCACAGGGACCATAAACAGACAAAAAATAACCACTCAATTTCTGAATCACCAAAAAGTGTGTGACCGTGTGGCAGATTGCGAAACTATATCGAAAATCACTTCTTTGATTTGATAAAAGTGCAGTACTGCAAAAGGGGGATTCCTCGATTAGGGGGATTAAAACTCGAAATTCGTCCGTTTTCAAAAGGCCCGGATTTGAATATGAGTGTTCACAGCCGACTATGGTTTTTGGAAATGTTTATCAATTTTTTTTGTGAATGGACGCTATATTAGAAGGAATTGATAAACTAGGGAAATATCGATATACTGCAGATTTTTCAATGGAATAGTATTCCATTTTATGTTTTGATTTTATGAAAAACTTATTAAACACTTAATATTAATCAAATATAACGAAAAGAAAATTGTATCTTTTGACTAAAATCTTCCGATAAAATCGTTTCGATTTAAAATAATAAGAATAAATAATAATGCATAATTGGGGTATTCCTTAAACTGTTAAATTGCAAAACCTTTAAATTTTTTTCAGCTGTTTATCAGTTGTTTCATGATACATTTTAAGTTGTTATTAACTTCTTCATCATTTTAGAGGAAACAAATTTATAAATGATCGTACTTCACTACTGAAAAATGTGTCAGCTAATCACTCCTTTTTTAAAATTAAACATTATCAACTTTGGGTCGTTCACTCTGTTGCGGAAATAGTTTTGCTAAATTTTCAACGATTCCGCAATCCAACAGTTTGTCATTTCAAATATTTTACCAGCTGCAGTCACAGGTGACTGTTAAGTCACTCAAACACTTTGAACGAATCCCCCTATTAATCGGGGCTCAGCTGGCGATGTATCGGGATGCATCGGGTATCGAGTTGGCATGAAAAATCTGGTCTTCGTGTCGTGTTGTTCATTCCTTAATTGCGCGTTGCTTTAATTTGTGGGAGCGAAATCGAAGCTCGGCGACATCGCCAGTTGTGCAATACTCGATTCCAGCGGTATCTGTAAACCCCCAACCACTTGGAAAACACTCTTTTTCGGCCGCATACTTGCAGATACTTCGCTTTGTCGTTGTCGAGATTCTATTAAATTCTTAACGACCACAATGAATCGGCAGGCGAAATTCCTAGTCTTGTGCCTGTTTGTGGGGCTCTTCTCGGCTAATTTGTGCGACGAAGGTGAGTCTTTGATCAAATTAAAAGGAATTGAAATCGAATTGAAAACACGGAACACTCATTTCTCAATTATGCACTCATACACCATTGCACTAGTGCATGCGTACGTGTGCGCAAACACTTTGGTGTTTGTGTGTGTGTGGGGGGTTTCTAAATGCCAATTCCTATATTGAATATCAATTCTCCGGCCATTTTCTCTTGCTCCAATTGGGGATAATACTCTCGGCGAAAGAATCATCCGAAACTTTCCAAAATCAAACCTTAAAATTTACGGAAGTCAGTTCCATTTACTTTACCGTTTTTTTCTTATTTGGCCATCTCTTGTAATAACAGAGTTTTAACCTAATTTCGATGACACATATTTTTTTCGTCACCATCATCTCAGCTTTCTTTAAAGTAAAATATTTACAATAAACCTGCTTAAATTATTCAAGGATTTAATATTTACAAAGATGAACTTGTCCTGACCAAATGCATTTGTTACTTGTAAACAAACCCATTCTTCTTTTCATTACTTAATTTGTAAAATAAATATAATTTTTTCACCGTTATTTCGAGAACCAATATCTTGAAATTAAGTGAATGACATTTGTTGTCCTCTTATCGTGTTTGCTGTTTTTTGGTGACACATCGGCCCACTTCTTATCTCTGTCGACTACTTACCAAGCCCAGTTCAAAATCCTATCATAACAAAGTTTTGATAAATATATATTTGTACCTACTTTTATTTATATTTCAAATTAAATATTTTCATCATTTTTATTTGTCTGGAGTAATTTTGATGAGTTTTCAAATTTTGGAAAAAAAAAAATTAAACTCAAAAAATTTAGTAAAATTAATCTATAAAACTGTAGTAAAATAAAAATAATCATCAAAAAAACATTAGACACGTGTAACTAAGAATTGTCAAGTTATAGCTCAATTTCACTAATTGAAACTTAAAGATAAGGATGAATCAATCAATGTCTTCTTCCTAATAAATTAGAAAAGGTTAAGTTATCATAAGAGATAGTAAAATGTTCATTATTGAATATGACTTCAAACATAGATAACAATTTTCTTACGTATCCATTTTTAATATCCCTTTAGCGGCAGTGGCTGCGCCCAAAGAAGACACCAACACCACCACCAGCACCGCGCCGCCGGAGACCACCACCACACCTGTGACCACTCCGCCGACCACCACAACCGAGAAGACAACGACGACGACACCGGCAACCACGACTAAGCAGACCACAACTTCTTCCACTGAGAAGCCCACAACTACTACGCCGGCCAGCACCACCACCACTCCGGCCAGCACCACCACCACTCCAGCCAGCACCACCACCACTCCGGCAAGCACTACCACCAGTACCACGACCACTCCGTCTCCAAACTCCACCACAACCACTCCTCCGCCTCATACGTCGACCACGCCGGCGCCGAAGCCAGTGCCATGCGGCCACTTCGACGGATCCTCGTTCATCGGCGGCATCGTGCTGACCCTGGGCCTGCTGGCCATCGGACTGGTGGCCTATAAGTTCTACAAGGCCCGCAACGAGCGCAACTACCACACCCTTTGAGCCGCCACAGCCTTTACGTCGGCCTTCAATGCGGCAGCCGGAGCGACGGCGGCCAGCAGCAGTGCATCCGCATCCACGGATGCGGAACGCGTGCGGTTCGTCCAGCCTTCGATACCGCTGAGGTCGCCGCCGACGCAGCCGCCACCACCGCCGCCCAACCAAGCGGGCGGCAGTGGGGGCGGGGCGGCGGCAGCTCCACAAAACTGCTCGCCATCGGCCCGGGATCGGCTGCTGCACACGTAATTTAAACACGCGGGGAACACAACACAATATTACCCAATATAACTGCTATCCAAAGAGATACCCGGCTCCCCAAAAAAACACAGAGAAAACAGTCAAGTAAAGTCAGTTTGAAAATTTTACGATAACCCCCAGAGCCGATTTAATGCGGACCCAGATTGTAGGAGAGCAGGCTCTAGATTCTTGAATACTTTCCTTATCAGTCACATGACCCACACACAAAAAAACAACCAATATTTAACTTTTTATGCATTGCATCCATATGTAAGGGTACGTTTTTTGCAAACATCAGTTTATCAGCAACTTGAGCGGATGTTCAACGCCTTATAGAGGAGTCCCCGAAACGAAACGAAACGAGAGGAGTAAGAACAAATAACAGCAAATATGTGAGACTGTGCTTGATAGCGAGAAAGTGAACAGAACAGAAAATGAAAAGCGGCTGGCGACGGCTTTGTTGTTTCTGGAATTCATAGAGCTACGAAAGGAAATATAAATTTTGATTATATTTACACAATTTTGAATAACTAAAATCAATTCATTCTAGAAAGTAAGAATATTTACTACCTAAACCTAAACCGAGCTATACAAAATGGAAACGCGTTTCAATTTCCTTCTCATTTAATGTGCATTTTTTTTTGTTGTTCTCATCATAAAAACCTAACGTTTGCTACGTTTCCCCGGTCTTCGCCCCACTTATCTATCTATCTATCGATTCTCACCGCCCCGCTCATCCCGGGGCCTGTGGTATTGCAAAAAATCAATAGAGTGACTCACGATGCACAGCAACAGGATTTACGGATTGCGGTGCACGGTTGATATGCGTTTATATGCAATATAAACAAGTATCCGCCGATGAGCAGGAAGCCCCATGTTAATGCATATACGCAAATGTTGAATATTTTGTACTAGAATTGAAACTATACATATGAATTACTTTTACCTACCCGCGCTTACTGTTGGATAAAGATAAAGATACACCTTTTAAGCTACAAATCGATCACATGAACCCGTCAAGTTTACGCAAATGAACACTCTGTGCACATGAAAATCTCATAAGTATATAAGCTAAAGTAACCAATCAATGTATATCCAGTAAATCACTCAGCCGGCTTACTAAAAATATATATATAAATATATCTATGTCTGTATATCGTGTACGATAATAAATATTTTAAAAAATTAAATATTTGTTTGGCATTTTGTGGAAAGTTGTTACAAAAGAAACTCGTTTTAATTGTCAATCAAAAATGTTTAATTTTATTTAAATTATGAAACATAAACTACTTTCTATTCCGCGCTTAGTTTCTTTAGTTTCTTAGGTGTCTTAAGATTAATGGATTTTTCCTTGGGCGTTTTTCTCTTCAGGTTTTCTTTCGGTTTCTGCTGAATGCTTGGTGCTAGTTTCTTGCTTTTGGGGGCTTCCCCTTTTTCCGCCTTCTCGCTATCTTCTGACTTGGACTTCGGGCTTTTCTTGTTGGGGGATTTCCCATTCTCCGCCTTTCGCTTGAACTTATCTTTTGGTCTCCGCTTTTTCTGAGTGTTGAAGCGCAGTATCAGTGGCGTGCCCGCCAGACTGAGTTTTTGCTTGATGACCTTGCGTGCATCGTGGGTAGTTGGCAGGGTGACTGTGGCCGCACTGGAGTCGCGGAATTTGCCCTTGCCCGGCCGTATTTGAATGTCCACCGCCTCCTGGAACAACTGGCGCACCTGGGCCACCGAACTGGTCTTGGGCAGATTGGTGATGACCACGGACGAGGTGAAGTTGCCCTTGGTCAGCACCTTCTTGGTGGCGCGCTTCATCAGCGACTTGGTGCGCTTGTTCTCCACGGATGTCTGCTTGCGGCTCACCAGATCGTTGACGAAATCATCGGAATCGGTCTTGGGCAGGGACACAAATATACCCTTGTACTCCTTGTCCTTTTCGATGGACGCCTTGATGTCCTCGAATGCCTGATCGCGATCCTCCTGGGACTTGAAGTCCACCAGGCAGAAACGGGCGTGCTTCTGGCGAGGCTTCGTGGACTTCAAAACCAGCGGATGCAGGGCTTTTACCTTGGCATTGAATTCATCCAAATCCAGAGGCAGTTTCTGGGGAAAACGCACGTACAGCCGGGTGCCCTTCAGTTGCTCGTACTTGGTGTGGATCTTCTGGTCGATGATCTCTGCCCGACTTTTGGGCTCGGGCTTGACATCCTCGTCCTCGTCCTCCTCATCATCCTCATCGGATTCGGTGGCACTGGCGGCCAGATCCAGTTCGGATTCATCGGAATCCTCCTCCTCTTCCGAGCCCTCCGCCTGCAGCTCCTCGTCGTCGGATGCCTCGGAGTCTCCTGACTGCAGTTCCTCCTCCTCGGATGCGCTTTCCACCTGCTTTTTCTTCATGTTTTATCGGGAAATTAAAGTGTTTTCTTTTTTAAACGCACGTGTAATAGAGGTGGAGGAAGAACGATGAAAACATCGATTTTTATATAAATCGAACATCGATATTTATTAACTCTAGCTAGAATCAATGATGGGCACTGTTGCTAAAAAATCTAGCTAAAACAAATGTTTAAAAATATGTGTGGATTTAACAAAAAATTAACTGAAATGCCAAAAACTATAAATAAAAAATTTTTTTTTCCTCCTTAAAGTAATGTAAATTTACTTAATTAAATACCTTTACATTAAATTTTTGTTTAAAAGCCAAATCTGGCTACAATTTGCAGCATCACTAATAGGTTGATTTTTATTTACCTTTATTTTAAGCCGCAACATGGCAATGGAAAATCCTTATTTTTGGAATGATTTTGAATTAAAACAACCTCCCTTGGTGACCCTGCAAGTAGAGGACACGGGCTTTGGTAAGTAGCAACAATACGCAATCGAATATATCAATATTTAAATGGTTTCCCATTCCGAAATAGCCAAAAATGTGTTCGTGGTCATCAACAGGTTCCTGCAACAGTTGTCCGAACCGGATTGCAAGGAATTCGAGGAGACGGCGGCGTTGATTGGACGCCTGATGGCGCGCAGGAAGAACTCCTTTCGAAATATGCCAGGATTCCGTGCTGTTTGCAAGCTAAATGCCGCGCTGTGCCGCCTGCTCCGCTTGGACTTGGCCAGGGATCTGCAGCAGTTTCGCGGCGCTCTGCCGGATGTGTGCGACGACCAACTGGGCGGAGCCATGCCCACGCGCAGTAGCTTCGAGTTTATTTTGGTGCGAGTCCTCGGCTTCTATCATCTGCACGAGCGGATCAGGGAATGCTGTCTCTCGGCGGCCAACTACTTCACCAAAGTCCTGCGCAACAACTTCTTCATGGACTTTACCACCCTGCTGATCGCCGCCATTGGGAAGATCTATAAACTAAGTTCCCTGCAGGCGGGCAAAAGTGCCAGTCTATACAATAAGCTGCGCCCACAGGTGGCCAACTTTCCGCTGGTGGAAAGGCACAAGTTCCTGGCGGAAAGTCAAGAGCTTCCTGGCCAATTAGAGATTATTAAGAGCACAAAAACTGAAACCAAGGCAGCCAACACACCTGATTTAATGATGAAAGCCAAAAAGGTGGTCACCAAAGTGGAAAAGGCCAAGCTGGAGGCCAAATCCGATGTGGGCACTGTTATAGCCAGGAAGGAAGCACCCAAAATCCAATTCAATGAAGAGATTCTAGCCACTGTTGCGGATGCACAGCAGTTCATTGCCCGCGAATCGAAGGCCAGAAAGCAGAATCCTCCTCCAGACAGTTGTTTAACCAGGAAAATACCCAAGCACGAGTGGCTAGCCGCACAGACGCTGTTCCAGCGCAAGTTGTCGAAGGAACCCGCAAAGGCATTGAGCATATTTCGTAAGTTTATTGTTAGTAAAATAAAGTAAATTCACACGAGTCAACTTGACATTAAATTATACACAGGTTACCATGCCATCAGCCAGCTGCAGACTTTTAAGAGCCACAATTCTTCTTTGTGGATGAGGATTCTTTGTCTAAAAGATATACAAAACTATAATAACTTTATCATTTTCTTAAATTTCATACTCTACCTTGACAAACTTCTTAAAGTTCTTACGCCCGCTGTACTTGCTCACAGAATCCCCAAGAGAAGCATCTACTTCATCCGCTTGGGAACGATTCACTATAGTTAGGTTGCACATGCGCACCTGTATGCTGTCCTTCATGGCGGCCAGCCACTTCTCTTCGTCGGGATCTGCCTTAATAGAGGCTTCCAGCTTAACTTCCGCATCAGCCTCGGATTTGATATCATCGTGTAGCCTGCTACACGACAACCAGCCACTGATGTCAACTTTCTTTCGCTCCTTTCGCTGCACTACTACATATTTGGATTTATTCTTTTGACCCACTTCGGGCAGAAACGGTTCGGTCAGCACGGAATCCTGGTCAATAGCATCGCTTGGCCTTTCGGAGTTGAAGTTAAACAAGCCATCGGTGGAGTCCTCATTGTTTTTATCCTCCTGCTGCTGCTTCTTCTTTTTCTTTTTGCTGTCCGCAAAGTTAAAGAGATTTTCGCAATCATCGCTATCGCTTTCGTTTAGCAGTTCCAGGCGCAAACGTTTGCGGGGGTGCGTCTGCGATTGGGAATTTAATTCGGAAGGTATTGATGTGGGCGGTGCCTGTGATTTCTCCAGAAAGTTGATCACACTGATTCTGGCCGTTGACTTTGGCTTAGCAGCAGTATCCGCTGCCTTCTGGGGAGTTTTCCGGAATTGAAAGAGTCCCTCATCATCGTCGTCGTCATCTAAAGCTACAGATAAAACAGGTCGCTTTGGTGGTTGGTTTGTAATATTCGTAGCCACTGCTTTTGCATTGAGACGAGGTGAAATCCTGGTGACACCTAAGGATTCTGTCTTCTTTTTTGGCTCCTGAGAATTTTCGTTCTCCTCATCCGAAGAGTCCACACAATAGACTCGTTTGCCCCTCGCAGGCAAGTTTTTATTTGGTGGAGGTAGAGATTTCTCTTCACAGACAGCCTTGCTCCGTCTGGTCATCTGTTGTTTTGGAGCAGTCTTTGCAGTTTCCTCGTCATCAGACGAGTCCAGCAGTATGTCATTTTTGGCTTTACTGTTTAGTTCCTCGGCGATCGCGGGTCTGGTTCGCTTGGATGGAGGATTAGCTGGTGGCTTTACAGGTTCCTCGTCCTCCGACGAGTCCTGCAATATGTCATTCTTCGCTTTTATGTTTAGCTTTTCAGAAAGCACTGATTTGGCTCGCTTCGATGCAGTTGCTTCCTTCTCCTCATCCGAGGAGTCGACTGTAATGGCATGACTTCGCTTGCGTAAGGAATTTGCAGACGCTAGAGGTTCATCCGACTCGGGCACCACCAGTTCCGAAATAGCTGAGCCACTGGATTGGGGAGCACTGCGTTCCGTGTTGGGCACAATGATCGAGGAGTTGAAGGCCATCGAGGAAGTTACCGACTCCGTGGAGGGCAGTGAATCGCCTATGACGATCTTGTGCGCTGGGTTGCAGAACTCTTTGGTGGAGCAATGTATCAAGGCCATGCCAATCTCGTACTCCTGGATAATGCGTCGTCCACCCTGCTCCAAGATATCTAAAGAAAGGGTATTTTTTACCTGATTCTAGAGACTGTTTCATTAATTCCTAACTAGAGCCCTGCGTGAATCTTTCAATTGTTGTTTTATCATATTATCAATTTAATGTTAAGCAAGTTGAATGTTTTTCTAATTCATTTAGAATTGAATTAATTAATAAATACTTTTTATGAATTTTTTGAATTTGCCAGATTTTTTTGTGCTTTCTTTTGAGAACAAAAATGGAAAATTTTTTATCAAATCAATGTTAACTGCTTAGTAAATAAAATTCAGGCAAATTTAATCACAAAATAATTGTCGTTAGAATTATTTTGGAACTCATGCCATTCATTCATTCAATTCTATTAAACTCAAAATTCTAATTAATTCATATAAACCTAAAAAACTTCAAAATAATTCATTGAATCCATTCATGCAGGGCTCTATTCCTAACCTACCTTGTATACTATTGATCGATTCGGTGGCCTGAGACTGAGTTGAAGGCACATACTGTATGACTATCACATCGCTTTTTGTTAGGAATGTTTTGCGCACCCCCGAATTGATGTCCTTGCAGGCTGCGCCAGCTTTTTGCACCACAGATCCGTACATTTCAAAGTGTTTTCGATTCATAAAGACAAACGTTTTGCCGGCAAAGAGACGAGTTCTTTCGGGTCGCCAGGTGACATCCATGTTGGTGGGCTGGTAATCCTCTGGCTGGGGCCATCCCTCCTTGACATGGATGCTCTGGGCCGCCTGGAGCAACTTCCTCCAATAGCCGAAGGTCACAATGGGTTTGTTTTCGAGCATAGCGTGCAGTAGCTTTACCGTCACCGAGGCTTCGTTCATGGTGAGATGGGAGCAATTATCGGTCCAGTTTGGGCTCACAGTGCCGCCCATGGGTTGGACGATCTCTGCAAGCTCCTGGATCTCGGGACGCGTCAAGGCGGAGACAGTGGTGACCAAGTTCAGGCGGTTCACCTGCCAAATGCTCGAGTTTGCTCCAAATCGCACCCGCGTTCCAACAGCCACCGGCGTCATTACTTTGGCCGCGACTTTCCGGGGCTTCTGCGAGTTTTTGGGGAAAGTGAAGGTGCCATATCGGGAACCAAGGTCCTCTATTTGCAGGCAGTCATCCTGCAAATCGTCCGGCAAGTGAATTTTCACATGATTGCGACTTATACTCAGATCCTGGGCAACTATCAAATCGGTGGCCAGGCGACCGACGGTGTAAACCTTTTTAGCGGGCAACAAAACGAACTTTTCCTCATCTGCGGGTAGGATTTAAAATGTTATTAAGCCATAATTCTAGCTTTTTAAGCCAATTAACTTGCCATTCGTCAGAACAAACATAATTTCAAAACAAACACAAAAGGACAACAATAATTTCACAAATCCAAGTTATGCAGAGTGACCGTAGGTTATCGCACAGGTCAAAAATAACTATTCAACCGATGAGATGTGAACAAAGGTTTAAAATTTATTCAAATATTTATTTTTAAAAGGGCGAAAAATATTTTTATATTTTTATCTTTCTTAATAAAAATTATAGCCAATCCAAGTTATGCAGAGTGAACATAGCTAAGGAACAGGTCAAAAATCACTATAAATCACAATATAAAACAACCGATTATATGTGAATATAAATATATTTAAAATGGGGTGTATTATTATATTAATAGCTTATTTTTTAAAATAACGAACAAAGAATAAAAATCTTTCTTAATAAATGCCTTTTATGGGGAACCCCCTAATAATTACTAAAGTAGAATACCCCAATTGTAAAACTATCGTCAAGTGACAAACTATCGATGCACAGAACAAGACGTTCCCTTCGAATGGCAAACCTAACAAGAAGAAGCATTTGCAGCCGGTTTGTTTTTGTGTCGTTTTTCCATATATCCATTAAAAACTGACTAATCCGGATATTTCACCGATAAATGTGAGTTCAGACACCTGCAGCAATGGCTCACCTGACCGGCACCCGCGTGAGCACCTTCAACGAGAGCTTCCTGAACGAGAATGAGCACGATTCGAATGCGGTGCTCATGGAATTGGACAAGGGACTGCGGAGCGCCAAGCAGGGAATCCAATGCGAGGCGATCGTCCGCTTCCCGCGGCTCTTCGAGAAGTATCCCTTTCCCGATCCTCATCAACTCGTCGTTCATCAAGCTGGCCGAGTTCTTTGTCAGCGGCTCGAATCTCCTGCGTTTCTGGGTGCTCCGCGTCTGCCAGCAGAGCGAAAATCACCTGGACAAAATTCTGAATATCGACAACTTTGTGCGCCGCATCTTTATGGTCATGCACTCCAACGATCCGGTGGCGCGGGCTCTGCTTCTGCGCACCCTGGGCGCCGTTTCGCGTGTGATCCCCGAGAAGCAACAGGTGCATCATGCCATCCGGCGTGCTTTGGATAGCCACGATACCGTCGAAGTGGAGGCGGCCATCTACGCCAGCAGCTGCTTCGCCGCGCAGTCCAGTTCGTTTGCCATCAGCATGTGCGCCAAGATCTCGGACATGATTGAATCGCTGCAGGTGCCGGTGCCGATGAAGCTGCTCCTGATTCCCGTCCTGCGGCACATGCATCACGAGGCCACCACAGCGGCGCTGGTTAGCAGGCTGTGCATGGATCTGCTGCCCAAATATCCAGCGCAGAGTTTTGTAGTGGCCATCATAGACACCCTCACGCAGTTGTCCTCGCGCACGCTGGTTGGAGTGCCTGGTCAGCTGGATGTCCTGCTGGATTTTATGCAGGATTTAAGGACACCCGTAAGGATTCAAGTGCTGCGTTCATTTAACGAGCTGGCGGGAAGGCAGAGTGTTCATGCCTGGCCCAAACCGGTGATTGGAGCGCTTATTGGCCGCTTTGAGCTGTGCAGCAACTCCCAGGAGCAGTTCCTCTTCCTCTCCATCCTGCTGAAGCTCAGCGAGTGCCCTCTGACATGCCAGCAGCTGTTGCGCGACCATCGCGCGGCTCTGCTCCGCCTGTGCATCCAGTGCATCAGCAAGCTGGACGACTACACCACCGCCACTCAAGCGATGGCGGTGCTCTCTGTGCTAGTCGCTTTCGGTCTGAAAAAGCAGGCCAGCGGTGAGCAGGTGGAGGACATTCTGCACATGGTCAACCTTCACATGGAGGGATTGCTTCTCTGCACAGCCAAGCGGGCGGAGTGCACGCGGGATTTGCGTAGGGTGCTGACGTACGGCATTAGGATCACCCAGGCGAACGCGGAGTTTGGAACCTCATTCATCGAAATCGTGACCAATACGCTGGGCGATAAGGTGGCCTATCCGCCGGCCAATGCGGAACTGATGTGCGAGGCACTGGTTGGCCTCTGCGAGCACTTCCAGTTGCGCAAGTACGCGTTCTCCACCGCAGAGGAATTAATAGGCGATGATAGCGCCATGGACACCGATGAACCGCAACCAAACAAGGTAACTATTGGTTTAAATTTAAAACTATTGGCTTAAATAAAAAAACGCGAATTCTTTAGAAGATGATGACTTTGTCAATTGTACTCGTTTAAAAGCAACACTTCTGGCGTTTAATGAAATTAAATAAAAAACCGCGAATTCTTCAGAGTGTGATGGCCGTGCTTATGTGTACTCATATAACAACTACTGTAACTTTAATCGCTTCATTATATCCGTCCATTTTAAATCAAAAAAAGTGTTGGATTGCATGGTCCAGTACGCGATAAACTTGTTCATCCATAAACTGGCTTCCATTGCTAAATTTTAATGCGATTGAATGCAAGCCAAAGCCAAATAACAATCATTTGGGATTTGAAAAAAAATTTCTCAAAAAATAAAAAAATCCATGTAACGAATCTTTTTGATTAGAAACAATAAAAATCTCATGTAACGATTATTTGAGATTTCAAAAAATAAAACTCTCGAATAACGATTACTTTTGATTTTTGGAGGAAAAAACAAAAATTACACGTGTATGTAGCTCAATTCCTTCTTAGTGATTTTTATTTTTCAATAACGATTATTGATTATTTAAATTCTATAATTATTATTATTATTATTATCTAATGCTAACTTGTAGTTAAAAACCATAAGCTAACAGTGGTTTTACTTTAGAGCTATAGCAGCAAAAGGCCTTAAGCTCGCTTATATTTTACAGATTTTTTTTATATCTTATATAGTATGTTGCAATTTTTAAGGAACTGTATATAATATATTAACTTACACTTCTGAATTCCAGGTAAATCCCATGCTGGCCCGCCTGCCGCTCATCCTGCACAAGCTAAACACTATAATAGACCAGGAGAGCTGCGATCAGCAGTTGCGCACCGTGGAGATCTTGAGTGCTCTGGTGCTGCAGACCACCATGGGCTGTTATCTGCCGCAGAAGGTGGTGCAGTGCTTTGAAAAGTGCCAGAGCAGGCTCAATTGCTGGACTCTCTACAGGATTGCCCGCACTGCCAGTCGCTATGGCCACCACTATGTGGCTGCTCACATATACACGAAGGTCTCGCAGATAGTCATCAGCGATCATATGCACTATTTCCTCGTGGCTCTGTCGCAGATCTCGCAGGCGGAGTGTATACTCAATTACGGCTTGGAGTACTCGTACATGCGGGATAATTATGCACCTAAAGCGGCGCCGGAACCTCTGATGCCGCTGATGAAGCGTCTGGAAACGGCCAGTAATCTCTATCAGCAGGCTTTAGCTAGCCTACGAGCCTGCTCATCGCCGCAGCATCCGTGCACCTTTCAACTGGAGTATCTAAAGATTAGAGCACAGTTCCTGCAGACCCTTCACCTCGCGGTGACGGTGAAAAATGCCCAGGTGATCGTGCCACCACCTGCGATTGCAGGCAGTTTGGCCCAGAACTCAAGGGATTACCTGCAGAAGTTTGGCCATGTCACCAATCAGCTGCGCAAGCTGGTAAAGGCTTTAAAGGCCTGCGAGGAAACCTATGCCAGACTCTACAAGTCGTCTTTTGATGCCGATCATGTGACTCTGGAGTTTCTGGAGGTGGCTGAATTTCAGTGTGCTCTTTTCGCACACATCATCGAATCGATTTGCTATGCCACACCGCCGGAACCACCTGTATTCCTAACCACTGGCGATCATCCGGAGACGCGCTACTTTGCCGCCAGTTGCCAGCGCATGGAGCAGATGCAGAAGAACCTGCCGCAGGAGTCGGCCAACGCCAAGACGATTAGCAATCGACATTTGGATGTTATTATTGCACAGATAGAGATAATAACGAAAACTCCGCTGTGTCTGCCGCGCTACTTCTTCCAGATTTTGCAGTCCACGCAGATCAAGCTGTCGGTGAGTCCGCAGCCCAGGAGTGCCACCGAACCGGTGAACGTTCAGTCGGGCAGTAATCTGGTGATCAAGGTGGAGGGTGTCCTGCAGCATTTCAGCAAGCAGCAGAAGCATTTCCGGCGCGTGGAGTCCGTGCAGCTGAGTCTCACCTCGCAGTTGATCACGCCGCCACCGCGATCCTCGCAAGATCCGCCCAAAACGGGAGCCAACGACACTGTCACCTTGAATCAGATTGTGAAGCCGCAACGCGACTTCCTCTCCGGCAGCTTCCTGCTGCCCATCTCCAGTGGGGGTCACTTTCAGGTGACGCTGGAAACATTTGTGGTGGACGAGAATGGGATAACCTGGTGCACGGGGCCCAAATCATCGATGGTTGTGCGAGTGCTGGAGGATCCAAGCAAACAGGGAGCACCAGCGCCGAGTACTTCTCAAGCGGTGGGACAGACGAGGAGATTTTAGGTCTTATGATTGAATATTTGTCGAGATATTATTGTAAATTAAACTTTTATTGTACAAACTGTACAGGTTTAATTCTGTTAAAAAAGTAATCAAGCTAAAAGGGTTTTGTCGGCTTATCAGGATGAAGTTTGTCTAAATTACTCTAATTTATTAATTTTCTTTTATTTTTTAGTTATTTATATAAAGCAAGCTTAAATTTAAAACTATAAGCTAACTAAGATTAAGAGCTCTAGCAGCTAAGGCGTTCAGCTCGTCTGAGGTGTCGAATTAGATACATTTTTATTTGTATAATTGTGAATTTAGATTTTGAGCTTAATTTGGGCCTTTTCAAGGTAAAATTTTCTTTTAAAAATAACGTTTATTTGGTTAAAAATTGAATTGATATGTGAGGTTTGTGTATCCACTATGTCAGCAAAGACACCCTCCTGGCTTTTCAGCCATTTACAAAATATTTGCGGTATATTTAATCGACCATCCCTGCGGTCACACTGCATGATTTGTTTTTATTAATTTTTGGCGAATAAATTGGGACAAATGAGGCATCATTGCGGGCGATGCGAATTGTGACCAGCGGGCAGCAGCAGCGGCATGCGACACCGACAACAGCGGAGCAGCAGCACCTGGCTAGCGTTGTAAGGGAATCCCCTTGATAGGCGACGGCATCCGCTTGAGAGCGAGACCCAAAAAGCAGCGGATCACCCGCAGTCGAGCAAGTGGTTCCTCCTCAACCACCCTCCCCTCTGCTCCCCTCTCCACTGCTCCACCTCAATGTAAATTTTAATTGAAGCCAATTGAGCGCGCACACCCGAAAACATAAAAAACACGCACCAAAACGAAACCCTCGAGCGGAGGAGGCTCCGTTGGACAAGATTCCGCACTTAACCTGTTCAGGCGACGGTGGTGGCGGTGGTGGTGCAATAAATGGACATAATTGCTCTAATTGGACAGAGCAGCAGTGGGATCGGAGCACCACCAATAGGATGGCACAATTCACACTGTGAGTATATATGTACATATATCTTTTTGGTTATCAGTCGGCTGCATGGATTTCCTGCCCCTGTCAATGGAAGCTTTTGTTTATCTATTGACGCCGCTTGGCGGTATTATGCAAGGGAAATCGCTGCTTGGGTTTCAGTTGGGGGGGTAACTAATAAATACATTTACGGGCCTTACAGCTACAACAACAAACACAGTGGGCCGCCCAGCAGCGACAGTCGCGTGGACTGCGAACACGTACCACTGTGCTCCATTAACGACGTGCAGCTAAGGTTCCTGGTGCCCGACGATCTGACGGAGGTGAGTAGATCTATACCCCAGTTGATAAATGATAATCTCCCTTTGATATAATCCCAAACAGGTGCGGCAGCTGTGCCAAGAATGGTTCCCCATCGACTATCCACTATCATGGTATGAGGATATTACCTCAAGCACGCGCTTCTTTGCGCTGGCAGCTGTATATAATCTGGCCATAATTGGTTTAATCGTTGCCGAAATCAAACCCTATCGAAATGTGAACAAGGAGGTAATAGCCAATATGAGTGATAGTGATGAGTTGTACACCAGGCTGAGCGGTTTTCCCATGCAGGACAAGGGCATCCTGCCGGACTCGATGGGTCGTTCCGCCGATGTTGGCTACATTCTGTCGCTGGGCGTCCATCGTTCGCATCGACGCAATGGCATCGGATCGCTGCTGCTGGACGCGCTAATGAACCACCTGACAACGGCCGAGCGGCACTCGGTGAAGGCGATCTTCCTGCACACGCTGACCACCAACCAGCCTGCCATATTTTTCTACGAGAAGAGAAGGTATATCCCTTTGCGTGTCCTGGGCGTATTAATTGAGTTTCCCCTTTCTGTTTCCCCCTTTAGATTCACGCTACACTCATTCCTGCCCTACTACTACAATATACGGGGCAAGGGCAAGGACGGATTCACCTATGTGAACTACATAAACGGCGGCCATCCACCCTGGACACTATTATATCCTTTTTCCAAATGCCTCTACTTTCTGGCCAGTCTTGCTTTTCTCTTTATGATTTCGCTGTACTTTTGGTTGCCCTCTTAACTCTCTGCCGCACAGATCACATCAAGCACTACGCCTCCAAGGTGCGACACACCAGCAGCCTGTGCGCCTGGGTGGCCAATCGAGTGCAGCTGGTGGTGCGGTGGTTCTACCACAAGCTGCTCACCCGCTTCAACTTCATCGAGTAGATCGAGATCCTTCCGAGGCGCAAGCACCACGATTATGTCATCCCGTCGAGCATAAACAAACATTTATATGTACACTGGCACCCACTCACCATACAGACACACCTTCATTATAAATGTTAGGCAACACCTCAGCAGAATCATTACGTTTTTATACAGAAGAGGAGAGAAAGATCTAGCAAAGAACAACGTCAAAGGTATAAGTTGAAAGTTGTAACATAATTCGATAAGTGTATTATTACGTTTTAAAAGATATCTATCTGTTCGTTCACCGCTGTAAATAGTCTTACGATGTTTTGTTTGAACTGCTGTAACCGAGTGATTTGGAATATTCCCCCTTTCTGTTTTCTGTATGTTTTTCCTACCTTTTAAGTTCCACGCACAAGAAAGTCATTTAGTTTAGCGACAACCAACAACAAAGATGCTCATGCTTTAATGCTTAATTTATGAAAACTGCACGTAAATAGCTTTGAACCGAGAAACGAATTAATGTTATATGGCAAAAAAACCAGTTGAATACCCAAAAGCAGCCTCTAAAAAGGATAACCATTTGAAATCAAACTCTGTTCGCTGTTTCTATAGTATTTTGTAAAAGTATTTTAATGCATATTGTTTCGCAGCTAATTCTGATTACTTTAGGCACAATTTATCTAGCAAATTGTAATATTTTTTAAAATAAAAACTTGTAAAGTTACGACGAGGTTTTTTTTTTGGTTTTAATCCTAAGATTACGGCTTTAAATTTGGCTGTCACGAAGGATTTTTATTTATTCCACTTATAGATAATATACCTTTATCAATTTAATCTTAAAATTTAAAGTTTTAAAACTGTAATTTATTTGCGAAATAGTGAGAACTGCCAAACACTCGATTATTTAAAATTACGATCTTTAAAGTTAAGTTCAAAACAAAAATTGTTTAAGACACAGAAAGTTAAAGATTAAAATAAAAGTTATAAACCAATGCAGTCAATCCGCTTATTTAAATAGTTCCATATTTTTAAGAAATTCAAAAGTAGAGCGCTTTGCCAGTGTTGTAAAACAGTGCTGCACAGTGCAAAGCTAACAGCTGATCTGGCAACGCTCGCCTGACCTGTCACTATTGTGAACTAGCAATTTCGGTGCAATTTAGTAGCATAAATTCGTCGCAACTGCCTGGAAAATGTTCTCGAGAGCCGCTCTTCTAACAGGTAAACCCCCAAAAACCGTGCAAAAAAATGGCCCAGCTAATCCCTGGGCCCCAAACCGACCGGGGGCAAGTGAAAATGCGCCCGCAAATGACCGTGAAAAATGTTACGGCATTGCAAAGTCGTCGGACATCGTGGTTTATGTAATCACCCAACTTTGGTGTATACGTCAAAAAGAGCATAATTTTCGCAAATCAATAAGAGTGGCGAAGGTAAAACTAATTGGAATGTGCATTTGCAGCCCAGCGCCCCTTGACCGTGGCCGCCACCCGGTCGGCCGCCGCTGCCGCCGCCCCCGGCGGAGCCATCGAGCGCCGCCAGCGCCCCGAGCATCCCGGCAAGGTCCGCCTGGGATTCCTGCCCGAGGAGTGGTTCCAGTTCTTCTACAACAAGACTGGCGTCACCGGGCCCTACACCTTCGGCGTGGGCCTGATCACCTACCTCTGCTCCAAGGAGATCTACGTCATGGAGCACGAGTACTACAGCGGCCTGTCCCTCGGCATCATGGCCGTCATCGCCGTCAAGAAGCTCGGCCCGGTCATCGCCAAGTGGGCTGATGGCGAGATCGATGTGAGTATAAAGAGAATACCCTATATGAAGATGATTCCTGAATGAAGAAAAGTCTGATATTCCTAGAAAAACTTTAGTTAAAACATTAGAACTTGCAATTTTTCTACATCTTTCTAATAGTTTCAAAAAAGGCTACCTTTAAAAAAGGTTTTTAATGACAAGTCTATAAAGAGAATACCCTATATGAAGATGATTCCTGAATGATGAAAAGTCTGATATCCCTAGAAAAATTTTAGTTAAAACATTAGAACTCTCATTTTTCTACATCTTTCCAATAGTTTTAAAAGGCTACATTTAAAAAAGGTTTTTAATGATATGTCTATAGAGAGAATACCCTATATTAAGATGATTCCTGAATGAAGAAAAGTCTGATATCCCTAGAAAAACTTTAGTTACAACATTAGAACTTTCATTTAGTTACATCTTTCTAATAGTTTGAAAAAGGCTACATTTAAAAAAGGTTTTTAATAACATTTAAAAATTGTTGCAATTACCATTCTTCACTGTACAACTTGAAAAAAGAATTTCTTGTGGTTAAAGAGCTTAAAAATTCTTTTAAATTAAAGATTATAATTTTAAGGTCTCGTAAAATCATATTATAATCTTAAGGTCTCGAGTTCTTCTTAGAAGCTCACAAAAAATCAAAAGCTTCCGAATAACCACAATCCAAATCCCCGAAATTTTGTTAGAATTAAAATATATTTTAAATTATATATTAAATTAGTTCAAGTCAGTACGCTTTTATCGCTTACCTATTCCCTTATTTTTGGACTAGTAAATTATATTTTTATATTACCCAACAATACCATAAGCCCTCTTTAACATGCCCCCTTAACCTCCATCAGAAACCAACTCTAATCACTTCCTATTTCCATCACAGAAAATCGAATCCGAGTGGAAGGAGGGCCGCGAGGCTGAGCTGAAGGTCCTGTCCGACGCCATCGAGGCCGAGAAGAAGGAGCAGTGGCGCGCCGACGGCGCCCTGCTGCTGATGGAGGCCAAGAAGGAGAACATTGCCTTGCAGCTGGAGGCCGCCTTCCGTGAGCGCGCCATGAATGTCTACTCGGAGGTGAAGCGCCGCCTCGACTACCAGGTGGAGTGCCGCCATGTCGAGCGTCGTCTCAGCCAGAAGCACATGGTCAACTGGATCACCAGCAACGTGCTGTCCAGCATCTCGCCCCAGCAGGAGAAGGAGACCCTCAACAAGTGCATCGCCGATCTGAGCGCTCTGGCCCTGCGCGTCAAGTCTGCCTAAACGATTCGAGTTTTAGTTGTTTAATTGTAAATTAAAACCCATTCGAGACGCTGGAACCATGAATATGCCCGCAAGATGATAAATCGATCCAATATATCTTCAAAATGTCCGTGTCTGAAAAGATCTTTTTTGTGTGCAATATTGCGTTATATTTAAAGTGTTGTGTTTAAACTTAAGACTGCTTTTTGTGGATTACTTTGAAGTAATTTAGGGTTTTTGGTGTAGCAGATCGTAAGGCTAAAACGGTGAAACTATAAGAAAGCTGGTATCTTTTAGGCACCTTTTTTTTTATTTAGGCAATAGTTTAGTTACAAATCAGTCTTGTGCTGCACTTGCATCGTCTTCAAAGGCATCCGCCTCCACCTGCTCTCCCTGGAAATCGCCGAGAATTCCGAGGCGACGCACAGCTTGCAAATTTTGGATACAGTAATCCACATTGGTCACTATGCAGAGGGGTCGTTCGCCCTTGTAGTAACCTGTATTGTCGCGCAGATAGACAACATCCCTGGTGGCCAACCAATGTTGCAGCTTTACGAAACAAGGACACTGCCAGGGATTACCTTCGATGGCCACGCGTTTCAGGTTGGGAAAGCTCACGTTAACCTTGGACAGAAAGGTGAGGCGATTGTTGTCCACCAGGATCTCCTGGACGCTACTTAGGCTTTCCAGCACATCCAGATTGATCTCCTCCAGCAGATTGTGACCCAAATGCAGCTTCTGCAGGCGTCGCATGGGCGCAAACATCCGCACATCCAAGGACTTTATTTCGTTGTGACCCAGCCTTAGGTATTCCAAAAATGGCAGCGACGAGAAGGCCAATGGATGCAGCTGCTTTATATGATTGCCATTCAAGTTGAGCCTGCGCATGCGTGGCAAAGTGTTGCTTCCGAAGATCTGCTCCTCGAGGAACTCTAGGTTATTGTAGGACAGATCCAGAGTGTCCAGGTTCAGCAGGGCAGCAAAGGTACTCGTCCTGATTTCTAGGATGGCATTGTACTGCAAGTACAGCTTTCTTAGCGAGCCCAAGCCCACAAAGTGACCGGGACTAAGGCTGGCTATGCTATTCCTGGACACATCGAGCATTTGTAGTCTTGCCAGCACCCGGAATTGGTTGTCGAACAGCAGGCGGATGCGATTCCCTGAAAGATCTAGTTGCTGCAGGTGCAGCACAAAGTTCTGGACCGCTCCAAAAACATTGGGACGCAGTGCATCGAGTGCGTTCCGTGAGAGGTTGAAGTATACGCAGCTGTGAGAGCGGCTGAAAGGTTTCCTGGCCAATGGAGTTCAACCTGTTCCCGCTGAGCTGCAGTTCCAACAGACCGTGGAGTCCTCGAAAGGCGTTCACGTCCAACTGAAAGGAATAGATTTTTTTTAGTTGGTTGGTTTTCTGCAATCATTTAAATTTAGTTTGTTTTTTTCTTTTATAAAAATGTTGCATCTGTAATTTCTATTTTAAAATCCCACGCTGTATTTTGAATTTATAGTTTCTCTTTTTTTCCCCCAGATTAAATATCATAAAAAATTGTTTACAAATTGATTTTCAAAGTGTGAGATAAGACGTTTGCAAATATTTTGATCAGCTTTAAAATTAGAAACCATTTTCTCATTCTCTCTAATATTTTACTACTGTCATGTACACCCAAAAAAAAATCGATATAAAGCTTAGATCGATTTTACATTATTTAAGATCAAGAAGAAAAGAGTATTTCATGTAAAAACGATGAGTTTTGCATGTCTGAAATATACATGGCCATATCGATTTTACGGGAAAATGCTTGTTTTTTGTGTGTAAAGCTTTCCAATTCTAAATTCTAGCTTCAATAGATAAACATGAAATATTCGAATGTCATTTTACAACCCGGCAAAAAGGTATAGATCACCATGACCAATTTAACATCGGAAATGTAAACCTCAATAAGCACACAGTAACTATTGAAGTTCGATGTGGTTAACTGAAATCAAAATAAAGCTGAGCTGATCAATAGATTCCGGCTGATCCCACACAAAGTGAACATTAAAATGTTGAATTTAGAATTAATTTTTTTGAGATTGCTGATAAACTTACCTGTGCCAGTTGGTTGTTATTTAAAATCAACTCCTGCAACTGAGGACAGACCCCAAAAGTGGCATTTACCAAGCGATTGTGGCCCAGTTCCAGGCGATTGAGCAGCGGCATGTGGGGCAGATCGCACTGCCTCAAGGCATTGTGCGAAAAGTTCGCATAAATCAACTTCCGCAGATTGCCAAAAAAGTCCCGGTCCAGAAGCTCCATTTGATTGTGACTAAAATCGAGACGCTGAAGCGCTGACTCAACCGCAAAGTGGCTGCCCTTTATGTCAGCAAGACCACAGCCACTGAGGTTCAGGTACCGCAGATTAGGCAGAATGGAAAAGCCGCTAGTATGAAGGTTTATTGGGGCTGCTGCTGTCAAATCCAATTCCACTAAGTTGGCCAAGTGATCTGCATTCTCGCCTAAAGAGATTTACATTCCAAAATCGTTGAGTTTTAGAAAAAATATAAAAATAAAAATTTTTTTTGGATAGGGAATTTGAACTTTAATTATATTTGATCTACTTTTCAGTGGAATGGATATGGCCAGGTAAATTTCAGGTTATGCAAAAATGGGAAAATTTAACTACGTTTCAAATCATTTTTTTGGGTGTGCGATTTCAGAACAAATTTTTTTGAATACCATTTTTTTTTTCATTTTTCATCCGATTGAGAGGGAATTTATATTCAATATTTTAAATTCTTTTTAGCTTTCTAGTAAAATCCCTCTCCCGTTTACCAGACCTTACCTGACCCCACCTCCAGTTCCGTTTGTACATTCCGTATAGAGAGCGTGTGCCAGTTTTCCGCTCCCAAATCCACTAGATCCTGCAGGGAAGCGATCTCATTGCACTGGTAATTCCTCCAGCCAAGGGGCTCGCAGAGATCGGCGCCGCTCACATGGGGAAATCCCCCATAGAAGAGCCACAGAAAAAGCGGCAGAACCCAATTGGCAGTCAGCAACATTCCTGCTCCAGAGTTCGGCCTCAACTGAGGATCCGCGAACAACCTCCGAATGCAAATGAAAATGCAAATCCAGTTTGCACAGAGGGGGGCGAACGGGGGCCCCTTAGAATGCCAAGCCGGTTTGGGGCGTCATCAATGGGATCTTGACCAGGGGCCGGCCACTCAACAGCTGTGAAATGCCTCCAAATCAAACACACACTTGTTTATCTTTCTCTATTGATAGGTACTTTCTATAACTCTTTAATAGTGGTTTACATACAGTATACGTTATATAATATCGGTTAATTACTTGACGCGCGATTATTGTGCTCTTGGAGAAAAAATATTATGTTCTGCTGCTATAGATACCTCGTTCAGCAAGAGTGGTCTAGACATTTATCATAGCTCATATTATACAAATTACAGGAAAAATATTAAACCGAGAAAAACTCACTAACTTAGACTAAAACTTAGGAGAAAAAACGAGTAACAATCAAAAATTATCTAGAATCTATTTTAGATTATACATGCATATTTAAAGAGTATAAACCATCGAACGCACTTATTTTCGTTTTGTGCTTATGGATATTTTACTTGGAGGCTCTTAAAAATGCTCAGATTGGCGGATATTGAATATCTGGCTAACAAATTGTTATTTGGAAGCCAAAACTAAGCCAGAAAAATACTATTAAATTTAGTTTAACATTATATTGAAGCAATGGATATACATACATATATGGAGATATTTAAAGTTCATTCCTTACAAGCGAATATTTTACTAAACTGCTTTTCAAGAGCTCTTGGCTAAGATGCAAATATATATATGTATCGCTTAAATTAATTAAGATCTTGTACTAGGTCTATTTTCACATCAATGGATTCTGTGTGTTTAGAGCGTTTTTCCCAGAAGACTTGCGACGGCAAATAAGATGGTTCTGCTAACTGAAAACTGGTATCTAAATCAGACTATAGTTACGGTTGGGTTTGTCATCTTGTTGCTGTTGTACAACGGCTGATAATGCGCACTCGATCCGTTTTTAACACTCTGACAGCCATTGGGATAGCGCATTTTGACCACGTTTGGATTTTGGGCTAGCGAAGATGTCGACGAGGAGGAGGACGATGACGAAGATAGCGATCCGGTTGATGATTTATTTTGCAGGGGCAGTGCCTCCCCGATCAGCGTTATCCTAACGGGCTTGTAGGCGTTGCCATTGGGCAAGTTTGGGGTGGTTTCCCATCCAATGGAGGAGCGTCTTGGGGTGTCGGGAAAAGCAGCCGTCAGCTGCTGATTATAGTTGGTCAGCGTGGTGGAAATAATGGTGTGCCGGCGGGTCTGGCTGAGAGCTGGACAGGATTTCTCCTGCTGCTGATGCTGCTGTTTCTCGTTGTGGCTGCTCTGGTGGTGGCGGATTATCGTGGTGGCTGCCAGCGTGGAGTCGTGCACGTGGAGCGTCGGAAAGTGCGTGGTATAACTGGTATATTCGGGCTTACTTCTGCGAACAGAGAAACGAGGATTAGCGGGATGTTCCGGGAAAATGTATTTATTTCTATAAAGAAACCATTAGCTTTGTCCATGCCATATAAGATTACAATTTTATAGAGAAGATGGGAAGGGATATCAAGTTTAGTTTTAACTAGAAAAATATTATTGTAACAATTTTTTTTAAATATGGAATATTTCTTTTAATAATTTAGTTTCGATTTCCTGATAATTAACATAAGCTGAAAACGCTTTCGGAACTTTCAAGTTTTCTTAATAGAATTATAATAAGGATTCAAGCTGCATAAATATCTAAAAAAAATCCCCAAGTATGAATGGGTACTTATTCCCCGGAATAAATGTTTTTGTCACCCAATAAGAATGTTCTACAATTCATGACTCATCTGAATCATCAAGGTTTTACTTTACTTTCGACCCATCCCATCTTCTCGACGTGTTCTGGGTTATTTTTGTTAGTTTGCATTACCTTGGGACTCTATTTAATTGCCGCATGCAATTAAAACGTTTCACAAACAGTGTTAAATTTTCAGTGACAAATTAGTAACGTTCTTAGAGCTAAAGTTCGTAACTTGGATATCTTAGATATCTATTATTAAAGCTTATGCACGTATCATTTTAAGGTATAGTTATAGGTTGGTAAATGCTTTCGGGAACTATGTTTCTCAAGTGCAAGAGTTACAATTATCCATACAGTTATAGCTTAGGTGTAGTATACATATAAGATTGATGGCACAGAGCACAATGATGGCTAGGATGAAATCACAAAATAGTACCTGTTGCTCCCCAAATTGTAGTCTAAATAGCGGATTGTTAAAGATAAGAGAGGTGTTTGTGTGTGAGTTCGTGTTTTTATTCCATGGGAGCATTTTAGAGGCGGGTGTGGAAGAAAGAAATTTAGATGGGTTAATCGGGGCGAGATCTGGTCTATTGTTAGTCGGATCAAAAAATGCAAATTCCACCTCCTGTTGCTGCTGCCGAAGAGCTGAGGCTGCAGATTTTAGCTTTCAGCTGTAGCTACTGCAGAATCGGCCCTAATTAGACTGCTCCAATTGCAATTTGCTGCCATTAACGTCAAGAGCCGGCAAAAAGTGGCCAACTGATTTGCATGCCAGCGGAGCGTGAAGCCAGCTGAAACCGATTCCAGCAGCAACAGCCACCAGCAACTTGCAACACCAACTGGCCAGCAGCAACTACACACAAAAAATCAAATTATATTGAACCAGTACAAAGAAAAAGTGACATGAAAATGAACATTGAAAAATCTATTCTAATTAAAATTAAAAGAAAATAATTTTCCAAACAATTGTGGAGAGTTTTTCTGTTAAAAAAAGTTCATTTATGTTTTAAGGCCCTTTTTATTTTCCCTTTAAAAATGAAAGTTTCCATATTAACTAATTAATTCCAATGTTAGTAATATCTTTTTTCCCCAGTGTATAATCACTAACAAGCAGCAACAGGCGGCATCGTTTTGTATTAGTTTTGTTAGTTTGCGGCCGCACAGCTGCGGTTGATGAAAAGCCCCCGAAATTACAAGTATTACACAAAATTACCGAAACACAAAACAAAAATGCAGAAAAAATACAGATAAATAATGCAGTAAAGTATAGTAAGATATGGCCGAAATTGAAACAAACATGAAAGTTTGCCTACCTGGACAAACCCTCCGCACCAATGGCAAGTGGTCGTGTCTGTGAAAGTGGAATCGGAATTGAAATAGTCGATAGCTTTCGGTTAGTCAATGTTGTGCAAACACATATGATCGGCCAGAGATATATACACATGGCCCGGAGGCCCAACTTACCCGCTCCGTTTGGGTGGCCATGCTGATGAGCTCCTTGCCCGCATCCCCGCCGGTTCCATTCGAAGCCTTCTGCCGCTTCTCGGCCTCCAATTGCTCGATGAGATCACGCTGCAGGCGGATGGTGCGATCACGATCGTCCACTTGACCCTGGATGGCGAGGGGGATTGGATAAGGGGAAAGGGGCAGGTGAGACCAGAGATCAGTAAATGTCAGCTCACTCTTGTGGAGCGAGCCATGAAAGGTCACTAGTGGTTATATCTAAGCCAGAGAGTGTGAAAATCATATCTATATAGGTAAAACGCTATCTTGGCTTAGTTTTTGCTTTTTAAGACAGTCATGCTTTGATTACTTTATATTAGTGCTTCGTTTTTTGATTTACGAAATTAAGAAGCCAATTCGGTTTCCTCAATCAAAGCATATTTTTTACACAACAGCTAAAGATGAATATAACTCTTCAAACTATGTAATATGTAGGTGTAGATTAACTGGTTCGTAAAAAAAAATTTATAATCAAATGAGCAGATCAAAAATTTTAAATAATTCAAAAATAAGAAAATTCGAAAATTTCGAAAATTTTTGAACGAAAAATATAGTTTTGTTGTAAGGCTAAAGATTTATTTCTGCCCTTTTGATTCATAGTAAACTTTCTTTATCGGATTATAGGGTTCTTGTATGATCTGTGTTCTATGGCAAGTCAAAGTGCAAAATGAACTCTTGATATATTACATATCAACACATGTATTTATATAAAATGTACGTATGTGTTGTTTTCAAAAATAAATTTACAATAAGCGTAGGTATAGTATTTTCTTCATGATTGGATATGTTACATGCTACATGGAGTTAGATTCCATGTATCTAATAAACATTAAAGAACAACAGCGAGAGTAAGAATGCGATAGAAAAGTCTTGTCCTGCTCCGAATCGTTCGGTTTGTGAGACCCAGTTTTAGTGTTCTCCCGGCTTACGAGCAAACGAAATGCAAAAAACGTGCAAATACCTGAAGGTAAACCACCTGTCTACGTAGATCCGATAGCTCCTGGAGCGGGTCCTCCGTCGTGGACGATGTGAGGCTGGCCAGATCGATGTCGTTCAGCTGCTTGCTGTCCAATCCGCAGGCGGCGAACAGCTGGACGTTGTCGTTCTCGAAAGGATTGAGCGTTTCCGTCTGCGGATAGGTAATAAAAAACCAGTAGGTTACTTGCCATTCATCGCTACTCCTACAGAAAATGCCTGGGGGCACAAATAAATAAGTTCGAACGCAAGACGGCGACGTACCCGCTTTAAATCAAAATCTGGCTCCTAGGAGTTGTGCAAGTGAATGGTGAGTGTGAGTGATGGGTGTGCCATGGAAATGTAAGGAAAGAAAAGCGCAGTTGAAAGGAAAAATTATGACTGTACTTAAAATAGTAATTTCGGCTTAAATAAAAAATTTTTTTGTTTAAGCAGAAATATCAATTTACGGAAGCCATTCAAAAAAACAATAAATAAATTTTCAATACATAAAGCAGACTTTAAACGGTTATTAAATATTAAATAAAATATCATCATAAAAAATGTTTATCAATTTTATTTATATTTTATAAATATCTCTAAATTTTTAATAATAATGCAAGTTAACAATAAAGAAAACAGATTACAAAATAAGGCTTTAAAAGTTGATATAAATTTTTTAATAGAACATTAAATAATATTAATGGTTATTTGAGGGTATAACTCTAAATAGTAATTAAATTCCGATTGAAGGATCTAATAAGTTTATTATAAATTCCACACCCATATTGTTAATAACCCTTAGTTTTAGACACCACTTACCTCCTGGAGAATTCGCCGCAGTCGCAGCAGCTGCTTCTTGAACTGCAGCACATCCTGGATCATGGCATTGCGGAAGGACTTGTCATACAACATCAGATCGTCCGACGAGCTGTGCAGCTCGCCCCCGCACCTGTGGCCGGTTGCTCCGGATGCACTTGCTCCTCCTGCTCCTCCTCCTCCTCCTCCTCCGCAGCTCCTCCGCCCAATCCCAGTCCCAGGTGCTGCTGCTGCAGGTGACGCTGGCGGGGCAAACTGGCCGTGGAGCCGGACGATGTCCTTGAGTTGGCCGTGCTTCTCTTCCGGGCAGCAGCGGCCGCCGAAGCTCCGCCGCTGTGCGAGGACCTCAAGCTATTGTCCGAATCGTTGCCGGTGAGCTGTTGGTCCTGGAGACGCGAGCGGTTCAGCAATCTGGTGGCACGGGCGGGCAACTGGGCGCTGGAAAAGAAAGCATTTGTATTATTAATTAAATTAAGGTTCATCGCTCAACTAAGAAAAATTAATTTATAATTAGTTAGGAATATCCAAGAGTGCCTGTGATATGTTTCGTTGGCCTGCGGCGCACTGCTGGCCATAAAGGTCGCATAGTGGTAGTGGATATGCCGCTGTTTGATGGTCATCGGTGAGCTGGTTCGCTGCTGGCTCCCCAGGAATCTATTCTCCGACGTCTTCAAGTCGGTCCGGACTCTTCGCACTCCGCTGGGCGAGGATTTGCTGGCGGATTTGCTAGCCTCCGACATCGTCCAAGCTGACAAATCGAATTTCTTTTGGGTCGCTGCTTGGTCCCTAATGCTCCATGTTGTTGCTCTGCGACAATGACACAATCGCGTCATGCGCAGACCACCAACAGCTGTGTGGAGACTTTGTAGAAAAATGGTGTGCGACCCCAAGTACACAGAACCAAATTGTGTTGTTAAAGTAAACTATTAAATTTTTCTTATAACATTTTTTTTAAATGGTAAAATATGTGTTTTTAAGTTTCCTGATTTCACAATTATATTTTGGAAAATAAATTGAAAATAAAAAGTTACTTAAGTACCACATCCTACAAATCTATTTAATAATTGTAGAAAAAACGAAAAATCTATATTTTATTTTATAAGCCCCAATAGAGATAAAAATGTTAATTCGGATCTAATTTGAAAACCTGTCTTTACGAAATTTGTAATACCAATATTGTGAATGCAAAAAATTGTTAAATTACAATATTTTATTTTCGTAATATTTTCTTCCTAAGCTATTAAAATATGCATAGTTTAATTTGCCAAGTGTAACCTCCATCGTAGGGGTGAGTTCTGCAATTATTTAGCCAGTTTCAATTAACGCGGTCGAAATGAAAGTGAAATGCCATTGATTAGGGCTGGCCAAAGGAGCTCCGACCGGCAGTTGTCAATGGGCAATTAAGATGGGCGGTGGGGTCAGGTGGCGCGGGACAGGTAACCTGCACGACATGAATGCTGGAAATAAATCCACAGACGCGGCTGCCTTTCAGCTGGATGGTGAAAGTCAACTGTTGCGTGTTGCAGTCACCCAAATGCAAGGGGAACTGTATATAGGGGGAGGAGGGCTCTCTTACACATGCGCGTTGTTCAAAATTGTACGCCATAATTTAAACAAACTGTTGAAAAACGTATTAAAAGCAAACAAAAGAAAAAATCATTCAAAAGTAGTTAGCTCATTCGATTATTCACGGTTGTAACCAAAGGTTAATGCCTAATGGATTTTGGGTCTACTATAATACCCGCAATTATGGCGATATTTCGGTTAGTGGATCCATTACGACAAAGAAAATTAATTCGAGCATCTCAACGGGCATCTCTGTGAGACTTTCCTCCGGCAAGCCTAATTATCCGAGTTCAGATGGTTAAGTTCCAAGAGTAATTTGCCCCAGGGAACTGGCACAGCGGCAATTTGAATATTTGAATCTGCGAACTTGTTTATGGCCGCATTAAGATGATCGCGAATTGCACGAAATGGACTGTGAACAATTTTCAGCTCATCTGGAGCGGCGATGAAAGTACGAAAATATCTTTTATTGTTCCAGCGTCCCCTTCTATTTTCACCGTTAGCTGGGCTTGTCGGCGGTATAAAGGTTCTCAGCACTCTTTCATTTTAATTAATAATAAATTCCCTACTGCGATGGTTTTGATTGCAACTGGTAGGAATGATCGGTCAGGATGATAAAAATTGATTTATATGTTAAGTAATTTAGGTAATTTTTATTTATGTTCCCATTTGGATGGTTTGGTTTATAAGAAACGTGTTGTTAAATTGTTTTTTTTAATAAAATACTAACTGAAATGAATTAATAATGTACTTTTTATGATTTTCTATTAATTGAACACAATTTTTACTTATAATTAAATTAAGCCCATAGTGGTTAACTTCTAATTAAAAAGATTTTGGAAATTTGCGAAACAAGCAAACCGAAGCCAAAAGTTCAAATGGATTCACTCGAGTGTTTCCAAACAAAAAGCAATTAAATTGTACATTATGTCCAAACCATAAAACACAAAATACACTTTCCCAAATCCCATACACAACCACTGAGCTAGCAAAATTCCACATGTTTGTGAGTTTCGCACGCCAACTTTATGCGGTTTTTGTACTATGAATATGAATGCAGAAATCGGGCCCGAAGAGATCCACCGAAATCAAAACAATACGAGTACTTTGCACAACTCAATTCAGCGAAACTCAGCAGGCGGCAGTGCCGGATATTTCGTACTCCGAACCGAAAACAAACCGATTGTCAGACGACAAAATGCCTGTCATTGCAACAAGTGCAGCAAATGGATGTATATGAATGTGTATATAAGGCGATATCAGTAGCGTAGGAGAAAAGGGGGAAATTTAACAATATTTATAACATTATTCCCATAAATTTCTCTGAGATATTTAATGTATATAAATAGATCTTGGTCGATATTAAGTTTAACATAGAATCTTTGGAAACTAGGCTTACAGGAAAATTTATTACTTTTATAGGGCTTTTTATGTAATTTTATAAATTTTAATTTCGATATATATATCATTACATTTTTCTTTTTTATATCTGATACGTTTATATTGTTTATGCATATTTGTAATATTACTTTTTTTAACCCAGAAACCAAATAAGTTTTTTATCTTATAGTCTTTTAACCCTGCTAAATATGTGTAAATGTCAAAGAAACCCAAATATTTACCACGAAATTTTGGAAATAAGATCTAGATAAGACGGTAAAAGTATTTCGTATACGAGTTTATTATGTTACGTGATGAGCGTTTAAGCACATAATTTTTATTTCTGATTATAAGGTTTTCCACAAAGTGGGCACAGAGCCCCTGAAGTTTGCCCCATGGCTACGCACCTGCTTTTCAGCTACCTTTCTACACATTTAGTACAAATGTGCCTCATTTGTGACTCCACACGCGCCACTGCCAACGGCAACTGTCGCTAACTTGGCTCACTTGGTTAGCTGCAACAGTTAACAGTCAACATCCAACAATGACAAGTAATCACAATCATATGGCGATCCACGGAGTAGAGGCGTTGACATGCACTACTCGAACTTCACTTCCCAACGGTACTTATCAATTTGTGCGGCAAAGCGTCATTTGTCATAGAGTCGGAGACCTTTTGGGGCATAAATGTGTATAGATATGATGGCAGTACCTATCCATCTGTGCATATAGGAAGGGGAAGTGGAAATGGAAAGGCAGCTTCATTAGAGGCACCGGGAAGGGGGTGCGAGCTGCAGGCCACGCAAGTAATGGTAATGGCCATAAAAAATAAAGAAATAAGCAACATTCTCACACGGCCGCCTCTGATGAGAATCCGGTGTGTATCTCGCATGCGCAGAGTTCTCAGTTCTACACGCAGAGAAAAACTAGATTTTAGGGGAGCTATTAAAATTTCAGTTCAAATTGTAGTCTAAATATAATAAACCTAATGTTTAAACAGTTTCTGATGTTTAAAACAAAAATGTTTAATCTTAAGGCTCAAGATTTTAAATATTTTAAAATAAAATATTATTTACACTCCCTTTTTCCTATTCTTTATAAAATATCTGATACCAAGAACAATTTAGAATTTGATCCTTTTTTCTTCCCAAAAATATGTGCATTAAAAGAATATATTTTTTAAAGTGTGTGAGCCGAGGATGATGATCAACGATGGTTAAGATGGGGATATGCCCAGAGACAGTGTTTGGGGCTGGGGAATTCGGAGTTGGGGAGCACTTTCGAGGCAGACAGGTAGATAGGATGGAAGGTAGCAGCAGAGGCAGCAGCAGCGGCAGTTATCTGTATCTGTATTTGCACTCGATGGTATGTTGGTAGTTTGTGTGGCAAACATTCTGTTGAATTATGCATGGCGATGGAGATGGGAACCCGTACTCGTATCCGTAACCAAAACCTGAACGCGTCGCAAATGCAACTGAACTTGAAGTGGCTGAAAAGCCATAAAAGGGGGCACCTCGACCCCCGATGCCCCCCGTCAGTCGTCTTTCGCCCCTTTTCTTTATGTGCCTGATATCTGTAATTGTTACGTTTATGGCATCAAATTCCAAAAGATTTTCCAAACGTTGCCTGCATTTGCATGTGACACACTTTCCGTCCATTGTGATGGGCCTACCCCTACCTTTTCTTTCTTTTTGTTTTTTTGTTGCTGTTGTTTTTGCCCCCGGTTACATATCGAATTACGCAAAGCTAAGAGCGGAAATCATCACCCACTTTGGCTACCACTTGGCTAAGGTTTCTGGGCTTTCGGTAGCTTCTGTCTGCCTTTGTTAGCCCTGCCGACAATTCGTTTCGTAAATACTACTAAAAAGTACTACAGTTCTCAGCTACAGTAGGAATTCAGAAATTCAATATAAATGGTTGAATTATTTATAAAAATCGATTAATTTCCTAATGATCCATTGAAGAAACAATAGGTGTTTAAGATACATTTGTTTAAATGTTTCTTATTAGGCAAGGCACTCAGCTGATTTTTTGTTTCGTAAATAAAATCTATCTAAATATCACATTAAATGCTATAGTTAATTTTCTATAAAAGTTATAGTTTTTGAGTATTCCAGTTATAGAAGTCCCACCGTACTTCTTCCACTCACTTGATTCTGCGGGTCTAGGCCAAATGCGAAATGTATCCCAGGCAAAACGCTCTTTTCATTGACACTTGTGCCCGCGGCTTTAGTCTTTTGTTATGAACGCTGGTCGTTCGATGGCGTCGGCGTTGGACCGCCTATATGTGGCTGTATCTGTATCTGAATCTGAAGCTTTGGATGGGTAGGCAGTATCTGTATCTGTGGCATGGAAGAGGCACCAGTGCGTATCACTGGAGGCGACGACTGCCTGCGGTCACTGGCTCTTGTTTTGGTGTTTTTTTGGGTATTTTTTTTTGCGTCGGTTATTAACAACGCAATTTTATTAGACTACGTAATAAATCCCACGCGCTTTTCGAAACAACGACTCTTGCACAATTTACCAATCTACAATTGCCTTTATTGGCAGTGCTCTTTAAACCGATATTGCTGATGGAATGATATTGGATTACGAATATAATTTATTATTTCGCATGGCTAACCGCACACAGCACTCATAAACCGAACCGCACGCTTTGAGATCTTGTTTAATACTGGAGCCGAAATCGAAGTTGGAGCCACCGCTTAAGTGGTGATGGAGTGGTATGATATGGTAATGGAACAGTACAGTGGGTTGGTTTAGAAGGTTTTAGTGATAAGTTAAATAATGGGGAAATGGGAAGGGCTTAAGAATGAAAATATAATAGCCCATTATGATTAAACTTCGAAAAATAAAATAATAAATTCAAATCGACTTAGGGCCGGTTTCTCGAGTCCTGTCAAAGTCCGATAGCTATCTGTTCGAAAAACTAAATACCAGAAAACGTTCGTAAACAAATCCGCTTTCGACTGCTTTAAATTATCTGAACTAGAAACAATTGCAGACTGCTGTTAATTGCTATAATTGTGCTGTAAAAAAATGGCATGCTTCGATTATTTCATAAGCTGTTTGGGTATAATTCAAAGGAAAAGTCAGATGTGATTTCGTTTCTTCTACAAAATTGGCTTTGGGAAATTTTTTTTTTTAAAGCCAAAAAGCCTTAAAAAGGACTTTATATTCCGAAAAGTTAACTCGAACCTTTTCTAATAAATGAATTAAAGATTAAACTACATTTAATCTATTTCAAAGTTAGATTATTCTAAAAATCTTAAAAAACAATCAATAAATGAATTTTATTATAGCGAACATAATAATTATAAGATAAATATTAAAACAAGAACCCTTCTCCTACTTGTATATCCCAAAATTTATTTGCAAACTCTTTAAAAAGCCCACTGTAATTGGTTGCTGTTGTTACCAATGTTTCGCTTTTCCAACGTTCCCGCCAGCAACAGCAACAGCAACATCAGCAGCAGCAGCAGCAACACCGCTTACACGAGCAACACGAACGGCAGGCAGTGGTAAGAATGTTGCTGGTGGGTCGAAAGAGATGGTCGTGTGGGTCTGGGCCGTTTTTGTGTGTGGCACAGCCGTTAGACGATGCTGGCTGGCTGGCTGAAAGAATGGAAGAAAGCCAGATCTCTTGGTGGCGGGGCAGACAAGAGCAATAGCCATAATATTTATGCACCCGGAATGCCGAGATGGGGATCACAATGCGGCTTTTGTTGCATCCGCGTGAGCGGGTTAACAGAGAGGCAATAATAACTCAGATTGAGTGGGCTTATTCAGCACTTTCTGAGGGAGGCGAGGGGGGACCTGGCCATTATTATATCTTTATGACTCATACTCATTCACTGGCCAAGCGGGCAAGCCAGTCAGTCTCATGGTTAATCCACAAGTGCGGTTTTGCATGTGACTGGTGGGCTTTTGAAGTATCTGCAGCTGGCTGCTTGCAGATTGGCCTTCTAATCTTACCTGCAGTTAAAAAAAAAAAGAAAAAAAAACGAAAAGGAAAGCCAATGTCCCGACGCAGGCGCATCTATTGGATCCATCGAGTGACAGGTTAAACCGCAACAGCACATTTAGCCATGGCCAGCGGCATTTTGCAGTTATTTGGCTGTTGGCTGCGAAACAGGTTCACATATATTCACCAGTCTTTATGTAGAGGCAGACAATTGATTTTTCCTAGCAATAAAGTTTTTCCTAACTTTTGGTTACAGCCAGAAACGACTCCATCGATGTTGATGTCGTGCCGTTGCCGGTTGTTGTTGCTGTTGCTGTTGCTAGTGTTGCTGTTGCTGGTGTTGCCTATGCTGTTGCCGTTGTGACTGTTGCTGGTTCGTTGCCATGACAAAAGAATGCGGCACTCGCCATCAAGTCTCCGGCCAAAGTCAAAATGTTATCTTAACTACGACCACGATTTGGCCAAAAAGCCAAGACCCAGTCTGGAGCTCCCATAGATAGAGACGGGATGGCCACACAGAGAATAAAAACGTGCAAATAATATGGAGTGGAATTCTTGAAAATAACTGAGTATAAAATATTTCCGTTAAACTGATCTTAGGAAAAAATAGAAAAGTTCTAAAAAGGCATATTTAATAACATACAAAAAATATTATTCTCATTAAACTAACCTAACCTTAACCTGAGGTTTAATATTTGGTTCAGATTGTTCCAAGTTATTGAACAAATTTTTGGTAAAAATCGGTAACGATTTCTAAATAACCCATAATTATCTTGATTTTTCCAGGAGTGTAAGTTTAAATGGTTCAAATACATAAGTTAAACTGTTGGATAACTCGTAAATTTAGTCTTACTTTTATTAGAATGCTAGGAAATGCTGATCGTAGGCTTAAATGAATGCAATACGGATATAGTAATATTTTTTCCCGTGCATAAGAAAAAAAGAGGTGGTGGTGGGAGGCATAGACAATTGGAAATGCCAAGTGCCGTTGCCGTTGGTCGCGTCTTTGGCTTTGGCTTCGCCCAGAATGCACAAGGCCCACACAGAGTTGTTGTTGGCTGCAGCATTTTGGGCCATAAACATGCCCCAATGGCTCTCCCCTTCTCTTTCTGGTAGCCGGCGCTAAAACACGGCAATTGGGACCGACAACGGGAACTGCAATGGGAATGTCGGATGGATGGTTGGATGGATGGAGACGCCAATGGGTTCGCCAATGGACTAAAAGTAACCTTTGGCAAACACAGACCAAACCTGTAAGTTCCAACCTGTCCCTGTGCTTCGCCGTCCTGTACTGTCCCACTGATGTCTGTCTAATTTTGGGCTAATTTCAATTTCCATTTCCATTTACCCTTAAAATAAAAGTGGGCAGGGCGGCGGCGGTGAAGGGAAATGGGGAAGGGCGTGCCAAAGCTGTGAGCTGGCCGAAGTAAATTGCATTTGATTAACCCCAGAGCGCCCTTTTGGCAAACAAGAAAGCAAGCAAACAAGCAAACACGTGAGATTTGGCTGGCTGTTTGTTTTGGTAGCTAAATCAATTGATGAATATTCCTGGATAAGCTTGGCAATTTAAATTAACCCTAAAGTGTCCGTGTTTTTTATTGAAAGCATTTAGTCAGGGATATGATCCATATAAAACACATTATTTCCATAATTTATAGATGTTTTTCCAATAGATTTTATGATTATACCATAAAAAAGTTTCTAATGGTTTTTATTTTATTATACCCGTTACTCGTAGAGTAAAAGGGTATACTAGATTCGTGCAAAAGTATGTAACAGCTAGAAGGAAGCGTTTCCGACCCCATAAAGTATATATATTCTTGATCAGGGTCACTAGCCGAGTCGATCTAGCCATGTCCGTCTGTCCGTCTGTCCGTCTGTCCGTCTGTCCGTCTGTCCGTCGCTGTCCGTCCGTCTGTCTGTATGAACGCTGAGATCTCGGAAACTACAAAAGCTAAAAGGTTGAGATTTCCCACACATATTCTTTGGCTTCCTACGCAGCGCAAGTTTATTTTAGCCGAGCGCCACGCCCCCTCTAACGCCCACAATCGCCCACTAACGATTTTAAAATGGGTCCTGCGCCCACATCTTTAAAGATTTCCGAGAAGTATAAATGCAATTTTGTTGTGTATATTTATACCTATCGAAATGTAGAAGACATTTTTCAAATCGGACCATTCATTAAAAAGTTATACGCTTTATAAATTGTCCACATATATCTATCTCCCTCGCACTCCCTTTAGCTGAGCTACGATTATTAGTCGGGACACCAACCCGACACAGCGTTCGCACTCCCTTTAACTGAGTGACGGGTATTAGATAGTCGGGACACCAACCCGACTATAGCGTTCTCTCTTGTTTTTGTTTTAATATCAATAATATTTTTATTTTAATTATTTTTTTAACTGAATTGTAATAAGCTAAGTCATTACTTCCTCCTTATCAAATTTTAAAACATACATAAATATTACTTTATGGCTTTATTTTATTTTATTCATTGCTGCCTTTCTGGGGCTAAGTTGAGTAATCTTCTACCGGCCGGCGGAAATTTGTCTAGCAGCCAAAGAGAGAGGAAGGCTGCGCTAAAAAGAGGGAGAGGCTGCTGATTGATTTGCAGCACCTCAAGTGGAATTGGGTTGCAGGGGAGCAGGGGGAAAACTGCCGGGAAAATGCACTTAATAATATTCCAACAGTCGCTGGCCGACTGCCAAGTGCAACTGCTAATAAAACCAAATCAAAGGCGATTCAAAGAGCCACCGCCATCGATGCCACATTTCTGACCCGATGCATCCAATTCAATTAGCTTTGGTTGGGTGAGGGGAATCGAAATTATTCCGAAAGCCAGAGATCGCTTTTAAGAGATACAATTTAAGGGCGTGAAACCATATTTCGAGTGGTTGAATTGCCGAGTTACGTGAGTCCAGGCAGTTAGATAGCATGAACTTTTGACCTATTTAAACAACCCTATAATTAATTTCTAAGTAATCAATCTTACTACGATTGTCTAACTCCCAAATTCCACATTGTATTTAAATATCTGGAATTTGTTATCTTTCGAACCTTTTATAAAACCTTCTAGTAGGTACTTTAAATTAATAAAATTACTTTAAAACTCACCTTATTCTCTCCCTTGGTCCTCCGCGCTGCCTCCTTCCTCGCAATAAAGTATTCAGCTCCTTCATCACATCGCTGCCCCGGCGTTCCAGTTCCGAAAGAAGTTCCGCCTCGGTCTCCGCCTGCATGGTATCAATGTCCTGACCTCCACGGCCAATCTTGTGAAGATCCGAGCCACTGCGACTGCGTCCCGTGGCATTTGCCATGTGATCAATGGAGTCCACACTGCTGTTCATATCGAAATCCATCATCAGGTCATCGGAGCAAATGGATTCACATGGGGATAGAGTATCCAAAGATTCAGCTCGATCCATCACTGCCTTTCGCACCGCCGCCGGAGTCCTCAGGCTCAACTCGATGGCCTGCTGGAGAGCTGTTCGCGCCTTCGACTGACTTTTCAGGGATCGCAGCGAACCCGTTTGGGTGTGGGTCAGGGTTTCCATCAAAGTTGGCGTATCCGTGGCCACCTCATGGGCTTCACTGTTGCACAGCAAAGCCGGCTGATCGGCGATCTCATCATCTATGAGATTTCCACAATCCGAACCCAGGGAAAGCGAATGGGAGGCATGAGTGGGTGTGCCGGGGGAAATGGGACTGCGGCTGCCGATGGGATCCAGATCGAGTTCGAGTACCGGGGAAATATCATCGATATCTATATCATCGATGTCCTTCTGCTGACGCTCCTCGTTGAGCTTGTGCTTCTGCAGTTTGCCACCCGCCTCCTCGGAATCCTCGGTGCTGCTAACCAAACTATCTGTGGGCGAGGTCTCATCGTCCAACAGAAGGCAACTGCTGCTGGCCAAAGCCAACTCGGCGAATTTGGATTCATTGAGAGCATTGTTAAAGGAGCGAGGACGCGCCTCCCGATTGTCCACCAGGTGAAGGTTGAGCAGGGTGGCCTCCTGACCCACATTGGGTGGAGTTTCCGTCATCGAAGCTGGAGGGGATTGGAAATTCTTTAAAAATAAAACCAGGTAAAGAAAGTAAACAACTTACATATTGTGCTAAACTGCATGTCCGTGTTGATCAGACTGATCTCGTCCAGACCCAGCGACATGTCCTCCTCCTTGTCATTGTCCCTGGGATTCTCCGGAGCCTGGGTATCGCTACTGATGCTCATGCTCATGCTGCTGCAATCCTGGGCAGCCAGGGATTCGCCCGCCTGCAGACGCCAAGTGGAGGACTGACTCTGATGCTTGGCACTCTTCTCGGAGGTGGACGAGTCCAAATAGAGCTTCTCCTCGTCCACACTTTCGCTCTCATCGGAGCCACTTGTCTTGGGTTTATCTGGTTCCTGATCCTGCCGATCCTGATGATCCTGGGTTGCCGGGGCCTCAGCCTGACGTCGCTCGTAAGTCTCGCGACTCAAAACGGTATTGGATCGTACCAAGCCCAGTAAGGGAAGTGGAATACTCTGACTCCCGTCAGTGGGCAACTTTGGAAGTGCCAGTGGTTCCACAAAGGAGTTCGACTCGCTGGACGGCGGATCATCGGCATCGCGCACCTCGAATGTGTGCCGTCCGCTCATCACCATCTTGAGGTTCCTGGGCCTGCTGCGACTCCTCTTCGAACCCACCGAGCTGCCCGAGCTGCTGTCCAAGGCCATGTCCATGCTGGCTATCCCCGAATCCGCGCTGATTTCCCTGCTTCCAGAGAATCCTCGACGCGTCGAGTTATTCGTCAGCTGTTTCACGCTCTTCTGGTCGAGATGCCGCGACGACTGCGGCTGGACATGCACGGAGGTCAGGGGATGCTGACGGGAACTCGTGGTGGAGATGTCCTTGGCCCGGGCTCCTGTCGAGTGGGCGGGCACCGGCGATTGCACACTGCTGCTGGGCGTGGTCGGTGTGGTGGCTGTCAAACTGATGGCCACCGGGTACTCAGGCCTGGGCAGGCTCACCGTCTGTAGGGTAAACTTGGCATAACTGGCTGGAGTGGGTCGCGGAGTGGGGCGAACTCTGGGAAAGATTAAGAAAATGTTTCAATATTAATATTAATAATGGTAAATATAAACAATTCTGGCGAAGTTTTCTAATATTTGTATGATTTTAATTATTGTTTTTTTGTTCAATATTTAAATATATTTTTTTACCCAAAAAAAGAGGAAATATAAATTATCTAACAATATTTATCAGTAAAGCTGATGTAATATCTTATATATCATATTTAAATCATTAACAATAAAATGGTCCTTCAGGATCTTTCTTGATCTTAATTGATTACAATTTCTTTTTATTGAACTTGAACTTCATATTGTTAGAATAAGTGGTGTACGATACTATTGAGATAATTTTGTAAGTTAATTTGTTTATTTTTATAGACTTTTCTAAAAAGTATTAAATTGTTCATTTATTTTCGAGTATATTTTATTTTTCCTATATTCCCTTTTATATTCATATTTTTACTAATATTCCGAATTACTCACATGACATTGGCATGCATGCTGGCCAGGTTGTTGTAGTTATAGCGGGGTTGCATCGCTCTCGATCCCGACCCAGATCCGCCTCCCGAAACCGCACCCGATCCCGACGTTTCGTCCGCAATCTCGCCGAAGAACTGACGCCGCTGGTACTCGATGGTGGTGTTCTGGTTCAGGTTGAACGTCAGCGTTTTGGGCTGGGCTATTTTGGGCTCCCCATCGCCGGATCGACCGGCGTGTGCGCTCTTGGAGCGACGTTTTACTGCGGGAAAATCGAAGGAAGGAAGTTTTTTATTGGAGTCCGAAATGGGGAAGCTCTGTTTTATTTGCGGCATCGACACTCACAATTGCTCACCAATACCGGACCATTTCCCGCTCCCCGATTGTTATTGTTGTTGTTGTTGTTCTGTGCATTGGCCGTCGAATCCGATTCGGATTCTTCGCTGGGCCCAGTTAGGCCCGCTGATGCGGGGCGTGGCACCGCCCCACGATAGCCGAAACGTCCACCGGCCGCCGCACCTGCCCCCAAATTGCCAGTCTTCTGGGCAGCGGCGGCGCCTACTTTCTCAAAGTGAACGGGAGCAGCTGTCCGGGAAGAGAATAAAGGAAAAGAATGATGAAATGTTGGCATGTCAACTCATTGTTAAACTGGCCGAATTGTCGCCAAATTAAAAAGCAATAACACTTGGTCGGCTATTGCCAATTTACAGGGGTTATAAGCTCACAGTACTAAACTTAGTTTAAATTAAAATAGGGACTGTGCCTGTTTTATAAATATAAGATAACTTAAAAATATGAAAAGAAATGTATTAAGCTTTTATTCAAATTTTAAAATTATTTTTTGGAAAATTTATAAAACCTTTTCTAAAAAAAATTCTTGCTTATTTACCTGACTTTTTTTAATTATTTCTTTAGTAATTTCTTTTTTAAAACAAATATTTCAATATTTTCTTTCTCTGATTTCCCCCAATATAAATATAAAATAAACTAAACAAATATAACTATTTTTCTTACCTCCCCCGAAAACTCCATTAACTCCAACCAACTCACCTGCATTCCCGTTGTCGTCCTTTGTGTCTGTGCGAGTTGCGCTTTTGTCGCCGCCTTCCAGGAGTTTCTTGAACTTCTTGGGCGTCCCATTGAGCTTTTTGCGGAAGCCAAAGGACATGGCGGTGCCCTTTGGTGTGCACCGTCTGATTCTGATCCATCGCCTCTGAGGGATTGCCATTACTATTTCCGTTGCCATTGTGGTGGCGTCGACTTGACTTGCTGCCCTGCTTCTTGCTCTCCGCCTGTCCCTAAGCGGGTGAAAGGGGTAAAACGAGGAGAAAGGGGTGAAAAGCGATTAGGATGAAAGCGAAACACATTTGCGAATCGGGTCAGCACAGATGAGAGGCGCACGGAAACAAAGGAGCCTCGAGGACTTCCCCAACAAGAGACAAAATACAATAGAATACATGGCTATTAGCTAACTACATGAGTCACTCGGTTCTACGAACAATAACTATTTGCGAGATACTTTTGAGGGAATCATGATAACTATCAATATGGATAGGAAACCAAAACATAAAGTATATACAGGATTTTCTTTTCATGAAAATATAACTTCATTTCACAATGAGTAAATGATAAAATTTACTTTCTAAGATAATGTTCTTAAATATTTCAGACAAAACAAGAGTTATGTGAGAAAGGAAATCGAACAAATCAGGATGTATTTAAGCGACAAAGCTATCTAATTTTTTTTTTAAATAAACGAATATTTCTCCAAGTAGTAGGTACCATGATGACTGCCTCGACTTCCGCGTCGGTTGCTGCGTCCTCCTCGACTGCTAGTTTCCGAAGGTCCTGCTCTAGGAGCGCTTCCTTATCATCGATATCGATGTTCGGCTCTTTGTGTATTATTTGCTGCTCCTGATCGGAATTTTCCGCGCTCGGCTCGGCGACCCCCTCGTTTAGCTGCTGCTGCTGCTGTGATGCGAATTTTCCTAGTGAGACGACGACGGGGTTGTCGCATTCATCCATTTTGCAGGTCGTCGGCAGAGGAACTCGCTTTTCCGGCGAGCCTCCGTCCGTTTGCTGTCCCCCCGGGAAGTCGTCTTGATCCTGGCGTAGAAAAAGTCCGCTTTGGGTTGCAGTACGGCTATGTTCATGACACGGCCGAAGCGAAAGGCGCACAAATTACGCCATTTATAATTGCACTTGAGCCGCACACACAGATACAGATACACAGCGAGTACCTGCCAGTACACCCACACGGGGGTCCTTGAAAATCCTAACGGCTTGCTGGAAAAATCTTTTGCAGATTGCTCGCACTTTTCACGCCTCACGTTATGCAAACGTTTTTCGCACTGTTCTCCCACTTTTCTATTTCGAAATGGTCTTCCTGTTTTTGTTCTTTTCCTATTTGTTGTTAGTTTTTTTTTATAGTTTTACTGAGTTTTTCCTGCTGCGGCAGAGTGGCGACGATTTTTCACTTGTGAAAGCACGGCAAACGGAAAATTGAATGGCGAGCTGAAAATTCTCACGGAGCGAATGGGTTTCCCTGCCTTCTTGTGGTGGGTCTGGTCGTTATACTCTCTTTTGCTTGACCACAGGGGGAGAAATTGGAAGACAGACGGAGAGAGTTCCCAGTGTTCGCTCATGCGCAGAACGGGCAAAACAAGTGGCTGTTCGGAGATAATGGTTTAAAATCGGGGGTGGCTTGGTGTGGCGCCATCTAGCGGCAGGGCTGGCACTTAGCAGGGAAACGAACCAAGACAAGTGGAAAATGTCTTGTGTATTTTTTAAAGTAGCAGCTTTTATTATTACGTTGTAAAATAAATTACATAAGATTTGGGTAATAATGTTTTCGAATACTCGTAAAAAAATTCATTGGAGATATAGGTTGCCTAACTACTACTTCAAAAATATTAAGAGTTGCCTGAGTGAGAGAATTTGACGGTAATAGTAATGAGTTGCACTCCATTGTTTTTGGAAACCAGAAACATCTGATTCTCAAATAAAAATATAAAATTAAGACCTGTTTCTGCAATTAAAATCAGAACTATCTTTATTTGCTTTCAAACTTAAAAAGGCCAGAATTGCAAACTTTTAATAAATTAAGGATTTTGAAAATATGTAAGGAGTGTGAGGTTGATTTTCCTTTCTTTCATGCTCAGTGATTCATGTAAAATTCAGATGTAATAAGCCCTCTGAGACATTATCCAAGTAAAATAAAATTTGGTTAAGGTCAATTGCCGTGGGGGGAGGGGAGGGATAAAATGCCTCGGTTAAGTATGAAAGATGATATGTGGGTTGGGAGCCGTTTTCGACAACCCCCCTCGCCCCTTCACCATCTGGGATGTTTATGTAAAATTACCTTGTAATAAGCCTTGCGAGAAAAGGAATATGAATATGTAAGCCCAAACTTTTAATGGAAAGGCAAGGTAAGTGATTCTGGAAAGTGAGTGAGGGTATTGGGTTATTTAGCCAAAATTTCTATATTCTTCATGTTTATCTTGTCTGAAACTAGCAGCAAAAAAAAGTAAAAAAAAAGATGGATAACTAGTATGTTGTAACTTTAGATCAATTTTAAAGTATCCTTCCCTACGCTACATTTATTTTGAAAACGCCCAGCTTTAGTTCACTTTCTTTTTAGAAACAATAAACATCGAGGTTGACAATAGTCTGGCGAATGAATAGATTGTTGACCCACAATCTCTGACACCACATTTTCGCCAGACTCAACTTTCCAGCCGCAGAGTTCGCAACTTATTGATAGTGCTTCGCCAGAAGCCTCAAGTGAGTTGTAAACATTTATCAATATTACTCACCGCCAGCCAGCCGTTGTTCTCGACTGGTAATTGAGGTTCTTGCCTGATTCTGGCCTGATTCAGGATGTTGCCGGAGGAGGACGCCTGCTCCTCGGCGCTTTCGATGGCCTGCAGCAGTTCGTGCAGTAGGAATTCCTGGCAAGTGGAGTACGCCGATCCGCTCAGTGGTTCCGCTGGGGCAGCATCATTGTAAAGGGACTCGATGTGCAACACGGCCTGCTCCGGTTGCTTCCGCCGGCTTATGGTGTAATAAAAGGGTTCCTCCTGCTCCTGCTGGCTGGCTGCTATGTATTCATTACTCGCTGTCAGCTGTTGCCAGATTTTGTGCGCCTGGGCGAGATCTTCGTGGGACAGTGCGATTGTCAATACAGATTGATGATGCTCCGCGGCTGGGGACGCGAATTGGTGGAGCGGAGGCGTCTGCCGGGAGACACACTTGCCCATGGCATCTTACAACAGCAACCGGAGTTTTGTGGCAACACGTCTTTCTTCTCCTTTCGAGACTGCAAAGAATAAACAAAATATTACAAAAATGCGTCAGCTATTTGGGGTTCCTCAAAAGCCACCGAAATAGCTTCTGTCATTTCCTTATCAAACTGACATTTGAATAATGAACAACAATAGGTCTTATTTAATAGGGTACAAAAATCTAAATTGGCAGCCCAATCGAAAGAAACAAAAACCTTTCATTTTGTGCTACAACATTTTAAAATCGAATATTATTTTATAACTTTAAAATTTTAGATTATTTAAAAAAAACATGGTGGGGATATGTTAGCTTTCAGAAGAATTTAAAAAAATATACAAGAAAATAAAAATAGTTGTTATTTCCCATGTACGAATAAATTCATCAGAAGATTCAAATGAGTAGGTTGGTCATAAGATCCTCCCCGCACGGCATATTGATATGCTGGGAGCTCGTCTGGCTTGCGGTTGGCGTGCAGGTAATGATACACCTGTCCCGCCAAACCACCAAACACCCCCCAAACTGCCCCACCACCAAAACCCCAACCCCTTGGTCGAGTCCATTGCCATTGCATTATGCCGCGCTGCACGTTTTTTATTAAATTTTATTAGAGTGCCGCACATGCACAACACGGACGGGTGGAAGTAGAAGCGGACCGACCTCGGCTCCGGATCCGGATCCAAACTTCTTTCATACCTCCGATTGCAATGTGCCAACGAGGGGGAAAAACAACAGAGGGACGGCTAACAGAGAGAAAAGGCATATATATTCACGCAAATGCAAGCAGCCTTTGGGAGAGCCGAAGACCTGCATCCCAGCCGGGTTTTTCCCCCTGGTTATCCTCATGCTCATCCTCATCGTGGAGCTACTGCTACGTAGCTTTATGGCGCATTTGCCGCATAACAAAATTTACACCCACCGGGAGCCGTCGACGCGTCGGTGCACTCAATGGGGCTGCCCTTTGTGCCGGTGGTCCTTCGCGCCGGATCAAGCCATATCCACTAGGTCGGAGGTTTCGTCGCCACTCGATAACAGAATTTGTTCAATAATGAATTTAAGCAGGAAATGCATTTTGCCAAAGCCATCTGAGTGACAGGGCTTATTCGGTAGGTATTTTTTTTTTTTTTTTTTTTTTTTTTTTTTTTTTTTTAAATTTTTTTTAAATTTTTTTTTTTTATTAATTAAAAAATTTTTTTTTTTTTTTATTTATTTTTTTATTTTTTTAAAATTTTTTTATTAAAACTAATATATTTTAAGTGCGGATTGACTTCAAGTAGTTGTTGAAGGAATGCATAGGAAAAACAATCAGCTTTATTAAGTATCCTGATACTTGTTATTGACGTTTATTGCGTAATTGGTTTACTTGTCAAAATAGGCATATAAATATTTTACGCTAGATTTTAGTTAGGTTACAAAAAAAAATATTTTTCAGCTCTATTAAAATCTAATACATTATATTGTGGTTTATTTTATTACACTTAATGAAAAGAAAAAATTGAAGAGTTAGGAAAATTTTTAAATTTAGTTTAATTTTTATTTACTTTTTATATATTCATTTTAGGTTTAAATATATCTTCCAGGACTTTTTGTTCAACAGAATATTTTAATGTATGCTTTATAAACACCACTAATTTATTATCTTACGCGTAAAAGGCAATTTTAAATTCCTAAAACTCTTTTCCCTTTTCATCCAACAGAGTATTCCATCTGCTGACTTTACGAACATTTTCAGTCGATCCGGCTGTGTTTATGCCTGCTTATGTCGTTTGGCTTACTTACATTTGCCGCGGCTTTGTGCTGCATAAATTTTCAGTGCCACGCCCCCATGAAGCAACACCGGCCCCTGTTAACCCAACCGCCCATCGCCCACCCCCTGAAAGCTACGTGGCTCTTTTGTGCTAACTGCTAACTTTTATTTGCTGCCTTTTCACATAATGAGGCAATTTTGCAGTTTGTTTTGTGCGAGTTTTCACTTGTTACTCTTCCATTTAATAAGCCAAAGGCAGCGGCACAGGCAAAGGAAAAGGCAGGTGCCGCAAAGCTTGTAACTCGCAGTTTTGGTTTTGGTCCTAATGCAACATTTTGTATGCGCGCGGGATAAATCCCGTGCAGATCCCCGATATTGGTCGCATATGCAAATGGCTGCAGCGCAGGTAATTATGCGCATAAATAGCTCCGATTGTTGGCCAAGAGACTGCAGATGCAGCGAGAGACCTCAAGTAATGCCCAAGATTGGTCAAATGGGTGGAGCACTTGTTTTGTGGTGGGGGTTTCCCTTTTGGGTCGCTAGCATATCCTGCGGATGCCCCATCGGTTTCCCCCGGACGGCGTGGCTCATGCATAAGCATAACCATTGCCCATTTCGAATCGATGTGGCATGCAACAGCTGCTCGCTTACAACACTTCGGATTGCCATGGTCCATGCATTTTAATTGTGTAATCCCGCAGAAAAAATACGGAGTGGAATGCGTGCACCCAAAGAAAAGGGATCTTAAAATACTCATTGTGGATTAAAAAAGTTTAGTTCTTATAAACAACATTTTTAAAGTAGGAAAATGTGTTATAAAAAAAATATATATAGGTTTACACCAAAGCATTTTTCGAAGACTTACAAAAAATACCAAAATTAAAAAGAATAAAAATAGACCAATTAATACAAAATACTTTGACGAGCTTTAATTTTGTATTTTAACTACATCGAATTTTTTTAAAAATATATGTAAAAACGATATCTTACTCTTAGAAAAAATAAACTGAAGAAAAATACATAGCAATAGAAAAAAAATTACAAATTTGTTTTTAGCGTATGTAAAAAGCTAAAGCTATTCAATAAATTCTACGAAATAGAACAGTTTCCATTTATTATCCCTTTTTCTTTGTGGGTTTTAAAGCCCTATTTTTTGGCATAGTGTTTGGGGAATTGGAATGGCATGCCATCACATGCGTCGCAAATAGGGGCAAAAGGGACTTCGGGGGATAGAACCCATCCAGTAAGTTGCGCTGTCGGGGCAAAGTTTTGTGCCATGATTAAAACGAAACCTCACCAAAGTTGCCACCGCTGACAATTTTAATGCAAACAAAAAGTTCCTTTTCTCTTCCTTGGAACGCTGACAGCGGCAAGCGAGAAGAAGGCCAACTTATTTTAGCATGCAACGTTTTTTGCCAACCGCCATCGGCCTCCCCCTTTTTCCACGCCATTAATGCAAATTGACGCGGATACAAGTCGCTACAGGTGCCAGATCCGTTCAGGTTGTTTTCGTTTTTGGCCTGGTTATCTGGGTTCAGGCTCGGGAAAACTTCTGGCAATTCGCGCGGACATTTGCGGCTTTTCTGCCGCCGAAAGCAATTGCATTTTGGTAATTGAACAAGTCAACGCTTAATTACAACGCACTACAGTAAAACACCATAACTGTCTGCGGCATTGAGTGAAAATCCAGCCTGCATTTTCCATTCAGCGAAAGCGAAATAATTTCCATTTGAAATGCGCAAAAATGAGCATTTGTATTCTTTTCCGTCTGAATTTCGACCCTTTTTTGCACCCCGCTGTTGTTTTCGCCTGTTTTTGTTTGAAGCGTTTTAATTGACGGCTCATTTTGTCTTGCTGCACACAGTTCATTGGGTATCAGGGGCGGAATTGCGAAAGAACAACCCAACTGGGCGTATACGCAATTTGGAAAAATGTAGAAAAAATTTTAATTTATTTTATAACTATTTATTGGACTTCTGTGATTTCTCTAAAATTAGCTTTGCTTTAAATTCAATTAAAATGGTTCCTAAAAGTATTCTTAAAATATTCATTTCAGTCTTGCAGAATTCTTTCCTTCTCTAAAACTAATTTCTTAATTTTATATGGCAACCAAAAAAGTAAAAAAAAGTTCTGACTGCACCCCTCTTTTCGGTAGCGAAACAATTCAGCAATTTATCGATTAAGCGCTGCGAACGGACAAAAAAACGCAGTGAAAATGACTTAAAGCAATTCCATGGGACAGTGGATTGTTAAAAACTGATCTATATGCTTGGTTATTGAGCAAGTTTGGCTGTGGCTGTCGATGGCTCAAAGCCTTCAGCGGAAAAATGTATGGCCAAAACCAAACCAAACACAGCCGAATGGAAGGGGGAGCGATGGTGGCCCAAACAGATAGCGGCAGTAGACACTTGATAGGTTTTTTGCGAGGCCCCCTTTCGACCCGCTCCCCATACACTATTGGCCATAAATCAATTTTTCAAAAATGACACTGGGAAATGGAAAAAGTAAGCTCAAAGCTGGGCGAATATTGAAAGCGTCCGCTTGCCTCGATATAAACCGATACTCTCCTATGAATTGTCAAACGTACAAAATATATGCATGCATGCATACATCTATATAACTCATACATATATATATGTATGTTCATATATATTAATAAAAAATGTATGTTTGGTCCTAGCATTTTTTGGGCATCCTAGAAGCTCTGGTATTTTTTATGCTATCGCCCGTCGGTTTTTCGTTTTTTCTGGCTTTGCAAATCTTTGCAGCTGGCGTTGAAAGTTTGTCATCATAAATTTTAATATTATTTTGCGAAGCGAATGCAACAGGAGTTGGAGCAAAGGAAGCGTTTTGCGATGCGAAACTTGCCAAAGAAGCAGAATCCATAGTTCGGCAAGTGGGGAAATGAGCACATTAATAGGAAAGGGGCACCCATTCCCCTGGGGAATTTTCAAAAACTCGGTGCAGCACACGCGGCGTATGCGCAATGCAGCAGCAGCAGCAGCAGCAGCTTCGGATTCAAAAAAATTGAGGGGAGAAAGGAGAAAGGGACGCTAGGCAACATATGGGCGGCTGAGCGGCTGGCCGGAAGCCCATATTCCCCAGCATGTGTGAACCGAATGTTGATGAGTGCCATAGAGTGAATGCATATGAATGAATTACATCCCCAGCACTTTTCCCCCGATTTTTTGGTCCCCGCTTCTAGAACGATTTTGGCCTTTGAAAGCGGCTGAATAAGGCCGCCTGGCTTTGGCGGCATGAATTGCATGCAAAAGATTGTTTTGCATAGATGAGTGAAATCACCGGGTGCATTTATTGAACCTCTGTGTACCTGGTGACAGCACACGAAATTGACATTGATTGGTCCTGGATCCTGAGTCCTGAGCCCCAAAGGACTAATGACAAAGAATCAAGAGGAGCTCAATTATTCCAGTTTTCTCAGTGCGCTTGACTTCCTTGGATTGATGCAATCAGCTTTTCAGTTTGTTAGATTGCTTTTGAGGAAAAAATATTTCGGTTTTTATAATGGCAAATTTAATATGGAGAAATAGAAATAGTCAATTGCTGTGATATTTTATTTTTATTTTATTGAAAGTCTTTTGAAGTATTAAAGCTCTAATCAAATTCTTAATTTTATTTAAATAAACGTGCATGACAGAAATACTTATACCCAACTAACTCTAATCAGTTACCCATCATTAAGTATTATTGCATAATGTTTCTTAGCAGCAAATAGCTGAAAGGCCTCACGTTTAAATTAATTAAATTCTCTGCACATTCGAAAATTGCCTGCAAGTATAGTAATTATTAGATCGGCTCTAATATGCATATGATTTTATGCTCTTAGATTTCGGACTGATTACCAACATTGGCTGGCTACTGGAATTTGCTTAATATTCACCGAAAATTATTCGAGCAAATTTGAGGCAGTCGCCTGCAGGCGGAATAAAGACTTTTGGAGTCAAGCGATACGTGAACCGAATGCGAAAGGCCAAAGGTTTAAGCCTTTAAGTGATGTGGCAAGGTCGCAGGAGCGGGCGGAGATTTCGGGTGGGATTATGAAGTGTGGAGGCAGATAAGTCCGACTGGAACTTCTCCTTGGGCTTATTTGCATGCTGTGATTAAGTGCCGGGTCATAAATGCAGTCTGGCAGAGGGCATTTCGGCTCGCTTCCAAGGCAACCATAATGCTTGCCACTTAATTATTACTTAGTCTTTATTAACATGGCTCACAGCTTTTACTGGCCTCTCGCTCCCGATTAAAGCCATCAGCGGAGCGTGCAGTTTGGATTCCATTTCGGCGGCGGGGGGCCCAAAATGGGCTTTATTTCGAGGCCCGGTAATTGCAAATTGTTGCCGTCGTCTTCGGCTGCGTTTGTTTGTCAATTTGCGTACTTAAAAAATTCTTTTATATAAACAAAGAGCGACGAAGACGACGACGCACTCACAACTCGTTGTCAGTGTAACGAGCCATATGTGTTGTGCACATAATAATTACGCAATTGGCAGGAGTTCCCCCCATCTCCCCTTCTCCCATTTTGGCCTGGCTGAGTTCGTCTTTCGCCCGAGTCGAGTGTGTCATCAAATTAGTTTTAATTATATATTATATTCGTTTTGCACACATTTCGGCATTAGCAGGAAGCACGAGCAGCAGTGGGTCTCCAGTGCGTATGGTTGATATTTGCCATGGCAATCGATTTGTATGCCCGGCAGCACTCCGCCAGTTGTTCTTGTTTAAATAATTTCACCCGCTCATTGGCTTTGGGCCCAGGCCCTAGAGCCACCAACAAACGTGGTGATTTGTATGTGGGGTTCTCCCAACCTGTACCAGATATCTAATATGCATGGCATTCAGGGAAACGAAAGTAAGCGCGTCAAGTGAATAGTGACTGCACGGTGAAAAATAGTAACCTAATGAGTCACTAGTACGTTACTAAATGAAATCAGTATAGCTATTTTTAAAAATTTACCTAAAATTATATAATATTTTGGGCGTTTCTAGCAGACACATAATTATATTTGGACAAAATTAAAAATTTTAAAGCAATTTATTATAGGTAGTATAAATATTATATAATATTTTATATTTAATCTCTAATCTTATATTAATTCTTAAAAAAAATGTAAATTGTCTGTTTTTTTTCAATATCCGTTTTAGTGCTAGTACTTTTAAAAAAACTTTTAATTTTATCCCTAAAAAAAAAAACCAAAAAAATAAATTAAAAAAATCTTTTTTGGTAAGAGTCATTTTAGGGATAAACAGACCATAGATTTTAAATTTTCCCTTAGTGTACCATTGTAACTGCGACATCGACACTCTTGCGGCTGTTGCTTTGGTTTCGCCGTGAGTTTTTGGGTTAGTTAGGGTTTCAGTTACAGCCACAGATTTGTCTCGGCATGCAAATTCCCATTTTTCACCATCAGACCCACCTTTGGCTTATCTTATCGCTGTGCACATAAGTGAGTATGTTTGTAGATTTGTGCCCGTGTTGAGGGTAATTAAATTGAAATTCTCAAGTGCTCGTTGTATTTTTCGGGGCACTTGATTTGACACTTTAGCACAGCGAATTTTAGTTCACTTCCACCAGCTGCTTTTCTTTATTACTTCACAGCGCGACCTTGAATTTAGCGATCAGTATTTTTTTTTGCCATAACTACACTTCCAGTCAAGAGAGTCGCGTCATATTTGCTGTTATTATTAATAGTCAAAAGCGTCAAAAGCAACTGACTGCGGACTACGCATGAGACTCGAGACCCGAGCAACCAAGAATCTACAAAGCTGCGATCGGAGCGTTAGAAAAGCTCGCTCTTTATACCATCTAGCTGGGCTTTTGGCCAGTGGATTTCAGGTAGTAAGAGAAGCAAAGAGAATATGAAGTGATTCACAGCTGATAGGGGACTTTGTTTATGAGTGTCAAAATGCGTGCAGTATGTTTAGCAATTTACAGTGCCTTTAAAGGGGTTACCAACGCAGAAAATAATAATATAAATAATACAAATAAAAATAATATATATTATTGATTTAATAAAAATAAAAAAAAAAAAACGTTAGCTTCATATAAAACTTTTAAAAAAAAAAAATTTAAACATAAAATAAAATTTAAGTTATTTATTACTTTTTTAAATGTTTCACGGTGAAACTTTTACCCCTTTTTTTGCACCTAAAACTTTTGATAATTTTTTCTGTGTATCCTTTCCTTACTAATTAATAAAATCGAGTTGTTAAGACAACAACCTTTGAAATTCAGTCCCCATTCAATATGCACAATCAAATTCAATCAAATCCGCCCTTTGACACCGCATTCTGCACCTTTTTCCCTTTGTGTACAAATATCCGAGTGTAGGGCTATTAAAAAGCACTTTCTTATCAATGCAGGAAAAGGCAAACCGAATGAAGACCCGATGCAGGCAAAAGGTGCAAAGGAAACCGAACAATGACGGAAAACGTTGCCATTGCCAGCAGCTCAGGAGTTCAGCAACAAAGCCCTACACAACCCAAGCTCCACCGCCCACTAAGCAGAACAGGAGCCGCTGTCGGACCACCCAACCACCCACCACCCACCGAATGGCTTGGCTGAGCGTCAAGTGTCATAAAAAAATAGGAACAACACTTGCAAGCCAAAAACTAAAGTGCACGAGTTGCCCGGCCATGTGGTTCTTCACACACCACCCACCTTTCCAGTCAACTTTCTCCACCCCCTCCCACCAAACTGCCATTCACTGCCCTATTCACCGTTCACCACACTCTCCTATTACTACTAGATCCATTTTCGCTCATCTTTCAAAGGCGCAGTGTTGCGTTTGTATTTGTGGTGCCTGCAGGCAGAGAAAATAATATAATACCAGTTGTTTTTTATAAAATTTGTGTTCTTAAAGTTGCTTTGAAGCAATATTGATATCCTTGAAATCCTTGCGATGCGATTATATTAATCACTGCTCTGAAGCATTAAAGAAACTTTATTTATTAATTTTTAAGTAAATGTATAATAAGTAAATCAAAAGCCTTTTTTTTTTAGTTTTATGATTTCCATTTATATTAGTAGATTGTGAAATAAGAATTTTCTTTTTATTTACTATCATTTTGAAACTAAAATTTAAATTATTTTTGATTTTGTAAATGACACATGAATGAACAAATGAACACAAATGAACATGAGGAATGAGGAATCATTCGCTTAAAAAATGTATCTTATTGAACTGAATATAGTATGTAGGTACTCAAATAATAACACTGTGCAGCATTTTGAGTGCTTTTTAAATTTACCTCGATGGATGCTATATTTTTGGATTCGTTACGAATTCCCAAGTTATTTTTTTAAAAATTTCCCCCCGCAAAGAGTTTTTAAAAAGGACCTCAAAGTTCGAAAAATGCGAAATTGGCCAACTTTGGAGCCCAGAGGCAAATGGATGCATGGTTTGATTCGATGTTAAAGTTTTTAAAAGATACGTCCTTTATCTTTTAAACCCCATACTTAAAAAATTTTTAAGATTTTTAAAAACATAGTCAAAAAACTTAAAAACATACAGCTGCGGTCAAAATAGTAGTAGTGTTGCCGCCCTGTGTTTTAAAAGTTGTTGTTGTAATTCATCTTCTTCTGGTGATATTGTATTGATTATAATTACTATTGGACTAATTGATAAGAAAAATTACAACATCAAACTTTTAAAAACAAGGCGCAACACTCTATTTTACCGCAGCTGTATTTTTTTTTGACTATGTTTTTGAATTTTCGCTAAAAAATAAAATTATTTTATGTATGGGGTTTGAAAGATAAGTGTATCTTTAAAAACAACAACCAAGCCATGAATCCATTCCAGCTCCTTAAGTTGCCAATTTAATTTTGCATAGGTAAATATTTTATATAATAATGAAATAAATAAAGATTATTTGTTATTATCCATCAATTATATAGATTTTCTCCCAGTGCTTGACAGCGGGCATATGGGTAGCTGCAAAGAAATACAAAAGAAAATATTTACAAAACTTCCATTTCCGCTTTATGTGGGCAGTATTCGCAGGAGCAGTCGGGGCAGCAGTCGAGCGGGGAAATTGAAAAAAGATAGTTTCACATAAACCCTTGGGCATTTGAACCAGCCCCCCTCCCCCTCCCCTGAACAAAACTCAAATACAAATACAAAGGCAGAGCTTGCAGGTGAGCATTCCGCTATTTCGCTTTTGGGCGACGGAAGTGAGCATTGTTAAAGTTTTGCAGGTAAATCAAATGATAAAATGAAGATGTAGCCGAGAGTCCAGCGTTGCAACAACAAGAAAAACAACCGCTGATAGCAACAGTTTTGGGACAACTCAAAAGGAGGAGAGCTTTTCACCACGACAGCGACGCCTGCGCTTGAAAGTCACTCCGTTTTGAGTGATTTTCCTTTGTTGTTTACCTTTTCCGCTTAAACGGTTGTTATCGTTCAGCGTTGCCTACTTTTAGGTTCTCTTTTTTCCTCACCATTTTTATAGTCTGATTTTAGGCTTAACTTAAATTCTTGCCTAGTATTCGTATGAGTAATATTTTTCGCTTATCAATTAATGGACTTTTAATCGTGCGAATAGTAAGAAAGGGGGAAGTGCGGTCACTCTTGACACTTTATTTATACACCTTCTTTAGCAAAGCCCTGCGGCTTGAACCATAAATTTTCCTATCGCCACTCGATCAAAATAGCTGTCCAATCGACCATAATTAATTTGTTGAAATGACAAAAATTTCGCACCACTTTTCGGATCAATTATCAAGTGTTTGTGAATTGTAACAGTCAATAAAAAATTAATATTTTCACAACTAATGGAACTCTGACGTAGGCAGCTATCGGAAAATGCCGAATTGGAAAGTCCTGGTCTCGCTGGAAAGCTTTCTGTTTGCCCTTATCAGTGTTACCTCACCCCAAAATACACACCCATATGCTGACTGCCTTTAATCATTATTTGGCGCAATTGTACGTCATAAATTTTCAAGTATAAACCCGCAATCAAAATTATTCGACATGTAGACGTTGGTAAAAATTATGACCATCCGATCAGCTCTCATCGAGTGTCGCACAGTTCTTAACGGATCGATTGTCGCCCCTCATTTCAAATGCAAATCAATCAATTAGAGCGGCGGAGCCCGTTAATTTGCATTGCGTGAATTGCTGGGCAAATATTGGCATTTTCAGCCAGTGCTGTTTATTTTTAGATAAAAAATCAAACGCAATGATATTAATAGATAAGGCAACCATTCAGCGGGGGGTCCGAAACGTGTCCCTGCGAAGGGTTAAACGCAGGCTGGCTGAAAAGGAGAGAGAGAGAGAGAGAGGAGAAATGGCAGAGGATTTGAGCCTGTCTGAAAAAAAAAAAGAGAGAGAGAGAGAGAGATCTTCGAGGAGGAGGGTGGCACAGTGGGAAAAACAAACCGTTAGTTAATACTTTTTATACATTTGAAGCGAATTTTTTTTCTTTTTGACTTCGTTCCTATATAAAAAACCAAAATAACAATAGCATAGTGCTCTAAACATAAATTCTTCAGCAGAATACATGCGGTTGCCAAATGCCATTGGGACAATATAAAAATTGCGTAGCCGACATGTTCGCCATTCCCGTCTGACGAAAGTTTCGTCGCGAAATGTGGTTTATGTATATATTTATTTTAGAAAACTCACGTTGATTAGGCTAAGAAAAGGTGTACCCAATACGGCCATAGATTACCAGGGATTAATCCCACTGTGCGGGAGAGAGCGATCGGCGGCGAGGGTGGGCGCTTGGCGCTCTCTTTTTCCAGCCCAGCTGTTGCGGCTCTTTTTCTCTCGGCGGCGCGGCATTCGCGTTTGCGTTTTCGATCGCTCCCGTTAAAAACGTGCTGCGCCAGGAACTGTAAATCATTACGCTCGGAAACGTGCTGCTGCTCGCACAGAAACACACAGAAACTACGGATAAAGGCGGAATATCGGGCTCGCCAAGTTCAAGTTTGCCCGAAACACAGAAAGTCGTAAAACGTAAAAAAAAACTAAAAGTAAAAAGTATAAAATACAAAGGTTCAGTTCCACCACCACCACCACCGCGCTGCTCGCACGCAACAATAACAACAAAGAAATTGGTTGCTCTTTCCTGCCAATTTTCGTGTGTGCCATTGCCTTTCCTTTATCGTCTGTTGTTTTTATCGACGCGTTCGTTCTCGCGTTCTTTCTTCTCCAGCCCAGTGCGTGAGTGTGTGTTCAGTCCCCCCATATCTTTCTCTCTGTTTGTTGTCACCCCCTCGCCAAACGAAATAAAAAACATAAAAAATCAAAATTAAAAACAAACCCTTTATGCTAATCAATGAGCTGTGTCTGAGGCACAGTGGAAAATTTTCGAGTTTCGCAAAGCGGCGACGTCATCAGTGGTCGCTATTGTTGTTGTTGGCGCCCGTGGCCGAGTAAAAGGTAAAAAGTAAAAAGTAAAAGAATACTTCAAGTACGTGTCAATTATAAAATTCACTTCGGTCTGCCGTTCTTGTTGTTGTGTCTGGCGGCTATTTTCGTGCGAAAGATCTTTAAATTGTGGATATTTTGACTTTTCTGTCGCATTTCCCACACAGCAAGAAAAAGTTGGATTTATTTAAGATCACTTTCAAAAACAATGCTGTTTTCGTATTTACTTTTTCATTGTATAATTAATATTTTTGCATACCTCTAACCAGATTCTTTAAACAATTAAATCAAATATGAAGTACAAATAAAACCTTTTGTTAGCAAATTGACAAAACCTTTTTATGTTATCCAATTATTATTACCCAATTTCTTATATAACCGTCCCCTACCTTATTTTTCTCCGTGTAAGAATAAACATTTACTGGGCTTTTTCGCAGTTGGAAAAGTGTCAAAGAAAATGCGAAATTTACTCGGCGGCAAAACAATCAGGGAACTAAATAGTGCTAAATACTGTTTGCCGGCCCGCTGTTGGCTAAGAACTTTTTGGCCCCGATTTTCAATTGCTGGCGGACAAATTATTAAGCAGTCAGAAGAGATAAATCAAGTCAGGTCCGAGAGCAACTGCAGCATGTGACTTTGAAACTCTCTGGAAACTGGTTCTATTTTGGACCTCTGGCCAGGGGCGGTGTGGGTTTATTTTTTTTGTTCTTGATTTTTTGGCCTTTTTTTTGTTTTTGTTTTTGTATTTGTTCGACAAGCAAAGCTAACACAGTTTCAGTTGTACCGGGCACGTAGTGCCACGTTCTGTGCGGCCCTCTCTCTCTCTTTCCCCATCTGCCTTTTCCTCCCCTTTCTCCACCTTCAATACCGCCTGTTTGTCTTCCATTCCCCGCGGCGCTTTATGCTAAGTTTGTCTGCTTTTTATGCAAATTTTGCAGAAACAACAAGAGAAACAACAGGGGCAAAAAGCACCAAAACTCTACTTTGGGGGAATTTCTGCTATCAGCACTGAGTGTGCTCGAAGTCCCCCGTTGGACCCCTATTTGAACCCCCTCGGCAGCCCCGCGCTCTCTTTTTGCACAGCACGTGAATAGCTGGCTGCACTTTCTCGCCTGCACTCGCAGAAAATAAAACGGATTGTTTCTAAATATTTTTTTAAGTCTATATAACTTTTATTTTATTATTTATTATTTTCATGTATTAATATATGGAATATTTCCATTAATTTTAATACAACATTATCTTAAATCATCTTAAAAATTTATGATCTTACTTAATCACGAGATAATCCATAAAAATGTATTCCCCTGGCAATATTCATACTCTAAATTTCATTCATATTTTTACATATGTATATATGAAAATGTTTCAAATCGTTTTATATGTTAAGTTGAATTCAAGTTTTTAGGAATTCCAAAAGTCATATACTACTGATAAGGATTAAATCGATATCGCAATATACTACGCAATGAATTCCCACTTTCGGTGATATTTTTTTACTGTGTGGAAAATATTTGCTCTCGACACCCTCTCGCTCTAACCGCCCCCTGCCCCGCCCACGAAGTTTCAACTGGTGAGTAACGGCTCAATAATTTGGCTTTCCCCCGCTCCACCCCCTTTCTGCAACATCTATGCTGCAGTCGCGACCCGCACACGATAAACACACAATGTTAACTAGAATTTGTTTATCTCGACTGGGGTGGTTGTTTTTTTTTGCCGTTCTTGCTGTTTTCTGGTATTGTTCTTGTCTGATATTTAACCAAAATGTATCATGACGCTTAAAGTTGGGTTTTATTGTTATTGCCGCTTCTGCCGTGGCTGTAATTGTTGCTTTGCACTTTTGTTTACACAACTTGTGGCGAATCTGTTGTTGTAATTTTGCGTTTTTCGAGAGTAGTATTTATTGTTCCTGTGAAACGATACACAGAACTTGCAGTGCCCAGCAAATTGAAGTATTTAATAACAATAGCCGATTGGAAATCGTGGCTAAAGACACTGGCGTAGACAAAGGGCGTAAGGTGATCCTCAATAAATAAACATAGGTAACTAAAGATTATAATAAACCATTTCTTCATTTCAAATTCGTAAGAATTTAATAACAGATATTTCTTATTTAATATTTGTATTTTGAAGCATTTGAAAGTATGGATCTAAATACTTTCATAAATATTTTTATTTTACAACCTATTTAACTATAAATTTAAAACAAACAAACAAGCCCGCAGGAGATTAAAATATTTTGTTTTAATATTTAGTTAAAACTAGAAACTTATTCATACGGTACGACCCCCTTATAGATAAGGCATTTCGTCACGCTCAAAAATCTTTATGAATCATTAAAGCAAAATCGCCGACAACTGGCTGGAATGGTTAATAATCAGCTCAGGCGCATCGTTTCGTTCTGGATATGACAAAGATACCGACTCCCCTTTTGCAACGGCCATGTCCGCTATTGATATATGAACATGTGTAGGCATTCTCGGGGAGTGATTTACAAAAACAAAGGAAAACAAACTTCTGCTGACTAGGTTTCGGTTAAGAACCGCTGATGCCATCTGTGGCGATTTCCGAAGAAAACCATATACTCTTGGGAAAATAGCTAGTATTTTTAAAACAGCTGACGAATAGTGCTTATCGGGTGAAGGAAATAAAACCAAATTGCGGGGAGAAGCAATTGTCTGGGTGTTATGATTATATAAGCACATTCATGTGCGGTTAGTCAAAACCCTCGCAACGGTCGTCGATCTATGGGTTGTTCAGTTAGTAGATCGCTTAGTCATAAATAGAACTGCAGTAGCCTAATTAAGGTTTGGTTTTACACTTGCAGTTGGAATTGCATTTCAACCTTTTCGTATTTTTAGATGTTGTGTGTGCGGTGGTGCGTTGCCAAATGTTTTCATTCCGTTTCAAATGTCGTGCTTTGAATGGAATTGATTTCAAGTGCTTTGAACCTTTGAACAAACGAACACTGTCGATCATAAATCCTTCAAGGCCCCACAATATTGTCACTCAAGTGGAAAGTGGAAGTACGGTGCTAAACGAAAATATAAGTCGATAAGGAGGAGTTTTAAATTAATTTCTAATCGATTTTTATGAAAAAAAGTGTTATTGCTCGCCAAATAGTATTGTTACTCGTATTTAATTTAGTTCGATAAAAATCCAAGCTAATTATTTTCAAAGAGCTAATGCTAACTGACTTTAATATTGCACTACATTAGTAAATGCATTGTGTTGGCTTATATTCAATTAATTAATGCTAATTAGATTTGCATATCATTTTTATGGTTCCATGAATGCAAAGGCTTTGTGTAGTAATACACCGTAAAAGCATATGCGATAACCGCAATTATTCGGTCGTTTAGCTACTGTAAGCCGACACTACTTGATAATATGAGACTTTTAAACAGAACTCCGAATGGTAATTGACGCCTTTCAATTCAATTGTAAAGTGTAATCGTATGATTACTAACCTATTCCAATAAGTGCACTTGAACCAGCTATTTGTGTGCTTTAAGTATAGTTTATAGTAATGAATCGCACGTCGAGGGCTTGGTAATCAGTCTGGGTATCGTTGAAAACAAATATTTATGGGCCGCTAAGATTTATGACGGCACTCAAACAATGCGTTTTCAATTATCAAATATTTTAATGCACTCATATATTCGAAAATGGTATATGGGCACACTTCTGAATAATTACTGGAGTCGTCAACGACATTTTCGCAGGTATCCGTATATCTCGAGTGGTTTTAAAACATTTGACATTTATTTGTTCGAGTGGTTAGCGGCTACCGTATTGTGGAAATCGGTGGGGGTACGAGGGTAAACCCCTTTCCGGCCGAGCTGAGAAAGTGGAAAAGAGTCGGAGGCGCTTGAGTGCTTTCAAGTTCAATGTCAGCTGCAGTTGCAATTCCAATTCCAGTTGCAGCTGCCTTTTGCAGTGTTGACTGTTGCAATTTGGCCGACCGAATAAACCGGTTCGCAACTTGTTCGGCAGCACGTGAATGTAAATTGTGTGGCATTTCCAGCGGAGTTAGGATCCGATCCGATCCGATCCGAAAGAGCAGCTGACTGACAGAAACCGGTTGGATCTGGAAAGATTTGGCCGGCGAGAAACACAGTGTTCGATAAGGAGACGTCGCACGAGACTGGACTGATAAAACTCAAACTTTTCGACTGATTACATAAGGAGCACTTGGCTATTTAAAGCCCTCTGGGCCATTTATCATCTATCAGCAGGCGGCTAATTGACGTGTCTCTGAGGTTAAATCAAATCAATTTCGGAACACGACACATAATAGACAATTTGATAATTTATGTGGCGGCCGCACCGCAAATCCCATACATTACTGTCAATTGTTTTAATAAATTGGAGCGGAATCTGAATCGGAATCGAAATCGAAATGAATGGCTAGCCCAGTGCGATAAGAACGCTAAGGCGTAGGCGGTTCTTTTCTGATACCCGCTAACGTTTTTATACCGCTCGTACGTATATACAAACAAATAATTTAAATCAAAATTAAGTCAGACCGTCGTACGATCGATCGTTTGGCGTCATTTCGCCAGCGCACGCTAATGAACCCATAAAATTGATCACCACGTTAATTTTCCCCCCACTTTCCCCTCGCCCCATTGGAACTTTTTGGGGTTTTAAATTGTAACACCTTCGGGTTTTATGGGAACCTGCGGCCGCGCCGTTTTGTTTGCCTTTAAGTGTCTTATATATTTATAAGTTTTAAGTTGCCTCTAATTTTGATAACATGCAACTGACTGCCATCCGTCTGTTTTCCTTGTGTGTGCCATAAAATGTGTAAATTTATTTGTTTTCCCCCAGCGACGTGCACTTTATCGTAGCGAATTCGGTTAGAGTCACGCGATCGCCGATCGATCGTATCAAGAAAAGTACCAGAAAAATCAGCTGAGTTGGTCCAAACGAAAATAGCTCTAGATTTGTCTTTAGCTCTTGTGGTTTCTGTGTTTTACAAGAGATATTTCTTAATATAATTTTAATTTTCTAACGGTAGAACTAAAATTCATCATACAAAATAAAGTATAATAATATTATTGCAATTGTTAGAGAGCTTTATGTATCTTTTTCCATCTTTAAAAGTTTTTATTTTTATAGAATATAGCAACAGCAATATAGTTGATACTTTAAACGTATTACTTTTTTGCAAGACCTTTGAAATTCAAGATCTATTTTTTGTCTTACTAAGAAATAAATTATTATTTAAGTGAACAGATTCTAGTTAAAACAAATTAATCACAAAAAACACAGCGGTAAAACTTTTATTTGTGTTACAACCTCTACAAATACAAATAGTAGGGTTAAAGGCAAATATATAAGTACCAATAATAGGCGAACCAATTTAGGGATTTACCAAGCATTCCCCAGGGCGGCGAATTGATGGACTGGGTGTACAAATATTTAATCGGCAACCTTGGAAGAGCTTCCGCCCTCGTTCAGCCATTGATCAACTTTGAAATCCTTTTATTAGTTAATAGCGTTCACCGTAACATGCCACCACCCATTTTGTGCAGAGGCGAGGCAATATCAAGGTTGCCAAAAGCCAAAGTTTTGTTTGCTCAGCAACTTAACTTTAATCCATGGTCAGACGGAGGAGACACATCAGTTTGTTTTTTATCGAGGAACATATGGCAAACAAGACCGAATATCCAAGGCACATGGAACTGGAACCCCTCCCCAAAGACCAGTCACATTTTCTTACATAATCAACGCGACCAAGTGAAAATTTGTGGCTGGCGAAGAAAGAAGACAAAAAACCGTTAATGGGACGGGCTAAGTTAAGGCGCTGCGTCTAAGCACGAGACTCATGTTGGATTGTCTACGCGATATACGATACGAAGCGAAGCGCTGCTCCTCACACAGATACACAAACCCATACAAAGACGGCGGGGTTTTATTTTTGCAGTTCGTAGATACTTCGGGTGGCGGCTCACTTTCCAAGCGTTCTTGGCGGCGAAAAGAAGCTCACATAAATCAGCGCATTCGCAGCCGCAACAGGTTCACACGGCATTCGTTCGCCACGGAGCAAGCCTCGTCGGTGTCCTGAATATCGCGTATCCGCCCCAGTGGACGTACTCCCAATTCGCGTTACCAGTTTCGAAGTGTAAACCAATGGCCAGCGGTGCCTAATTGAATTTGTGTAACTTGCCTTTCGGTTTTTTCGGCCATTCTGTTGTTGTCCTGCCAGTCTGCCGGTTACTCTACCCATAAAGGTGCTTACTGAAATATTAAGGACCTTCGGACACGTAACATTTAACACTGGACTGCGGGTCTCCGCTGTCTGTTCGCTTTGTGTTTGTGTTTGTTTCGGTTGATTGCCGTTTAGGTTCAACGCTTGCCACGCCTCAAACCGAAGGGGCTGCTATCACCACAAAGGGGCGCTGCCCATTATTAACATAAATTCTGGGTTGTATTTCAGTCAGCTGTCATCGTACGTTACGAAACTATCAGAAAGATCGGCAGTTGCTCACAAAAATAAAGCAGCATTTTGTTACTTTGAAAATATGAGTAATAAAGAAAAGCTCTTTATTCTAAATAAATCGGGGAATTTAAAAATATTTTTAAGCAACTAACCTCTCCTGAAAAAACAACCATAAACTGTCCGAAATTCTTCGAAGTATTTTCTTGCTCACTTAGTTATTAGAAGTACAATTCGATAAGCTGGCAATTAACCATATCGCAATCATTTGTTCTAAATTTAGGAATGTGACACAAGGCATGGTATTTAAAAAATCTATATTCTATTCTTATCCCCACCAAAATATATTTCTCATGTTGATGAAATTTTAATATTAACTTTTGATAAGCCAAGAATTGATTAAATAATTATATTATTGATAAGAAACCATTGAGATAGGTACTAAATTATTTTTTTCTTTTTAGCAGTATGAAGTTTAATTAATATTTTAGAACTGAGAACAATATTTTAGCTGTTAGAAAATTGATGAAAATATTTTGAAAATATTTGTAAGGGATAAAACCACTTGTTTTTTTAAGTGTATGGGTTTTCACTGAAAACGGAGATGCAGATCGTTAAGTGAGCGATCTGAGTGGCAAAGAATACCGCCTTGGGGCGTCGATTGCGCCACTTTCATGCCCCCCGAGTCCCGAATAATAATTGAGTGCTCAAATAACGCAAATTGATCACGAGCCGTCAACGAAAGTCGCGTGCTTCATCGACCCCGCCCCCCTCCGCCGCCCTAACTATGCGTGTGGCTGCCATTTAACTTTAATTGAGTCGCGTCGAATGGTTTTTATTGCGCTCGGTACTTATATATTTTTGTGCGGCATCGCCTTCAATTGGCCTCCTTGGGCAGTGACAAAAAAAGCAACAGTCGAAATTGTTTATTAATGAAATTGCGTTCCAAGCACCCGCTTCTGTTTGTTCGACTGTTTTTTTCTGTATCTCTTAATTTTTGTTTCTCAATTTCAGGGCGTTGAATTCGCTGCCCCGAATGCCGAGATTCTTGGAGCATCCACAGTGGCCGCAGCAAATCACCAAGCTCACCAGCACCTCGATGCCATTGCACTGCCTGATCATCAAATAGGCAGCTTAAAACCCCCCTTAATCCTCGGATTGGACTCAAATTAAACCAAAAATCAAGAAAGCAGAGCGGACGAAACACTCAAGATGAGCTTCAGTTCGGCCAGCGGCAGGGAGAATAATGTCCGCAAATTATCCTTCCTCGGCTTCAATACCAAAAAGAAGGTGAGTGTGTTTAGAAAATAATTTAAGGATTATAAAATTATAATTTATAAAGAAATTCATTAAAAATGGTAGCGAAAAGAATTTTATAAATATTCCATTTTGAGCTCTTAACAATTTCTAAAATTAATTAAATTAAATCAAACTATAGATGTTAGTTGAAAATCTATAAATGCCAACTAAACGTTTCCATAATTTGATAAGTGCATTTCCTGTGTGCAGGTAGATAGATTAACTATAAATAGTACCGCCTAATGTATTGGCTTTTGGCTGGGAAATTAATTAGGCAAATGTGGGAATGAGCTCATACTATGGCCGATGATGATCCCGATACGACTTTTACCTAGTCAAGGTTCCCTCCAAACTTATTTTTTCGTACACACATATTTCATAAAGTGAATATAACGTGCTGCTGTTGGTAGTTTTCCATTAAATAAATCACTTTTTATATGTATTTTTTTTTCGCTATTGCCAATTTGTGAATAATTCATTCGCAAGCCCGCACGGTAATGTCAAGTAATTGTTATTGATTTTTTTGTGGCTTGTGTTATTTCTCCGTTGTTTACTTTTCTACACATTTCCGCAGTGTGTCAGTTGTTTTGGGCACACCGGCATATGCCCGCCAGCTACCAAGTGACACAATTTAGAAACCAGTTTCCAGCAAATCGATCTCGGTTTCAGTTTCAATTTCAATTTCAATTTCGATTTCAGATTGGGTTTCGTGTGCGAGTACTCGGCACAGTAGATCACAGTGCCTGCCTAATCATGCATTCATTCATGCGAAAGTGCTGCTTTTGTGCTCGAATTTTTGCCAGCATTACGTATACGCCGTGTGGTGCTGGGGGGCGACAACAAGTTGTCAGCTTAAAGGCTAAACGCTAAACGCGTCGAAATAAACGCATTTTAATTGTGCAACTGGCAGCCGACAGTTGGCAATAACGGTAACAGGAAGCTAGTTAGACATTCAGCATTCAAATGAAGCGCACACACTAGACCTACACGTACTCACTACACACATTTAGCGAACACAGAACGGGAAATCGATATTCGTGGTCAAGGCTGCCGCGTTGTGGCACTCACTCTGGCATTGACAATGAAAAGTAATCGTAATAGTTCAGCGGAATTGTAATCGCCATCAATTCATTGACACCTGGCCGGGTGAAAGCATCAAGTTGCACTTGCCGTGGGAGCAGCAACCTCCATTAGCTTAATTGCAGCACAAAGTATGCCATGATTTAGAAGCAACATTAAAAATATAAAACCTAGAAAGTATTATATATGGAAACTGCTCATACTATACAGAAATAATATGAAAAATTGTGTGAAGGTTCTTGTTTTAAAGACTTTTATAAATATAGCATTCATTTAAAGAAGATTACTTTTATTAAATCGTAGAATCTATTTTTTAAACCGAGAATATAAACATTCATAAAAATACAAAAAAGGATGACAAAGTTGTAGGTGCAAAAACATGATAAAAACATTTTGAAAAGTTTTATTTCAGTGTAGTAAATATTTTTGTTGATGTTTTTAGGCAATGGTTATGTTTCAAATAATAAGAATAATTTTGTTGGGATAAATTTGTCTCTTTTTAATGCTGTTTGTTGTTGCTCATCATAATTTCCGGTAATAAAATGATTGATTTATAGCTCGTCTCATTTTTGGCAGTCATCAAAATTGGTTGTTCTACCAAAGGATAGGGCCCCATTTGTTTAATATTTATTACAAATAGCAACAATCGATCAATTACTAGTCGTGTCATCCATTTAGGGTTAATGGTCCTACATAATTCATCTCCCCCGAGGGGATCCTATCATCTTGAGCTGCACTGTACTGTCACATAACTCAATTAGCCATTACAACTCGCCTGTTATCGCTAATTACCCAAAATATACACACACATACGTGGGTGGCCAGCTAATGACCCTTAATGTACTGGCTTGCTGTTCAAAGTGCCATCAAGTGAATAGATTTTTGTGCATGGCGAAAAAAGCTTTTTCATTTTTATTTTTGCACAAAACAAAACCACCCCTGCATTCGTCGCTGGCCCATAAACGTTGGCCATACACAAAACACTAAGTGTTGGCCTTGAGCGGCCTTGACCATCAACGGGAGGTCCTGTGAGCGCAAAAGCTTTGCCATTAATTATGCACTAGTGGGGAAAGCGACGAAATACAAAAATGCTGAGCATACGAAGCTTTTCGCCTGCTGCTAGCCAAAGCTTTTTGGCGAAAACTGCATTCCGATTTACGTCAGCAGCAGCATATCCTGGGGGGTGGTGGCTGCGGAGGTGGCATAGTAAAGCCCGCCCGCCGTTGTGGCCCTGAGAATCAGCTGAGCGTGGCCGAAACGCTGCAGCGCTGCCAGCTGAGCGGCCTGTTCTACCGTTATACGCGCGCCTTAACCCACGCCTGCGCAATGGGTCAGAAAATCAGGTAACAGCAGCAGCAGCAGGCAGCAGCCACAAGCCATGGCCCCTCATTTGCTGGGCAGCCTTCCCAGACAACGGAACAGGCTCGAATTTTTTGGACCTAATATAAAATTACCATAATTCGCGGGTCAAAGTGCAACAGGCAAAGGGATTTGCGAAAAATAACTATTACCCAACCTGTGAACGTGTTGAAAGTTTTTTGCAACATTAATTCGAACATCCGAAACTGGGAGCCCTCAAGGTAAAGCGAAAAACTTGTGAAACTTGTTTGATCTATAACGTTAATCAAAAACGCACGGAAAGTTGGCTAGCACACAAACTTTTCAAGAGCACACAACCTTGAAAATTGTTTCAAAAGAGCCCCCCTGCACACACACATAGACACGGCGACCGAAAGGAGAAAATGGGAAAAACCCATAGACATACAAATTTGGTCCTTTTCTTCTTTTTATAAAATTATAGTCGAAAAGTTGGCAGCTGGGCACAACAAGTGAGTTGGCCATTTGTGGGGCCCACAGGCAACCAAACTCAGAGATCTCTGCCATACACATACATAAATGTAAGTTTGTATTTTCCGGAGGAAATTCGTTTTGGGTGTTGCATACTTTTTGGGGCAATAAAACGGCTGAGCGGCAGTGAAAAACACAGAAATGTTCCCGAAATGTTACCCCAAGCGACAGGAGTCAAGCTCCCTGAACTCACACGTGTGTCTGCGGTCACAAATGTATCTGTATATCTGTATCCTATGTGCATATACATATACATTTCAAGGTGTCCTTTGTGTGCGGCATCTTAAAAATTACCTATAATAACCGAGTTTCATTTCGGTTTGCCGGATTGATGAATGATTGAGTGCTTGAATGGGATTTTGCGGTTTCGTGTTTCCAATTTGTCTGCATTATAAAAACGTTGTGAATTATTTAGCAGTTCATGCATTATTTATACCGACTCACACCTGTGTGGAAAACAGAGGTATTCACTTTGCTTAAGTTTTCCTTCAAGGTGGGAAAGTTGGGAGGGGTTTAATTTAAGTTTCGTACGAATTCCGGTTATTTGAAAGTTACATAAGCCGCTTAGTTTTATAGTTAGCAGTTCGGAGGTAAAGAGTTTTATGTTTTTTAAGTGTTTCAAGTGAAAATTAAATCAATTTAAGAATATTATTAAACATTTTGTTAATAGTTTTTGCTTAATCAAAACAGACAGCTTTCCATTTTCCATAGTATTTTATATTTGGTTATTAAGATTTTCCCCTCTATAAGCAAAACCATTAAATGTAAAGTTCCTATAAAATTCCCCACATTATCCGGAATATTTTCTATTCACTTCCGGCCGCAGGATAATAAATAGAGCAGGCCTCAGCTATTTATTGCTGAACGCACACACACTCTTACTCTCACCCGCACACGGACACAATGCCATCGACTGACCTTGAAGTATGCAACACTTTTCTATCGAGAGAGGCTATAGTGAATGTGTGGATATGGCCGTTCAGAGGGTGAGCCGCATTGTCAGCATGATTTCCCATCACTAGATTACGTTTACGACGCTTTAACGCCTTTGCCTTTGCCTCCGCCCAATGACCAGTTTAACCTTTCGCACGTGTCCGTCTCGTCGTGCCCCCTGACCCCTGAGACCTGACCCCTTACCCCCCTCACCCCGACCGATGTCCTGTACCCACTTTTCCGCTTTTCCCGTCACTCTTGTGCTTGTGCGAGCATTTCCGCTGCGGAATTCGCATTAAATTAACACAGATACACAAAAGCACACACACCACTGTGCGCGGGCTGACAGTCGGACAAAAACGTTATAGAAGCATCGTTAATTTGTGCAAACAAAAAAAAAAAAAACGTCTATAATAAAGAAAAACCTAACTGCGTAGCGAAAGCGGAGCAGGAAAAATCAACCAAATTATGCACAGGCCGTGGAAAAAATTCGACAGCTGCAAACAAATAAAAAGTTTTATGTACTCGTGCATAAATATATCCAACTCAAAGTCAGAAGTTAAATGTAAAATTAAACGGTTTATGTTTTCGCGCAAGTCCAGTGCCCAGCAATTTAAGGTTTTTATGGGCTACAAAATATATAAAATATTCAATAGTAAAATAATGAAAATATATAAGTTTTGGGCAGATTTATTTTTAGATAGATATTTATTTTAATTTCTAATTTACAATATTGACTGAATAATTGGGTAATCAAATGTTTTACCTGCTTTTAAGGGTAATACAAACTTTACCAATTTCCAGGTTTCCCCTTTTATCCTGTTATTTTTTCCTTCGACTTTCTTTTGGCAACTCACAACAGTTTTCCAATAAATACAAAGTTATACGCGATACGTCCCACAAGACTAACTTTTAATCTGCTGTGCGGGCCAAGTGTAAAAACTTATTCGCCGGCGATGACAACAACAGTTGGCAACTCGCAAAATCTTAACAAGTTTCGCTTTAGCCGCAATTCGATTCAATTTGGCAAGTTGGGCAAAAAGTTGCTTTAGGCCACGAGCATCTAACTTGGTTATGACTCGTAAGTCACGTGCCGCCGCTCGCCTTGCCGCCTCGCAGATGTCAAATCACATCAGAAGCACTCCGCGAACTCAGCCCCAACTTATTGTTGCCCCAACTTGGAGTGGGCTTCTGAGCTGCTTACATGCACGCCAGCTTTATGGGCGAACTTATGGCATAACTGTGACTGTGACTGCACACAACGCTTGCCAACCGACTAGGTGCACTGAGTTCTTGGGAGGTTTTGGGCGAGAAAAAAACATAAAAAGCAGATGTCAAGGTATGTTATGCAAATTGAAAGGAAAACGCTGTGAAAGTCAGGAGGCAGAAGGAATTTCTAAAAACACGAAAAACCACTGAGACGAGCTTCGAGATTTTTGTTTAAGCGTTATAAAACTTTAAA